GATTAATAAAATCAACATATATATAATCCAACTCAGAACCTTCCTTTCCAGGCTGTTCATCCACCCTATTTCTGTTAAGAGGACCCCATATTCTCAGAATCTAAGAGCTGACTGTTTCACAAGAAGAACATAATGTCGCCTTCCTCTCCCTTTCCACAGGATTTCCCTCCGCTGCTGGCAGGTCTAAGCAGTCTTCTCCCTCCCGCCCCACCGTCAGCGTTTCATAAAGTCTTAGTCGATTAGCATTCAGAAGGGAAGCTCATTCTTACAGGTGGGAGAAGATCCCAGTCCCTTCTAATTCAACCAGTCACACTGGAGTGGCAACAGGTGGGTCATTCCAAAAAGAGAAAGGGAAAAGAACCATTCTTTTAAGGTTTTGTTTCTCTAATTGCTACCCATTCCCACCGAACCCCCTACCATCCATCCCATCTACCCTGTTGTTTGTCTTTGACCAGCCCTGAGAGACTCCATCTAGAAGGAGCACCTTAGGGGAGGGGGCATCGCACTGTTTATTTCTATTAGTGACACTGTGCTTTTAACACATGACAGTCCCTGTAGAGTGGGTGCAGTCAATGGTGAAGTAAAGGGGCAGGGAAAACTTCAGAGAAAAGCACAGCAAAATCCTAGTGTTCTGGAAGAACTGCCATAAGAAAGTAGAGATTGGGATGAGATAATAAGTAGTCAATATACCCATCTCTCTCCCAATATTGTCTCTTGATGTTCTCACCATCTGTTAATGTAAATAAACATGTACACGTGGTTATGCCAGGGTGAGGTGAGAGCAGGGTACAGGTGTGACAACTCATCCGAGAGGCTTTTGAGCCTGAGTCTGAGATACAACCGTTCCATTGGCTTTGCGGAGAGGAAATCTAAGAGGATGAGGTCAGAGGAAGGGGATGGAAGACATGCACACGGTGCAACTTCTTCACTAAGTGAGGCAACCCGCTCTCTGGAAAAGGACTGTTAAGCCAAGACTTCCTTCCAGACCGAGGCTGACCAGAGATGCCTTTTAGCCCACAGGGAGTTGTCCTGTTATTCTTTCAGAGTCTGAGAAGGCTTCTCAGGAGCTAGGCACACATAACCTTATTCCCTGTCTCTTCTCCCCAATTTTCTCAGGGGAATATTTCTGAATATTAGAGACGTGGAAAGAAATGACATATTCTCCTTTTCTCTCTCCTCATGTAGGGATTTCCTCCTGTAGGGAGCGCCGCTGGGGAGGAGGGAGGGAAGGAGGCCTTCGCTCTCTTCTCCCCTCTTGTTCCTGCTGCCCCCGCCCCGCTGCCCCCCAAATCCTCCCATGGGCCCTGCAGGAGGCTTGAGTCCTGCGAGCAGCCTTTCCGGTCTCGGACCCTCGCCTGACGCCCTTTCATGGGGAAGCGCCTGGGTTTGCAGTGAATTGGGGACCTAAGCCCAGGAGATGCGCCCTGAGCCCTGTGCAGGGAGCCCACGCAGGGAGCGGGAAAAGGCCCTACTAGAAGGACAGCGAGGCCCCCTCTCCCCAAGGCTCCGGAGCCGCCCACCCTCCCACCCCTGTCCTGTCCTCAGCAGCGGGCGCTGAGCCCACAGTGAGCCCCCACGTCACTGCTGTCCCAGAAATCAAACCCAAAAGCAGCTTTTTTTGTTGTTTTTTGGGTGAAATTTCTACGAGGAACAGGGAACTCAAGTGAACATAGAAAGTTCCAGAACCACAAGACGTCTGTGGAGAGCCCCTGGGCCCAGGGTGACGCTCCCCAGGGTGCCGCGCCCACAGGTGCTGACCTCGGGCCCGCCTGCGACTCCGGCTGACACGCCCTGGGGACTGTCCGGGGCTCCTGTCCCCACACCGAGCGCGTCACCTGCACACCCCGCTGCCCGACAGACGGACAGACAGACTGCAGCTGCCTGGGCCTGGCTCCTCATCCCCGTCTGCGTCTCAGACACACGGGGAGGCGGGTTCCTGGTGGCTGCCTGGCGACCTCTTTGACCTTGAGAGGCGCCTCTCAGAGCCGACGCCAGGGCTCATCGGGCCCCACGGGGCGGTGCACAGAGCGGGAGACTCTGCCCTGCCAGACCGTGACGGACGGTCTAGAGCAGCGGTTCCCACTGGGCACACGCCCCAGGGGTGGGGGGCCGTTTGACTTTTAAGGGGGGCCATTCGAGACGCGTTATGAACAGTGAATGGTCTGCATTTCTGGTGGCTCTAGGGGCCTCACATACAGCATATAAATGGAATTGTGACATTTATGCCTTTCAGTTCTCTATTATGTTTTGAAACTTTATTTGCTATTTTTTCATATCACTTCATATTATTATTGTTTTTAACAATTCCTTAGTGATTTCTTCCTCTGTCCTCCCCTGTCCTTTCGTCCTTTTATTTGTCTCTTTCGTGGCTGCCAGGTTCTTTGGCAGCTTGTCTAGACCAAGTTCATGGCCTCTGAGGATCCCTCCCCCGAACAGGAGTCCCTTTTTGAGGAATAAGGATTCTATGTCATGGGGGCGGGGGGGAGGGGGCGGCATCAGATTTGAAAGATGCTGAGGGGGGACCGCGGGGCTGGAGGGAGCTCCGTGCAGTTGGGACCAGAGCAGGATGAACTGTGGCTGTGACGTTCCCTATACACGGTCGGGGGGGGGGGGGGGGGGCAGGACAACGGGCCCCAGGGCCCCAGGGACTGTCTGGGAGGGTTCCTGCCACCGCCTCAGGCGCCGAGCACAGGAACTTACCCACGACCCAGCGTGAACCCCACTCCCCTGCTTGAGCTCTGGGTACTCCGTTCCCTCGTCCCACACGGACGCCTCCTGGGGAAGCCGGTGGGGACGGCACGCTTACAGGGCAGTGGCCTGGCCAGGGCGGTCCCGGCCGCGGTAACCGCTGTGGGTGATTGATCCGAGACCCGAGGGGCCCGGCCCAACCAGGACAGCGTGGACAGAGGGCGGATGCGTGTCCTGCGGCCCCGGGACAGGACCCGGGGGAGGGAGGTCAGTGTGACACGGGCGTTCCGGTTGCTTCCAGGGCCTTGACTTGGCAGCTCAGTGATTGGACAGGAAAGCAGCCCAAACTGCCCAAACCCCCTGGCCCCCAGCACGGACCGTGGGAATAATCCCCCCGGGTGCAGGCTGGCTGGGCACCCTCCCCCAGGGCACCCCGTGGAGCCTGGACGCCCTGAGAACACAGGGCTGTGGCTCCTCATCAGGACACCCGCAAGCAAAGCTGCTCACACCTGAACCTGCCCCTGAATCGCGGGATCTTGTGAAAATGCAGGTTCTGGTTCACTGTGTGCGTGTGTATGCGTGTGCGTGGGTGTGTGTGTACATGCACGTGCATGAATGTGTGCACACACCTGCATGTGTGTGCATGGGTGTGCGTGCCTATGCGTATGTGTACATGCACATGCATGAGTGTGTGCACGCACCTGCGTGTGTGTGCATGTGTGCGTGCATGTGCATGGGTGTGTGTGTGCATGCCTATGCGTGTGTGTACGTACATGCACGTGCGTGAGTGTGCACGTAAGTGCATGTGCATGGTTGTGCGTGCGTGTGATGGGGGCGTGGGGGTCTGAATGTCTTTCAAGCCCCAGGGATCTGGGGCTGATGCAGCCCTGAGTCCATGAACCACAAAGAAGCAAATTGCCAAACAGCGGCCAGGGCTCACCCGCTTCTGGGAGGCGTCTGCTGGTCTGGGGAGCCTGGTCCCCTGGAGGCAGGTGTGGGCGAGTACACTTGGACCTGTAAGGCCTGTAAGGGACTGAGGAAGAGGAGGAAGAGGCCTGGGAAGGGTAGCCCAGGGCCGCATCCGCCTTTTCTGTGTGTGATTCTGTGGAAGATCCAGGAGGCGAGACCCCAGGGACCAAGTGTGGAGCCGGAGCCTGGGCTCCAGAGCTCCCCCCACAGGCCAGCCCCAGCTCTGCACCTCGCCCCTCCTGGCACCCTGGCCAACCGGCGGGAGGGGCGGGAGACTGGGACAGACCTGTATCCGGGCTGTTTTCCTCTTCTCGGAATCAGGGACCAAGATGCTGAGCAACTTTAATACTTTTTGTTTGTTTTCATTAAAACTTCCAGCTCCACTTACAGAAAAAGATAAATACCAAGTGGTTTCATAGATGGAATCTGAAAAGCAAAGCCAGCCCGGTGGGTGTGGCTGCGCGGCCGAGCGTGGACCTAGGCACCAGGAGGTCCCAGTTTGATTCCCAGTCAGGGCACAGGCCGGGGCCGTGCAGGAAGCCGCTGATCCATGATTCTCTCTCATCACTGATGTTCCCGTCTCTCCCTTCCTCTCCCTTCCTCTCTGACATCAATAAAAATGTTTTTTAAAAAACAAGAGGAAACCTAAGCCCGTGGGTCAGAACAGGGTGTGGCTGCCTGAGGGGGCTCAGGAACAGCCTCGGCTATGGCCCGCCGAGTGCGGACGTGGCCACGCCGACACTGTGACCCGCCGAGTGCGGGCGTGGCCACGCCGACACTGTGACCCGCCGAGTGCGGGAGTGGCCACGCCGACACTGTGACCCGCCGAGTGCGGACGTGGCCACGCTGACACTGTGAGCTGCCGAGTGCGGAACAAGTGCGGACGTGGCCAAGCTAACACTGTGACCCGCTGAGTGTGGACGTGGCCACGCTAACACTGTGACCTGCCGAGTGCGGACGTGGCCAAGCTAACACTGTGACCTGCCGAGTGTGGACGTGGCTAAGCTAACACTGTGTTGAGTATGTGAAAGCAGCCAGGAGACTGGACCCTAATGTCCCCGTCTCGGGAAGGCAGGTTCTATAACTGCGTCCAGCGAGGGATGCTAACTACTGCGGGGTCACTTCGCAATTATACAAACACCCAATCGTTGTGTGACACTAACATGTCATTTTTGCCTCAATAAAAAAATAAATTTAAATTTGTTCATAAAAAGCTTCTACCCACTCAGGTCTCCCTAGAGGACCATGGTCTTTAGGGGCAAGAGAAGGCATCCCAGAACCTACTCCGATGCTCTGCCCGCTGATGGCTCCTAAGGACCCAGAAAGGCACAAGGCTGGCCGGACACTTTCCGATCATTTTATTGTTCGACTGACAGGCATTTACAACGTTCCATTCATAGACCTAAAAACATAAAAATAGACCTTCTTTCAGCTTATAAAAGAAATATATAAGAACTTTGGACATGGACACGTCATGACCTATGTACACGCGACGCGGCGCCCCTGCGCACGCCCTCCCCGGCTCCCCGCGGACCCGCTGCCCGGCCCGAAGCGGCTACCAGCGGCCTGGGCTCCCGCCTCCGTCCCACACACCCACTGGAGACGCGTGGACAGTGCGGAGACACGAGGGGAGTAGCAATCATTCTACAGCGTTTTCAGAAAATCAGAAGATATAGCAAAAATTCAGGAGGGTCAAAAGTTTCCAAAGACCAAGCTGAAAGCCCTGGGGACCCGAGGCGGCCGGCGGGAGCAGAGCAAGCGGCACCGAGTGCGAGTGCGAGCTCTCTGCGTCTGCAAATAGAGTCACGCGGTCTGTACAAAAGATACCCCAGAGCTACTGTAAAAGGCAGCCTGTAAAGTACCTACTGATGTGTCCAACACCAAATAGATATTTTCCCCAAAAAAGGAAGTTTTTATATTATTTAAACCCTTCTTAGGAAGTGGACATTGTGAAATGGGGGTGGGGGGGGAAAGCTATAAATCTTTTCTTTAAAAAAAAAAAAAATGGAAAGTGCTTTAACTTGGTTTTGTTCTCCCTACTTGAAAATCGGTCCAGAGGGTTGATTTTTAGCGTGTTTACCCTGTTTCGTTGGCATGAAGAAAGCGTTACACAGACATGTTTTCTTAAGAGGTTTGGACTGAAGGTCAGGGAAGGGCGGGCAATCTACGGATGAAGATGTAAATTTGACGGACAACCCATGATCGCCATGGCAACCCCCAGGTGTCTCCCCTCCCGCTCCCCCTGAGGCAGACGCACAGGCTGCCCCGTGGGGTGTCCTGTGTAACTCAACCAAGCACCCCTCTCACACAGGGGCTCCGGCAAACAAGCAAAGAAACAAACTCTCCTGGGCTGAGCATCTCGTCGGCCTTTCATATATAAATATAGAACCACGCCCGCTCTTTCTCTCTGTAAAAGGTAAAATCCTCACTTCCACGCAGCGTTACGCTAACACTGTAAAACTCCTGTTTGTGCCCCTGCCTCTCAGGCAAAATACAAAAAAATAGCATCTTTATTTCTTCAAGTGATACATTTGGCTCTCTTTTCACAGAGTTTGGCATCTTTGTAATTAATTCTATGCAAAACTAGAACTGCCCAACACTGGCTCGGCTGAGACCAGCCACAGACCCACAAAGAAGAGAAAACATGGCTCATCAAGACACACCCCAGGGACACACACATCCTCGGACGTCGGGGGGAAGTGGGGCGCTGCCTGGGACACACACATCCTCGGACGTGGGGGCGGGGGCGAGGGCGGGGCGCCAGGCGTGGCTGCGCATCGGTGCGTCGTGCTCCGTGTTCGCCCAGGAGGCGGCGCTGTGTCCGGCCTCGGATTCCGTGATGTGTGCACTTTTCCTGCCACCCCTTCGGCTCATCTGCACACACGGAGCCCCTGGCGTCTGACTTCCGTGCAGCGGAGTCTTCCATTTTATTCTTCCGACCCCGATGCACCGGGTCGGTCAAAGCCCCGGCGTGTTCGGGAGGGAGGGGAGGCGCTGAGCGATGCCATCTGGTGTCGGGGTGTCCCTGGGGCCGCGCGGCTCCATCGCACAGTCAGCCGCCAGCGCCGTGTGCGCAGAGCGCGCCCGGGGGACACCCCGTCCTGGGGGCGGGCGGGGCCAGGGATCTACACGCGCCCGGAGCCGGGTCAGATCTCCGTGTTCAGGGTCCTGGAAGCGGCCAGGTCCTCCCGCCGGACCCAGACGACCTCCTGGCCCGCGGGCTCGGGGCCTCCGCCGGGCCCGCCCAGCGCCGCCTGCTTCCTGAGCTGCGCCATGCGCGACGCGTGGCCGTCCGGGCCCCCGCGGCCTCGGTCCCGCGGCCCCAGGGAGGCCGCCTGCAGCCGCCCCGCCAGGTCCGCCGGGTCCGCCGGGTCCGCGTCCTCGGCGCCGCGCACGACCTCGGCCTCGCAGAACGCGTCATCGTCGCTGAGGATGTCCGTCTCCTTGAGGTCGTCCTGCTGCTCGTACCGCGCCAGGTCGAACTGCTCCTCCACCCACCGGTCCGTGTCCCCCGCGCCGGGCGGCTCCCGCTCGGGGCTGCAGGCGGACACGGCGTCCGCGTCCACGGTGAACCTGTTCCGGGCCAGGCGCCGCCTCCTTCGGCCCAGGGACTTGCTGGGCGCGGACACTGCGCACACACAGACACAAAGACACAGAGACCGCTCACTGCGCGGACGCCGGGCGCACAGACACGCGGACGCCGGCGCCTCGCGGTCCCGGGGTCCTTGCCTCACAGGCCAGGCTGGGAGGGCGTCACAGCCACCGGCTGGAGGGCGGGGCCACAGCGGGACACGAGGTACGGTATGGGGAGCCGGGTCACCCCTCTCCCTGTGCACCTTGCAGGCACCTCTGACCTCGGAGGAGTCCGCGCTCGGCCCTGACCACGGCCCCAGGCACCGGCTCGGAGGGTGCGGGGCTGGTCCCGCCACCTGTCTTCCTGGGGGACTCAACACCGTCCAGGGGCCCGCAGTTGGACGGAGGGCGCGCCCCCCTCTCAGAGCCAGCGGGAAGGGGACCGCCCACCTCTGAGGACCGTGTGCCCCGCGAGGCTAAGGAAACGCACCCTCGGCCCCTCCTGACAACGTCCTGGGTCAGCGACTCCCGTTTGCGAAGCAGTTACAACGCCAGGGCCCGAGGGAGGCGACCAGAAACAGGCCACTCGGGGGCGATGGGCAGAGCGCTATGTAGGTGACAGGACAAAGCTCAGACCCTCCTGCCGCCCCGTCCTCCTCCAGGAATCAAAACCAACAGAAGACGCCCCCCGATCAATCAGGCCAACGCACCCCACCTCACACACACACAGACAGACACACATGCACATGCACACACGCAAACACAGGAGACACGGACATGGGGACGCTGCTGCCCCCTCCTGGCGAGATGTGGCTGCTGCGCCAGCAACGCCCAGGTGAGGGCCGCGTTTCCGGCATCCTTCCCACGTGGTCCAACAAGGAGGGGAATGGAAACCATTTCCAGGGAAAATGGAAAAAAGAAAGAACACCTCCTGCTACTCCCCCGGGGGGCCACAACAATCCTGCTCCGTTTGCCCACAGCGACCGAGTGCGGCCCGGCCCTCTCCACTGGGAAGGACCACATGCAAAACTGGGCTCCTGGAGACGCTGTCGGTGGGCGGGGTGCTGGGGCGTAGGGGTACAGGGGGCCCATGCCTGCATTTTAGAAATGTGTCAAAAACACGACGAGCTGATGGATGACAGACGGATAGATACGTGATCGTGAAAATATGGAAAAATACGAGCCGCGGAGGGGAGCATGAATGGGCACCGTTCTCCCCGCTGTCCTGTGCCTGGGGGCGCGTGAGGGCGCGCGGGAAAGAACAGAAATGTCTAACTGGGTTACTGGCTGGCACCCGGGACTTCAGACGACACAGCGCTGTGATCCCTGAGGCAGGCGGATGGCTCGCAGTCCAATTCAGACGGGGACGGAGGTGGGGAGACAAGCTCCCTGGGCTCTCGGAGCAACGCCTAACAGAGCGTGAGTCCCGCTCCTTAATTAGGACACGTGACCACCCAGCTGGCCCACGGGCTGGGGAGGCCCAGGGGGCTGGGGAGGGGCTCTGGCTGGGTATTTCCTGTGTCCGCGGTTAATTCTGGCCACCGGTGCTGTGCTGACCGCTCAAGCGCCTTTTCTACGTCTAAGGTGAGCATCCTGACAACAGCAAGGAGCTTCGAGCAACAGGTCTCCTGGGGTGAGGAGCAGGTAGGGCGTGGGCTGGCTGTTTTCTTTCCAAAGGGGTCTCACAGGAGCACTCCGCGTGTCCTAGACTCACAGTGTTTACCTTCCAAGGAAACTGAGGCTCCGGGGGCCATGACGGCGGGGTTTCCTGGGCCGGGACGCAGGTTCCTGTCCTAACCACACATTCCCTGGCAAGGCTGGGGGCAGGGAGACAATTCCAAGGAAAAGCTCTCCCTGGCGGGCCGGCGAGGCTTAACACGGGGACCCGTGGGAAGCTGTGGGCATGGGGTGCGCACGACGCCGAGGGCCATGGGGGCGCTGCCTGGTCCGCACCACAATGGGTGAGACAGACTGAGGGTAACTGCCCTGGCAGCCGCTAAGTGAAGGGGTTTGGAGGTGAGGTCTGCGTGCAGCCCCGCAGGCTGTGTCGTGAGCACCTCGCCACTCACAGTTCCGGGGCCACTTCACCCCACGGGGACAGGCAGGTGAGCGGGACAGAGGTGACACCTTCCAGACACACAGAGGAAGCCTGTTACTGGACACCTCCCTGCAAAATCCTGGCTGCCTCTTAGGAAAGGGGTGATCCCCTGGGAACACCCGATGGCACCAACACCTGTGTCAGGGAAACACCTTCCCACCCAGAGGCTCTCCGCCTGCCACTCACGGGGGCCTATCGCCCGCAGCACTCACTCCAGCCCTAGAGGAACCTGTGCTCCAGACCCTTTAAACCCTATGGCCCTCTTTCCAGCAGCAGCCGAGGGCGGCCCCACACGGACACCGAGCTACAGACACAGCTGCCGGCACAGGCGGGGGCGCAAGCCTGGCAGGTCATCGGCTCTGCACGTGGCCACCTCCCTGGGAACGGGCAGCACTGCACGCGGGTCACCAGCTGCCACGTTCTCAGGTCGGCGAGCCGTGCTGAGCCGCGACACTCCCGCTGACAGAGCTGGCGGCCATGCAAAGCAGGGACCCCATCCCGCCGGCCGGCTGGGCCTCCACGGGAGAGGCACTCGGCTCCACCTGCGGGTGACAGGCTGGGCGGCCAGGGGGAGGGACGGAGGGGAGCCCGAGGGGGCTCAAGGGGCACGCACAGCGCTGTCCCCAGGGAGCCTGGGCGAGGCGGGGACCTCACAACGGGAACCGCGGTGTCAGCCCCACGGCCAGGGCTACGTCTCGCCGACGAGGACGGCAGCTCCCTCGGCTCTACAGTGGCGCGGGGGTGACGGGGTCCCGGCGGCCGGCATGCCCACAGTACCTGCCCTGCTCATGGCTGGCCGGGCCCCCTTCAGCGCGCACAGGCGTTTTCCTCCGAAGGGGACGTACTGCTGGGACGAGGGCAGGCTCTCGGCCTTGAGGAGCTGCCGCCGGTGCTTGTCACGGAGGACCGAGTGCACGGCCTTCAGGAAATCCTTGCGGCTCTTGGGGGAGCTGTGGAGGTCACAGGTGTTAGGGAGACTGTCCCCGCACAGGGACTGCGAACGTCATCAGGAGCCGCCAAGCAAACCCTGAGGACCAGGGTTAGAGAGAGGTCTGCTCCAGTCTCCAAGTCCCACCCAGCTGTTTGCATGGCTGGGGCTCACCGCCCCGCATCTGAACAGCACAGCCACACCCCACCCGCCCCTGATCTGCACAGCCACACCCACATCCCGTCCCCCCTGTGCAGCACAGCCACACCCCACTCTGCCCCCTGATCTGCACAGCCACACCCACATCCCGCCCCCCCCTGTGCAGCACAGCCACACCCCATTCTGCCCCCTCATCTGCACAGCCACACCCACATCCCGCCCCCCCTGTGCAGCACAGCCACACCCCACTCTGCCCCCTGATCTGCACAGCCACACCCCACCCTGGCCCCTGATCTGCATAACCACACCCATGCCCCGCCCCTGATCTGCACAGCCACACCCACATCCCGCCCCCCTGTGCAGCACAGCCATACCCCACCCGCCCGATCTGCATAGCCACACCCGTGCCCCGCCCCCTGTGCAGCACAGCCACGCCCAACTCTGCCCTCTGATCTGCAGTCACACCCACATCCCGCCCCCTAAACAGTAAACAAACTCCGCCCTCTGATCTGCATAGCCACGCCCATGCCACGCCCCCGAGCAGTGATGCCAAGCCCACACCCGCCCTCCGCGCACAGGGCTCACCCGCAGCACAGGTGGAACACCCGCTCCGGCCTCCCTTCTGACTCGGACTTGACGTGGACGATCTCGCACGCGGTACTGGCGTCGGCATCTGGAGGGTAAAGGCGCGGGTGAGGGTGCGTCTAGGGCTGGTTGGCGTCTTTGTGAACGTTTCCCAGCTCGGCGAGCGACGGCACAGAGCAGAGCCGCGGAGACACAGGGCTCCCCTCCGACCGCGCCCAGAGACGGTGCTCAGGTCAGGAGGGCTGAGACAGGGGGGCCTGGAGAACTGCCGGCCGCAAACCCCCTAGATGGTCGGGAAGGGCAGGCGGCCCATCTCCCTGGCTGAGAACTGGCCCTCCAGCTGCAGGCAGGTCGGGCTGAACCGTTTCATTTAAGTGACTGGTTGTCGGGCATCAGCTGGACAGACCAAGCCTGGATCCCATGAGGATCTCACAGGCCTCGCTCTGTGGGGCTGGGCTGGGGTGCTGGGGGGGCGGGGGCCAGGTTCCCGCTCCCGAGCAGGCCGAGTGCCGGGGACAGGCAGCCAGCGGGTCCTGGGGATGCGTGAGGCTCCTTTTCTCAGGCCCACAGGGTGCCCACTCCTCTTGAGGCACACGGTGTGCCGAGAAGGTGGGGCAGCTGTATCTTCAGGTGATTTCTCGGCCTGTAACACCACATCACTTTGTTTATTATGGTATAAGCCTGCAATGCTGCATCTCTTGGCGTCCCCGATAGAGTGTCTGTGGGGGAACAACTCATGACAAACGCCGAGCCTGAGCCCGGGAGGGGTCCTCCTCGAGCCGTGGCTCAGAACCAGGTCCCAAACCCTCTCCGGCGGAGTCTTCAGCCCCAACCCGGACGCATTCGCAGGGCGTCTCACGGGCTCTCCCCAGCTAGACAAAGCCCAGGCTTCCACGTTCTCATGCTCACACCCACTGGCCTGTGTTTCACAGCGCGGGGCATGTGGCTGGTCTCCATAGCTCCGTTCAATAAAAACAGCTGTGCCCGGCTGGCATGGCTCAGCGGCTGAGAGAAACCCTTGCACCAGAGTCCTGGGTTCGATCCCAGTCGGGGACGTGCAGGAGGCAGCCAACGGATGTTTCTCTCTCTCCCTCTGCCTTCCCCTCTCCGAAATCAATTAAAACATTAAAAAAAGAAAAAAGCTTTTATCTTGATGGTTTCAAACTTGATGGAATGAGAAAAAGGGTGAGAATGGAATGTCCAATCACAAGAACGGCTTTGTCCTCCAAAGGGCGGCTGGGTGCACCTAGTTCTCATGACAGCAGAACCCCTGGCCGAGACCTGCCGTTGGCCACAACCACAGGCCTCCCCCTCACCCGGCACAAGGAAACCCACAGCCGGTAATCCGCAACCTAGACCGACACGTCAGGCAGCGCCAGGATGGGGGCCCAGAGCGGAAACATTATTACAGCTGCCTGCAGACCTACTGCGCACAGGCTCCCGCAGATTCACGCATCAATCAGTTCAACAATCAAACAGTACAAAGGCATGAGGGAAACCTGTGAGCCGGACGCTCTAGAGAACCTTCTAAGGCAAACCACCCTCCCCAACGCCTGTGCCCAACCTGGCATTGAGAGTGAGTGTTCCCGCGGCCTGCGCTCAGCTCCCGGGAAGGAAGCTGCCTCCAGCCAGTTTGGGGGTCACTGAGGTTTACCAACTATTGGACGAGGGGGTGGTTTGAGGATCGGAGCAACTTTACGGCTAATGGACGTGACAACAGGTACAAACAGGGAGAGGGCGAGGGCCACCCATCGGACGCTGAGAACTCCGGGCTCACGTCGGACGCATGACACAGAAACCCTGGTCCCCGTGCCCCTGCCAAGGACACTCCCCAGCCTCTTTACCATCAGGGTAACCTGAGAGCTTCCGCCGACCCCCAAGGTGCTCCTTTGAGGATGTGCCCAGGGTGGAGCCCAGGCAGAGCCCACACCCGCTGCCAGCACCTCGCAGGCGCGGAAGGCACTGCCTAAGTGAGTGTATTCGCTGCTCCCCACACCCCACCTCCCTGCTGCCTGGATCGCAGAGAAAGAACTGACTCCAAAGCCTCCACGCTGACACAAAGGGGAAGTGTGTGAGTGTGTGTGTGAGTGTGTGTGTGTGTGCGTGTGTGTGTGAATGTGTGTGTGAGTGTGTGTGACTGTGTGTGCACGTGTGTGTGCGTGTGTGAACGTGTGTGACTGTGTGTGTGTGTGACTGTGGGAGTGTGTGAGTGTGTGTGACTGAGTGTGTGTGCGCGTGTGTGAACGTGACTGTGAGTGTGTGTGTGTGTGTGACTGAGTGCGCGTGAGTGTGTGTGCGTGTGTGAATGTGTGTGTGTGTGAATGTGTCTATGTGAGATTGTGTGTGACTGAGTGTGTGTGCGCGTGTGTGTGCGCGTGTGTGAACGTGTGTGAGTGTGTGTGTGACTGTGTGTGTGTGTGACTGAGTGTGTGTGAGTGTGAGAGTGTGTGAGTGTGTGTAGGGGGGAAATATATTCCAGGGTCTCTTTTTCTATTTTTATTTTCTCTCTTCCCACCCCCCCCCATGGCCTTGCTGTGCTTTGGGAGTCTTTGGGGGTCTCTCATTAAAAGGCACGTGAGTTACTCCGTGGACTGTGCTCCTGGGCTCAGTGCTACTCAGGTGAGTCCCTGTGGCACGAATACAAGCCACAGGCGGCAGGACCCCTGGGCCCGCACTGAAGGCACCGCTCCCGTTCACTGGGTTCCCTCACTCGCTCGCGGTGAGTAAACAGCGGGAAATCGGAGGCCGTGGAGAGAGAGGGGCACGCAGCACCTGGGCCCCGCCCGCCCACGGTAGCTACCTGCACTGGCCAGGGCGCGGACCTGCAGCGCCTCCGTGGGGATCATGTGCCGAAACCGGAAGGGGTCCCACTCCTCGTAGATGGAGAGCCTGTGGGATCCGACCTGCAGGAGGGAGGGGCAGTGCGTGAGGACCGGCTCCAGCCTGGACCGGACCCCCTCTCCAGAACCCGACCCCCTGGGACCCACCGCAGAGAGCGAGGGGCACAAACAACTCTGCCAGCCAAGCCCGGGTCCCGGGGCCCAGCACAGAGGAGGAAGGGGCCCAACAGGAACAGAGGGACAGGGGGACAGGGAGGGGGACAGTGTGGGAGACTCGGACCACGGCAGGCGGGCACTGCCCTGAGTCCTTAGCAACATTAAACAAAAACAAAGAGGGAAAAGCAGCAAGTCCTAGGAGGCTCCCGCCTGGCGAAGGCAGAACCTCTCTCGCCCGGAGAAGCCCACAGCCGTGGGGAGCAGGCGTCTCTTACGAGTTTCCTCTTCTGCTTGGAGCCGTCTTTGTACACGAGGACCACGGCCGTTTTGAAGACTGGAAAGAAGATGAAAGAGGGCGGTTACGGCGGGCGGCGTGGGTTTCCTGTCGGCTTCCTACTCGTGGTGACGAACACGACGGTTAGGAGGACGGCGAGACCCCAAGGCCCCCACCTTCCCTCCTCCTCACATCCCAGACACTCAAACACCTGCCGAGACAAAGCCTCCGGAGCCCAAACGGATGGAAAGGCCCACCCCACCCGACAGGAAGCTCCTGGGGAAACAGGGTATTTAACCGGGGCATCATTTCTAACCGACAGCTGAGGCCATATTTAACAACAATGGAGTGGGTGGGCGGCTGGGGGAGGATATGAACACCTTTAATGATAATGATGATAATAATGATGATGATGATGATGATGATGATGATGCAGCCGCTAAGGAGACTCACACTTATGCCCATCAGGCTGATACGTCAGGCTTATCGGCGTGGACATTAGCAGAGGAAGCGGAGTGCAATCCCACGTCCCCCCAGCGCCGGCCTCAGGGCAGGGGGTCGGGTGTCCCACGCTCCCCACGGGGTGGAGGGCGGGGGAGCCAGGCACCGTCACCCATCACGTCCCTCCAGCCACGCCCGCCCGTCCCCACTCAGTGACCACGACTCCGCCCATCGCTCTTCACCCTCCAGCCCGAGGCATCGCGGGGGCCGGCCCAGCAGCTGGGGGACAGTCTGGCGCACACAGAACCTCGGCGGGAGCGGCGTCCGGAGTCTCAGGCCTGGCCCCCGAGCCAGAGCACCTGGCTCATCTCCTCTCCCCGTCACAGGGGCCAGTGTCCATCCAAATCTCCACGGCAGGAAAACACGCCTTAAAGCGCAAAGAAACTGCCCCCAGCCCCAGCCTGGGCTGCCCCCACCCTTCCCACCTCACAGCACCGGCTCCTCCAGGGTCCCAGACGGCAGAGGGTGGCTCCCTCCCTGCGGCTCCCTCCCTGCAGCTCCCTCCCCAGGCGGCCATGCAGCTCGGCAGGACTGAGTGCGGCCCTGCTGCCCAACCTTCCCACCGGCCTTCCCACGGGCCCTGCTGCCCAACCTTCCCACCGGCCTTCCCACGGGCCCTGATGTCTGACCTTCCCGCCGGCCGTGGTCTCACAGACCCATCACGTGACTGCGGCCACACCGCGGAGGCACACTGCCATGGCTCTAAGGCTGCTGGCCTGCCTCAGTTTACCTCAGCCGTGCGGGCTCACAGGGTTGGGCCAGGGTGCCCCCCTCCTGGGCTGCGAACACCTCCTTCCGCCTCCTCTGACTCCCACCCTGACACTCAGGCTGCTCTCACTCCCTGGACTGCTCCAAAGGCACGTCTGACACCCTCAGGGCAGAAGCCTAAACAAAGTACTTCCTGCCCGGCCGGGTGGCTCAGTGGTTGAGCATCAGCCTATGAACCGGGAGACCACGGTTCAATTCCCAGTCGGGGCACATGCCCAGGATGGGGGCTCAATCCCCAGTGTGGGGTGTGCAGGAGGCAGCCGATCCATGATTCTCTTTCATCATCGATGCTTCTCTCTTTCCCTCTCCCTTCCTCTCTGAAATCAATGAAAATATATTTTTAAACAGCAGCCCTGGCCGGCGTGGCTCACTGGATGGAGCGTCGGCCTGCGGACTGAAGGGACCCAGGTTCGATTCCAGTCAAGGGCACATGCCCAGGTTGCGGGCTCGATCCCCAGTAGGGGTCGTGCATTCTTTCTCATCATTGATGTTTCTCTCTCCCTCTCCCTCTCCCTTCCTCTCTGAAATCAATAAAAAAATATTTTTAAAAAACAAACTGCTTCTCTTCCTGCACAGGGGCCGGCCATCAGCGTCGGGCACGGCCGCTCTGGGAGCGAGATGCAGGTGCGGGGGCGGAGCCATGTCCGTGCCAGGAGACAGCCCACCACTTCCTGAGAGGAGGGGCTCAGGCCAACACCAGACACTGTGCGGGGCCACCTCCCGCCCCGGGAGCCGCTCTGCCCGCAGCGGACGCTTCCTGAGCCCCGGTGGGCCTGCCTCACTCCCAGGATGACGGCCAAAATGCCCAACGTGAGTGCTCCCTTCACGGTCTGGGACCCCCACACCAGCTCCCAAGGGGTGCGCCTGCGGGACTCGGAGTCCTGAGCTGACCCTTCAGCTCCTCGCAGCTCTGTGAGGCCCGACAGCGGCCGCTCGTGTGCGCCACGGGGCCTGGGTACTGGGGCCGCGGAGTCTGTGACATGGGGGTGGCCTGTGCTCAAAACTGTAACTGACTTTATTGTCATCGACGGCGCCTTGGAAAGGGACGGTCCTATTTTGAAATTTAAGCCAGACCCCACCCCCAGCCCCCTCCCCCACACTCACCGAAGGCGGCCAGCCCCCCCCCCACACACACACACACACACTCACCAAAGGCGGCCAGCTCCCCCCACACACACACACACACACTCACACACACACACACACTCACCGAAGGCGGCCAGCCCGCCCCCCCCCCCCACACACACACAGTCACACACACACACACACACACACACACACACACACTCACCGAAGGCGGCCAGCCTCCTCCCCCCCCACACACACACACTCACACACACACACTCACCGAAGGCGGCCAGCCTCCTCCCCCCCCACACACACACACTCACACACACACACTCACCGAAGGCGGCCACCCCCCCCCCCCCTCGCACACACACACACACTCACCGAAGGCGGCCAGCCTCCTCCCCCCCCACACACACACACTCACCGAAGGCGGCCACCCCCCCCCCCCCTCGCACACACACACACACTCACCGAAGGCGGCCAGCTCGGGCTCCTTCTTCCACTTGCCCAGCGAGGCGGGCGGGTTGGGCCAGGTCACCGTCGTGTGCAGCAGCAGGTCCCCCATGCTCAGGTCGGCCACCTGTGGACCAGACATGTCAGCTAGCCGGGCGGAGCCACAGACGCGTGACTGCCACGCCTACTTCACGGGAGCACTGTCTCCAACACGCGTGCTCGTTTCCCCTCTCCCCGTGTGTCCCCCAGAGCTTCAACAATACAGCGGCAAAAAGGTGCCCACCGGCCCTAAGATTCCCCAGCAGCAGACCTGCAAGAGGGCCCCGCAGCACGGAGACCAGCCCGGCCCGTGCGGCTCAGTGGTTGTGTCGACCGTGAACCCAGGAGCCGCACGGGGATTCTAAGTCCCCTCAGAGCACAGCGGCCGGCCCTCCTCCCCGAGGCTTTACAGGAAAACGAGGAACCCGCCTCCTCTCCATCCGGGGAGATCAGCGTCGGCTGCTCTATGGAGCCCAGCCCTCCCCCTCCCCTCGCCTGTTCCCACCCGCTCGCCCCGGGGGTGTCTTTCCTCTTCGCCTGGGGGGGAGGGGGCTGAGCGTCGTCACGTTGGTCTGTGGCATCTTTCGCAGCCTCGTGGGCGGGCTCTGCGCTCCTGGCTCGAGGGAGACCCGCTCTGCACACACGTCGCTTTTCACACAACCTCGGCCCAGGAGGCTCCTTCGAACGGCACCGCGTCCCCTGGCTCCTCGCCGGGACGATTTCCCACCCGATCGTCCGAATTCCACCCGAGCCCTGCTTCCCTGTGACCTCCGACCCCCGAATCATATTCATCTTTTCCCAAATTCTCTGCAACCCACTATCCACTGCCTTCTAGTCTTCGGTATGAATAGCCCTTTGCTCTCAGGATTGTTAAAATCCAAAATTAACCTGGCATATCATGAAAAATGTAACAAAATGTAATAAAAAAATCTTTTTTCCCATAACCCAATAAATGAAATAATCAGCAATGCAGAGCAGGGAAGAGTCGCAGGATCGAAAACGTCTGCAGAAGTAGTCACAGCACGAAATAAACGAGGCCAAGAAAACCCCCCAACGACAGGACTTCAGGGAATCACGGCTCATCCACACGGAAATGCTACACAATAACAAACAATTCTTGAGAATCATTTAGAAGAACATGAACATTTTGTTCAACACAAAGTATCACCATTCAAGACCCTTTCAGAATATAATTATTCAAGGAACACGTTTATAGGTTTTCATCAAAATAAACACCGAACGTTGTGAACGTGTGCTGTTCTTCTCCGGCCTTTTTCTTTAACGAGCGGGTGTCTTTCTCGTTACAGAAGTTTTACAAGGACATGAGGACGAAGCCCAGAGCAGCGAACCCCTCTCTCCTCTGCCCAGGGGTGAGAGGACCCGCCGAGCAGACGGAGGTGGAACCCACGCTCTCCTGCCAGCATCACGCGGAGAAGCTATGCGGTGTCTCCTGGAGAGGAGGGGCCGAAGCCAGCACACGCCGGGCCCAGACGTCCCCCCGCGGGGCCTGTACCTCCGCAGCGTGGGCGGGGCAGGGGCAGGAGAGGGTCCTGTCCAGGCTGCTGGTGGCCTCACTGACCCTCCCACGGGGAAAACCCGCGTGTCCCATCCACAAACCACCACCACACGCCTTCACTCCACATCTACACCACGCGTGTGACTTTCAATAAACTGTCACCCACCTGCCTCCCCCACATCCATGACTGTCACCCACCTGCCTCCCCACATCCATGACTCTCACCCACCTGCCTCCCCACATCCATGACTCTCACACACCTGCCTCCCCACATCCATGACTCTCACCCACCTGCCTCCCCACATCCATGACTCTCACCCACCTGCCTCCCCACATCCATGACTCTCACCCACCTGCCTCCCCACATCCATGACTCTCACCCACCTGCCTCCCCACATCCATGACTCTCACCCACCTGCCTCCCCACATCCATGACTCTCACCCACCTGCCTCCCCACATCCATGACTCTCACCCACCTGCCTCTCCGCCGCAGCACACAAGTAAATTCCATCATGTGTGTTCGCTTCTACACACACATGAAACATCCTGACTTTACCTCTTTCTGACACTGACCGGTCGTCCCACCCTCGCCTCCGGGGGACAATGACCCTGGAAACAGCCCTACCCCGCGCGGAGGAGGTTGCTCTGCGTGCAGACTAACAGGGCTCTGCCCCCTGCTCTCAGCCCCCAATCTCCCCCCCCCCCCAGTTCCCTCCCTCCCACCCCCACGAGGCAGCAAGCAAGCCCAGGAGGACTGACGCTGGGGTGACGGGGGAGGGGCACGGGCGCACAGTGGGACTGCCTGTCCCCTGCCTCCATCAGCTCTCAGCGCAGGCACAGCCCAGGGCTGCCCCCCAGCCCCTCCAGGAGGGTCTGTCCTGCCCCTTCCGCCCAGGCAGTGTGCAGGTTTGCAATCCCTTAAGCATGGTTTCAGGTCATCCTTCCACAGCTACTCGCTGAGCACCTGCTCGGAGCAGTCACGGTTCCAACCCCAGGAGGCAGCTGCCGCCCCCGGAGCTTTTAGAGCGAGCCAGGCCCACGGGCGGCAGTTACCCCCACACGCCACACCCCAGCCCGTGGGCCGCGGGAGTCCACACCGTCCTTTCCTCAGAAACCCTCGCTGAGGAAGAAGCCACACCGCAGCCGGGCCGCGGGCAGAATCCACCGCGACGCCAATCCCGCCCGTCCGGCTACTTCACAGCCAACAGCCCTGACGGGTGGGAGGCAGGTGGGGACAGGGGCCCCGGCGGGTCCTACCTCCTTCTTCTCGCCCGTCTGCTCGGCGATCAGCTGGTCAAACACGGCCCCGAACTCCTCGTGGATCTTCTGCATCTCGTTGATGTGACTGGCCACCTTGTTCATGGTCTTGATGGCCACTGGGGGCGACAGGGCGGCGATGAAGAGGCGGCACAGGGGCGCGGGCTGGGAGCGGGCGACGGCAGGGGTGGGAGGCGGGGGGCTTTGCTTGCAGATAGAGGGGGGTGGTGTGTGTGTGTGTGTGTGTGTGTGTGTGTGTGTAGGGTTTTGTGGGCAGGGCTCACATCGGCCTTGGAGGGGTAAAAGGGGGGATGGGAGCTATGGGTGGGGTCATGGGCGGGGTTGGTGGTCGTAGGCGGGGTCATCTGCCAAGGGCGGGTTTGTAGCTGTGGGCAGGGCTATAGGCCGTGGGCGGGGCTGTAGGCAGGGCACTGGCTGTGGGTAGTCCATGGCTTGTGAGTGGGGTCACCGACCATGGGCCGGGCTGTGGGCGGGGCTTATGACTATGGGCAGGGCTGTAAGCAGGGCACTGGCCGTGAGCGGTGTCACCAGCTGTGGGCAGGACACTGGCTGTGGACAGGGCTTCTAGCCATGGGCGGAGCCATGGGCAGAGCTGTAGGCAGGACACTGGCTGTGGGCGGGGCCATGGGCGGGGCTGTGGGTGGGACCAGCTGTGGGCAGGGCACTGGCTGTGGGCGGGGCCATGGGCGGGGCTGTGGGCAGGGCACTGGCCATGGGAGGGACTGTAGACAGGGCACTGGCTGTGGGCGGGACACTGGCTGTGGGCGGGGCTGTGAGCAGGGCACTGGCTGTGGGCGGGACACTGGCTGTGGGCGGGACTGTGGGTGGGACCAGCTGTGGGCAGGGCACTGGCCATGGGAGGAGCTGTAGACAGGGCACTGGCTGTGGGCGGGGCCATGGGCGGGGCTGTGGGCAGGGCACTGGCCATGGGAGGGACTGTAGACAGGGCACTGGCTGTGGGCGGGACACTGACTGTGGGAGGGACTGTAGACAGGGCACTGGCTGTGGGCGGGACACTGGCTGTGGGCGGGACACTGGCTGTGGGCGGGACTGTGGGTGGGACCAGCTGTGGGCAGGGCACTGGCCATGGGAGGAGCTGTAGACAGGGCACTGGCTGTGGGCGGGGCTGTGAGCAGGGCTTCCGACTGTGGGCGGGGCCATGGGCAGGGCACTGGCTATGCGTGGGCCCATGGGCAGGGCTTCTAGTTGTGGGTGGGGCTGTGGGCGGGGCTGTAGGCAGGGCACTGGCCGTGGGCGGGGCACTGGCTGTGGGCAGGGCTTCTGGCCGTGGGCCGCTCACCGTCCAGGTGGTAGTGCTCCTCGCTGTCCACGTGCGTCAGCGCGAAGAGCTCCCGCAGCAGCAGCGGGTACTTGAGGACCCGCTGGATGGGCTTGATGAGGTACGACTCGAGCGTGGCCGAGTGCTGCTGCCGGGGGTTCTGGGCGTCCAGGAAGGCCTTGAAGGCCGCGTCCGTCCTGGCTGCGAGGCACACAGCTCGTGGGGCCCGGACCTCCTCCCGTCCCTGCCTCCCTCCCCGGTGCCTTCCCGGGAGGAGGGCAGGAGCGGAGACAGCCAGCCCAGCCCGGCGCGATGGCTCATGTGGGGCAGACCCCGGGGTGTGAGTGAGCCAGGGGAACCAGGGGGTAAACCCTGTGCACTGGGACTCCGGGCTGCTCTCCTCCCTCCTGGTCCTCAGCCCCAACATACGCCCCGGCATTGAGCCGTCACCTGCGAGGAGGCAGGTCCTCGCCGTGTGAGCGCCCCACGGTCACTGCGTCCCCCAGCAGACGGTACTTAGTCCTCACGCTCTTCCCTCTACACCCCCCAACACACACACACACACACACACACACACACACACACACACACACGCGGCCGGTAGGAAAATGTAGGTCAAGCCTAATGGTTTCAGGGATCATTTGAAACATAACGATAATACCTTTCAGGTGCAAAAGAATATGACCGAATTAAGACAATCTACAGGGGCCGCATGGAATCTAACGGAATGTTTAAAAATAACACAGAACGCTAAGGGAGATACTGTTCACTGTGGGGCTCAGACCTCGGAAACTCTCACAGTGACACCTCACAACAGCCAGCGCTCAGGTGAAGTGTGAAAACTGACACACAGCCCGGCGGCGAGCTCAGTGGATGAGGGTCAACCTGTGAACCAGGAGCTCAGGGTTCGATTCCCGGTCAGGGCACAGGCCCGGCTTGCAGGCTCCATCCCCAGTGGAGGGCGTGCAGGAGGCAGCCGATCCATGATTCTCTCTCATCACTGAGGTTTCTATCTCTCTCCCTCTCCCTTCCTCTCTGACATCAATAAAAATATATTTTTTTAAAAAAAAAAAAAAGAAGGGATACACACACAGGACTGTTTGCCCGACACAGCACGCGTGGGGACGGACAGCCAGACGGGGTCCCAGCCTCCCTCTAAATTCCCGCTGCACCTGACTCTGCACAGACGCACTGCAGGCTCTGTCGGGTCCAGAGACCCCCTGGTCCAGCATGTCCCGTGACAGGTGTTAAAGGAAGTCAAAGCACAACGTGCATAAGCCTTTCCACACCAGCAGCTGTGCGTGTACAGCCACGTGAGGTGCAGGGTGAGGTGTGGGGTGGGATATGGGTGAGGTGTGGGGACGTGTGGGGGGAGGTGCGGGGGGAGGTGTGGGATGGGATATGGGTGAGGTGTGGGGACGTGTGGGGGGAGGTGTGGGGGAAGGTGTGAGGACAGCGGCTGATGTCCCGAGATCCCCTGAAATCCAACCTCCTGTCGGTTACAGTGTTGACCAAGGAAGCGCCTCCCTGACCCTTCTCTCTGTCACCAACCACCACAGGTGAAGGTGGCAGCAAACCGCCTTGTGGGGACCCTCAGATGCCCTGCCTCCCGGGCCGCTGGGGGTGGGGGGAGGGGCGCCTGCTGCTGTGAAAACCCCACTCCGTTCTGTGCAGGCAGCTGCAGCCGGAGCGGTTCCGGGAGTAACTGGGACCACGTGCCCGTGACGGACAGGCGTGAGCACAGCGCTTGGAGCAGAAGCAGGTGAGGGCAGGAGGAAGGCCACGGGAAGGCAGGTGCGATGGGGCGGGTGACAACGAAATCAACGGAGAACAGGAATAAAGTGGGGAATTTCTAAACCCTGTATTTCCTGCATAACTGCAAAGTGACCCCTCAATTCTGGACCAAAATAGCTCAGACAGAAGGTGCGTTATCAGGAAAGCGACACACGGCTAACCCAGCTACGCCCGCCTTTCCTTTCTGAGCCCTCATCTGCGGCTGTCGGACGTCGGCTGCCACATCAACAACCCTTCGCTCTCCATCCGAACACTCCCACCACGGCCCTGGCCCCGGACCCGCCCTCTCGGCCTTACCTTTCACCAGGACCTTGGGCACCTTCGTGTGGCTGGCGCAGAAGGCGCTGTACAGCTTGAAGCGGTCGGCGTAGTAGAGGAAGGAGCCCCCCAGCGAGAACAGCACTTTCTGGGTTTAAGGAGAAGAGGCCTGGCTAGTTCAGGTCGCGCTCACCTGGGAATACCCGCAGGCTGTCGGGCACCCTGCCGGCCTGACGTGCCCGCTCAGCAGCGGTCACCCCGTCCCAGCTCCTCCCTCCGCTGCTGGGGGCCTGGAACAGCCCCCGAAAGCACGTGAGCTCACAAACCTGGGTAACGGGTTTGGGGTTTGGCCTTTTCAGTAATTACAGTGCAGGGGCCAGTTTTCTAGACCAGTGTTACTTGTGTTTTTAAAATGCATTTTTATTTATTTCAGAGAGGAAGGAAGAGGGAGAGAGAGAAACATCAATAATGAGCAAGAGTCACCGATCGGCTGGCACCTGCACGCCCCACACTGGGGAGCGAGCCCACAACCCGGGCCTGTATCAAACCGCGACCTCCTGGTTCACAGGTCAACGGTCAAACCCTGAGCCACGCGGCCGGGCAGCCAGTGTTGAAAGGGTCTGTGTGGGTGTGGGGTGTGTGTGTGGGTGTGGGTGTGGGTGTGGGTGTGGGTGTGGGGTGTGGGGTGTGGATGGGAAACACGGTGCATCGGAAAAGGCAGACCTGAGCCCCTCACCAGCTCCTGGGGCAGGACTGTCGAGGCCGGGGCTTCTATCCGGGCCTGTGAAACAGGCCTCAGGAGAGAGCCCGGCAGAGCAAGCACGTCACACTCGGGCCTCGCCTGCGGCCCGCCAGCCGCGAGCTGGACGTGCTTGCTCTATAGTTTCGCGTGAGCTGGACTTGTTCGAGACAGACGCCCCTTACTCGGGCAATAAAAACAGGTGTGGATGTGAGTGAGGAACCGGTCCCAGCGTGTAGTTTGGCTAATGGACATGGCAGGGAATTGGGAAGGACGGGCTACTACAACAACCACGGTTGCTTAGGAACCCACACAACTGGCAGGCAGAGGCCAGCGTGGTCTCCTCTCTATTTCACTTTCGGCCTCCACCTCCCCGCCCCGCCTGCCCCGCCCGCCCCGCCCACCCTGGACTGAGGACTGACTGACCTTAAACTGATCGACTCTCTCGAGCTTTTCCAAATCCGGGACGAGTCTCACTCCATCTTCCAGAGTTTTAAGGAATTCTACTTGAAACTCCACCATTTCGGTTAAATTGCCGAAGAGCACGTCAAGCTGGAAAATGAAAAGGAGTTTAACCGACGTCATCTTTCTCGTTAGTGATCAGAAACGACTCGCTTCTGATCTCAGCATCTTCCTGCCGATCCTCCGGATGAAGATAACGGTCCCCCAGGGGCGGGAGCCCCTCCTCTCGGGCGCTGTGACTTGCCCTTTTGCTACAGTGAAAGGGACCTGACTGCTGCTCCCACCCTCGCCGCCCCCCCCCCCCCCCCCCCGCCCAGGTGACTGCGCAGGCACCTCGTCCTGGGTGAGAAAAGTCTCCTTCTGCAGTGGCTTCAGGTATCGCTCCATGAGACAGTTCAGGTCCTGAGGGCGGAAAGAACAGCTCGTGAACAGAGTTCAAACGTCTACAAAGAACCCAAAGGGGGAAACCCCGTGATGTTCCAGGGGCCGGCGGTCCGGTCTTTAGGCCACGAAGGTGCGTGTTAAAGGAGCGAGCGCGCTTTTCTGCAAACGCGTCCGGCTTTGCAGCCACGGGCTCAGGCGGCAGCTGTAACAGGAAAGGGGCAGGTGGCGCGGGGATGGACTGCGTTCCAATAAAACTTTATTTGTAGAAGCAGGCAGAGGGCCGGCCTCAGCCCGAGGGCCACAATCGGCTGACCCTTGATTTAAAGACTAAAATGGCCCCGGCCAGTTTGGCTCAGTGGATAGAGCATCAGCCTGCAGACCAAAGGGTCCCGGGTTTGATTTCAGTCCAGGGCATGCACCTTAGTTGCAGGCTCCTCCCTGGCCTGGGCCCTGGCTGGGGCACGTCCAGGAGGTAACCAATCGTTGTGCTTCTCTCACATAAATCGCGTGCGTCGCCGTAGGAACGGATCTCCCACGTAACCGAGGACCTGCTGTATAACTAAACTGTATGCAGGAATAAGTCATCATCACAGTCACAGGAACTGTTAGAAAAGCTGCCGCCACACGTGTGATGGAGAACTGACCGTCAGAACCAGTGACACCACAAAGGACACGGGCTGGTCCCTTTCTGCCGGGACTCGGGTTAGCTTTTGAAGATAAATTTTTCCAAAACTCAATTCCACCGTCGTATCAGCTCAGCAGCGTTCACAACTCAGACAGGTCAGAGGGGCCACACTTGTGCTCACCACCATCTCCTTTCTCAGTCAGTGGGCGGACAGGGAGGGACAAAGGTCGGGTTACAGCTGTGAGTACTCGAAGCACAGAGTTTATTCGTGTATTTTATTAACTAGAGGCACGGTGCACAACATTCATGCACGACGGGGGGGGGGGGGGGGAGCGGGTCCCTCAGCCCAGCCTGTGCCCTCTGGCAGTCCAGGACTCCCCGGGAGATGTCTGACTGCCAGCTTAGGCCTGCTGCAAGGCTTAGGCCCACTCCACATGGGAAGTGGGCCTAAGCCGGCAGTCGGACATCCCCCGAGGGGTCCTTAACGCTGCCACGGAGGCAGGAGAGGCTCCTGTCACCATTGCTGCGTTCACCAGCTGTGAGCCCGGCTTCTGGCTGAGCAGCGCTCCTCCTGTGGCAGTGGTCGGCAAACTGCAGCCCCTTGAGTGAGGCTCTTCCACAAAATACCACGTGTGGACACGCACGTACAGTGCGATTGAAACTTCATGGCCACACTCAAGGGGCCAAAGAGCCGCATGTGGCTCACGAGCTGCAGTTTGCCGGCCACTGCCCTATGGGAGTGCACTGACCACCAGGAGCAGCTCCTGCATTGAGCATCGTCCCCCTGGTGGTCAGCGAGCATCATAGCAACCGGTCGTTCCACTGTTTGGTCAATTTGCATGTTAGGGTTTTATTATATAGGAAGGATTGTGTAGTTTCCATAGGAACAGCTGTAAACCTACTGTGGCCCCGCCCTGACATCGCAGGGAATTGCTATAAGAACTGCTGTGCTCCCTTCAAACACAAAAGAAAATCTTAACATTTGGGATAAAGGCCACCATCTACGGGAGAGGAAGAGGTTGCCTTGGTTCTGTGACCTGGCTCTGCTGTTTGAGAAACGGTGGAAACAGAGGCGGGCAGGGGGCGGGCACAGACACTCACCTTCACGTAGGTGCGCTCCGTCTCCAGCAGCTCACAGATGACCTTGCGCAGCTTGTCGGCGTCCGTGAGCTGCCGCGTGGTGGCCGGCTGCGGCCCGCCAGGGTCCTGGGGGCACGGGCTCGGGGCACTGGGGTTCATCTCGCGCGGACTGCGGCAGGACACGGCCCCCTGTTCCGTGCTCTCCAGAGCACAGGTGGAAAGCAGGGCAGGTGAGGGCAGCGGCACTCCGGGGCAACCTGTCTGACCTCTGTCCCTCCCCGTGTCCCTCCCGCTCACGCACTGCCCCGTCTCCACCTCCTGTCGCCTGGGACGATCTGGTGGACATTTAGGGCGTCAGGGTTCTAAGATTCCAACCTCTCCAGTTGCATAAATAGTTTCCCAATCCTGGGCCCTGACACCCTGGGACCTGCAGATCTCCACTGGGTCAGGCTGGGTTCACAGGGGACTGTGAGCCTCCCGGTGCCCAGCGCTGCCCCAGATCATCCAATAGAACCTCTGGGGCGGGCCCCGCAAGCCGCACGTCTTAATGCTCTCGATGGCCCCGCTGGCCGGCGTGGCTCAGTGGTTGAGCATCATCCCATGCACCAAAGGTCCTGGGTTCGATTCCCAGTCAGGGCACATGCCCAGGTTTCAGGCTCAATCCCCAGTATGGGGCGTGCAGGAGGCAGCTGATCCATGATTCTCTCTCATCATTAACGTTTCTCTCCCCCCCGCCCCTCTGAAATCAAAAACATATTGTGGCCAGAGGACATCAAACTCCAGCTCCATTGGGCCCTCCCCACGGAGCCTGGCCAAGGCCGTGACCTCGGATGCAGAAGCCAGCACAGCCGTCCCGCTCAGCACGGAGGCCACCCCCACCCGGGAGCTGCCCTGGGAGGCTCTGCACGCACCCACCCCCCAGCCGACTTCCCGGGAGGGGACGAGGAGACGGGCACACAGTGGGGGCAAAGGTAGTGCAGGGCGGCGGAGGAGGAGCCGGCTCCCCCGGCGGGAGAGGGACCAGCGGTCAGTCCCCGGGAAATGGGCCTGTCGGACGGAGAGCAATCCCAGCGACACCGGGAGGAACTCACGCGGGAGGAAGTGGGGCGCACTGTCCCCGAGGCCGCGCTGTCCCCAGAGGAGAAGAAAGCACAAGGCCACTCCCGCCCCCATGAGCTCAGGTCTAAAACCGGCCCTTTGAGTCTCCCCAGGTGAGCACACCCCACAGCTCACAGGGGCGCCTGACCCAGAATCTCACAGCCTTTCGGGAGGCAAGCCAGCCTCGCGCCAGGACCCACCCGGTGCCCAGGGGCCTCCCAGCCTCGCGCCAGGACCCACCCGGTGAGAGGAAGCCCGAGGACCAGGCTCCTTGTCAATGAGACGCACCCCGACCGAGTTCCAGCCCCTAACAGCCCTGTGCAGAGGCTTTGTGGGCTCCGGTGGCTTCTGCCTTCCCGCTGACCCACGCGTTTCCCACGCGGAGTCAGCCTGTCCCACGGGCCCAGGGGGACGACACAGACACCCCCCCCCCTAACCCCCTTAAACCTCCCTGAGCCAGCGCTTCTCCATCCACCTCCTCCCCGTCCTCCTCCCCGATTAGGAAGAAATGGAGTGAGCAGCACCTGAGCCTCCTGCGGAGACGCCCGGACCCGACCGGGCCGCCACGGGGACTCACCCCGCCGCCCGCCGGGAGGAGGGAGACTGAACACAATGCCTCTCCCGCCTCAGGAAGGAAGCAGCTCCCTGCGGGGTCCGAGGCGAATCAAATGCAACTTCACACGGACACTCCCCCCCCCCCCCGCCCAGCGCACCCCCCACCCCAGGCCCCGAGCCCCGGGAAGGGCGAAGGAGGGGAAGGGGCACCCTCCGCCGCTGGGGTCCCACCTACCCGGGCGCTCACCGGGCGGAGGGGCGGGCGGACGGACGGACGGAGCCCGGGCTGTCCCGTGCTCAGGACCAGGCGTGTGCTGCCCCAGCGCGGACAGCATGGGGCGCCTCCCCCCGCGACTCCACCTGCCGAGCTCAGCACCGGGGCCGCCGGTTCCCAAAATACTCTGCGCCCAGCCGCCTGCTCCCGGGAGAGCCCGCTCCCATGGCGACGCGTCCCCGGTCCCGCAGCCGCCGCAGCCCCGCCCACACAGCGCCCGCCGCGGGGTCACGGCGAGGTCATGCTGCGCTGGCCCCGCTGGCCCCCCAAGTGCAGGGGGAGGACCCGCCGAGCCGCCGCCGGTGCAGTGTGGCCCTGGGACCCGCCCCGACGCTCCCCCTGGAGGACACCCTCCGGGCGGGGCAGGCGCCCCCAGCACCCCGCGGTTCACAGTCTGTTTCCCCATTTTCCGCAAACAAAGCAGCCCTTCCCTTCCCGGGCAACCGCCGCGGCACGAAAGCAAAAGGGTTTTCAGGACGAAGATGTTCTCACTCTTATCGGGTATTTCGCTGAATGGAAACAATCACAGCGGGGGCGGGGGGGGGGGGGGGACACAGCCTCCGGGCTCATCGCATCCGCCCAGAGGCCGGAACCTGGGCCAAAAGCGGGGACGGGGAGGCCGGTGGGAGGGACGGGGCGGCCGGTGGGGGGGACACCGCGGCCGGGAAGGAGGTGCTAACAGGGAGGCCGCCAGCGCCCCGGCTACACCCCACGCCCACCAGGACCTGTCACTCCTGAGCCGCCCCACCCAGCAGCTCACAACCATCTACTTGCTCAACCCCAAGAGGCCGCCCGGAGCAAAACCTGTTATTTCTAAAAAACTAGAAAACATAAAATCCCAACACACAGTCTGCCCATCCTGCCCAGTATTTGTAGGAGGGAGGCAAGGCGGGGGCCAATGGGGGAATCTGGAACCATGTCAACAACAAAAATAAAACAATGATGAGAATAAATACAATTTTAAAAAATTAGATTTTTTCAATGTTACTGTACATAACACAATATACAGATGACATATTAAAGAATTGTACAGCTAAAACTCATGTAATTTTGTTGACCAATATCACCCCAATAAAGTCAATTAAAAAATTTAAAATAAAATAAAAACGTAAAATTCCAAGACGCCTTCTCTTTATCTGCCGGGAGCCGGTCCATGCTTGCTGTTTCAAGGGACCTGGCATATATGGCATACTGTTCTTAATATGTTTGCTCACCTTCTTGGCACTATGTGTTTTAACCAAGGTCACCTCTCTGAGAAAGGTTGTTTCCCCAGGTAGGGATTTTCCCCTGAAGTTAGGGAGGGAATAAAACCCCTTAACTAAGTGCCAGGCGGGTAATTAATCACTTTAACTACGAACAATCATGCTTAAGCTACATAATCTTTACTCCCTGGAATGGAGATAAGAAACGCCCTAACCTTTGGAATAGAGATTGATAGGATATAAATACAGATGTAACAAGACAACAGCTCTACAGAACCTAGACAGAACCTAGACAGAACCTACACAGAACCGAGAGACAGAAGAACTTCGCTGGAGAGAACATGGCAAAAGATCCTGGACAGAAACTGGAGACAGAACCTAGAGACAGAACCCGGAGACAGAACCTAGTGAGAGAACCTGGCTGAAGAACCTAGAGACAGAACCTGGCTACAGAACCTGGATAGAACATGGCAAGAGAACCTGACTAGAACCTGGTGACAGAACCTGGCTGGAGAACCTGGGCAGAACCTGGCTGGAGAACCTAGCGAGGGAACATGGCTACAGAACCTGGCTGGAGAACCTGGAGAACCTAGCAAGAGAACATGGACACAGAACCTGGCTGGAGAACCTAGCGAGGGAACATGGCTACAGAACCTGGCTGGAGAACCTGGAGAACCTAGCAAGAGAACATGGACACAGAACCTGGCTGGAGATCCTGACCAGAACTTGGCTAGAGATCCCGGCTAGGCTGCTGATCAACTGAACGCTGTCTCCGTGTCATTCCTTCTTCGCCGACTCCGTCTACACCTTTGGGGACCCCTGGACCTGCTGGGGTTGGACCCCAGCATTTATCCTGCCCAATATTTCTTAAAATAGTTCATTTAGGAAAAACAGCAAAAAATATTAAATCAACAGTTGTCACATATTTAGCCGGGATGAAAAATGATTACCTGTTTTATTTCATTTAGATGTTTATTGGTTTAATCTATTATTCATTCATTTCTACACCCAACCTGCTGCATTCAAAATCATCCTTCCATACTTTGGCAGTTCACACGCAAAAGTTTTCACTTTATTCTCAAGAAAAATTATACACTGATACGAGATGCATCAAAAAACTATTCAACCCTAATCAAGAAAGTTAAGCTGTGCACGTGCTGTTTAAATCATAAAAAAAAGACCCAGAAAGCTTAGGTCTCAGGAAAACAGCTGAGCACTTAGTGAACCCTCATTGGAACAGGCTCACAGCCCACTGGTCAATGAATTTCTTCCTGTTCAGAAGCCTGGTTTCACCACCAGCTGGCAGCCACCCAGCCAGAGGGCAGTTCTGAAAAGCAGTTAACATGCAAGGCCTGGTTTGCCACCTCAGAGCTGTGTGAGCTCCAATAAGTTGCTTAACTTCTCTGTTCCAATACTGTCCTCTACCAACAGAGGGAATAACAGGATCTCCTCCCCGGGGTCTCGGGGGGGCGAGCCGAGCTACCATGGAACGGTGCCCACTACATACGGGGCACTGAACGGTATTCGCTCTCGTTTATTATTTACTTTTTAACTAGAGGCCTGATGCATGAAATTCGCGCAAGAGTAGGCCTTCCTTCCCCAGGCTGCGGGCACCCAGGACCCGGGCTTCCCTCGCAGCCCCGGCTTCATCCGGAAGGACATCCAGAAGGACGTCCAGTCTAATTAGCATATTCCACTTTTATTATTAGAGATACGTTTTTTATTGATTTTTAGATAGAGAGGAAGGGAGAAGGGGGGAGAGAGAGAAATATCAATGATGAGAGAGAATCCTGGATCGGCTGCCTTCTGCATGCCTCCTACTGGGGATGGAGCCCACAACCTGGGCCTGTTCCCTGACCGGGAATCGAACTGGAACCTCCAGGTTCATGGGCCGATGCTCAACCCACTGGGCTACACAAGCCGGGCTCCTCACGTCTTAGTAACACGCAGTTAGGGCCCTGTCTCCAAGACTCCTTGGCTCAATACCCTAAGCGAGAAATTTAATCCACAAAAGGCGATTTTAGTTATGGAACTGGGGTTGCCTGACAAAACAACCAAATAAAGATAAAACCTGAACAAGCAGAAGCGAAGGAGTGCAGGACCCACGGGCGCCCGGCCCAGGGAGAGGAACAGGAACCTAAAGCTGCAGTGCAGCCCGGCCCATCGGATCCTCAAACATCTGTGACCTGGCCCCACCCTCCGTCACACACTGACACCCGACAGGGAACGGGGACAGCGGCGCCCGTCCCTACATCCAACCTGTGAGTCCAGGCGAGTCTCAGCGCCTCCTCTTCTGCACAAAGAACCATGGAGTCAGACAGACGCCTGGGGTCAGCGCACAGACCCTGGGCCTCTTCCTTCCTGCTCCCCCGACCTCATGACTCACTGCATTCAACACGGAAACGACTCAAAACCCACCAGGGAAGAAGGACTGGGCGATGACAGGGAGCATAGATGACCAAGTCAGAAAGAATTCAACAGTAAAGGCTTCAGGGACAGGAAGCATAGCTGTGCTCCCACCCACGCTGGAAATCGAGAATCCGCCTTTTTAGCCTCAGTAACAAAATAACTACATAAATGCCCTTCCAAATGTCTTCTCTCAGCATGGAAATACCTGTTTCTCTAGAGAGCCACTGGCCCCCCCACAAATAGAAGTAAAAGTCAAGTAAGGGCCACGGCTTAACCTTCGGCAAATCCTTTTATATACGAATATATGAGAGGCCCAGGGCACACGGTTTGCGCAAGGGGCTCGGCCCTCGCAGCCCCAGCTTCGTCTGGAAGGTCGTCTGGAAGGAGGTCCGGCTGTCCGGTCTAATTAGCATGTTATGCTTTTATTATTATAGATTTTTATTGATTTCAGAGAGGAAGGGAGAGGGAAAGAGAGTTAGAAACATCAATGATAAGAGAGAATCATGGATCGGCTGCCTCCTGCACGCCCCACACTGGGGATCAAGCCTGCAACCCGGGCCTGTGCCCTGACCGGGAATCAAACCGTGACCTCCTGGTTCATAGGTCGACGCTCAACCGCTGAGCCACGCTAAGGGGCTCACTTCTAACCAAAGCTGGCACGAGGCGCAGAAGCTCACGGCAAAAACCACAAGTCACAGACCACGGAGCTGACCGAACCGCACGGCGAGAGGAGATGAGTCGGACTTCACCCAGTGACAGCTGTGCCTGCCTCCCGCCTACGGGCTTGTCAGCGAGGCTGCCTTTGGGTTCTGAGAATTATTTAGCGACATCTCCCAAATGGAACTCCTGGGCCCCGTGGAGGGGGCGTCCGCCACATCCAGCTGCAGAGGCGGCCGGGATGCAGGAGGTGAAAATGAAAAGCTCTCACCTTGCTGCTGAGGTCCGTGTCATCCGAGGACTCGGGGTCCAGCCCCTCAGCCTCCACGGGGGCGGGCTCCGCACCGCTGCCCTGCGCACCGCCCAGGCCGGGCCCTGTGGGATGGAAGCAGAAGGGATGTGGGGGGACGGGACAGTGACCACCACAGGTCAGCCCATGAGGGGCGGGCATCCACTCCCAGAGAGAACGCATCGTCACACCCGCCAAGTGCCAGTTCCACGCCCTCGGCTCAGGGTTAGTTTTCATCATTTGTGTTGGTGCTGCTGCTGTCACTGTTTAATAGGATAGCGTGTTTTTATTACTTATTCTATATAATAAAAGCCTAATATGCAAATCGACTGAACGGCGGAACTACAGGTGGACAGGGGGCAGGGCCAGCGAGCGGGTGGCGCCAGGCCAGCCCAGGCGGGTGGCAGCGGGCAGAGGGAGGGGACGGCGATCTGGGGATGAGCCTAAGCCAGCTGTGGGCAAACTACGGCTGTTCTATCCGCCCGCGGAGCCGAAAGAGCGGAGGGTTCTCTCGCTCTCCCCTCCGCTCCTTCAGCAGCAGCGTTAACATGGCAACGTCGGGAAACACAGCCACAGCTCCTTCTTCTGAGTCCAGTTTAAGAACCCATTGTGGCCCTCGAGTCAAAAAGTTTGCCCACCCCTGGCCTAAGCCATCAGTGGGACATCTGAGGGCTCCCAGACTGCAAGAGGGCGCAGGCTGGGCTGAGGAACCGCATGAATTTTCACGCACCGGGCCTCTAGTAGACCATAATGATAGTTATGGGGCCCCCCCAAATTCATACACTGAAGCTCTGCGAGTAGCTGGTGGCCTGGGTCATGGCCCCATCCCGGCTGAGCGTTAGAATCACCAGGAGTTTCAGGACCACCCAGCTGTGCCCCCCCCCACCCCCCGCGACTGTGAAGGGCCGGCTCCATCTGGGATTGAGCCTCACCCCTCCCACCTGGGAAGGAGGTGCTGTCAGTGGGTGCGACTCATAAACTCATCAGACAACTTGCTGGCTGCAGTCTGAGCGGAGACGGGGCAGTGAGAGAAAAAAGGAGCCACAGCCTGGCCCGTGCGCTCAGTGGTTAGAGCACCAGCCTACAGACGGAAGGGTTGTGGGTTCAATTCCTGGTCAAGGGCACGTACCTGGGTTACAGGTCCCCTCCTTGGCTCAGGGCGGGGCAAGTGGGGAGGCAACCAATCGATATGTCTCTCTCAGAGCAATACTTATCTCTCTGTCTCTCTCTCTCTTTCTCGCTCTCCCCCCACCAACACCCTTCTGCTCTTTTTTTTTTTTATATATATTTTTATTGATTTCAGAGAGGAAGGGAGAGGGAGAGAGAGATAGAAACACCAATGATGAGAATCACTGATCGGCTGCCTCTTGCACGCCCCACACTGGGGATGGAGCCCGCAACCCAGGCCTGTGTCCTTGTCCGGAATGGAAACTGGGACCCTTCAGTCCACAGGCTGACGCTCTATCCACTGAGCCAAACCGGCCAGGGCTCTTCGCTCTTAAAAAGAAAAAAAATCCATGGAAAAAGATATCCTCCAGTAAGAAAAAAGGAGCGGCCTCAGGTTACCGGGCAGAGCCTGCCCCTCCCAGAGGCGCTTCTGGGTCACACCCGCCCGAGCGCTGCTCACACGGGCCAGACAGGCTCCGGGAGGACCGGCCGAGCCTGCGGCCTCCGCCCTGGAAGACGGGGTGGCCCCCCTGGGCTCGGGGCACTCGGGCCCTCCCTCCGACCTCCGCCCTGGAAGACGGGGTGGCCCCCCTGGGCTCGGGGCACTCGGGCCCTCCCTCCGACCTCCGCCCTGGAAGACGGGGTGGCCCCCCTGGGCTCCGGGCACTCGGGCCCTCCCTCCGACCTCCGCCCTGGAAGACGGGGTGGCCCCCCTGGGCTCGGGGCACTCGGGCCCTCCCTCCGACCTCCGCCCTGGAAGACGGGGTGGCCCCCCTGGGCTCGGGGCACTCGGGCCCTCCCTCCGACCTCCGCCCTGGAAGACGGGGTGGCCCCCCTGGGCTCCGGGCACTCGGGCCCTCCCTCCGCCGAGGCTGGGACACCCGCGCGGGCCCTGAAGGGGGCTCTGCGTCACCCTCCACCTGCCCATCCTGTCCTCCTGGCGACCGTCCGCCCGCACAGGTGCGCCCACGGGCCCTGCCCCAGCCGCGTCCTGTCCTGCGTGTGGGGCGGCCAGCTGTGTGCAGGCCCCGCGCTCTGCTCAGCTCGGGGCCTCCCTCTGCTGTCCATCCTCCCTCTGCTGTCCATCCTCCCTCTGCTGTCCATCCTGTGCACGCACCTGCCTTCCGCCTCTCCCGGCCAGCGGGGACCGGAAACGGCCAGCAGGGACCGGAAGCGGCCAGCAGACCCGGAAGCGGCCAGCAGGGACCGGAAGCGGCCAACGGGGACCGGAAGCGGCCAGCAGGGACCAGGAGCGGACAACAGGGACCGGGAGCGGCCAACGGGGACCGGAAGCGGCCAGCAGAAACCGGAAGCGGCCAGCAGGGACCGGAAGCGGCCAACGGGGACCGGGAGCGGCCAGCAGGGACCGGGAGCGGACAACAGGGACCGGGAGCGGCCAACGGGGACCGGGAGCGGCCAGCAGGGACCAGGAGCGGACAACGGGGACCGGGAGCGGCCAACGGGGACCGGAAGCGGCCAGCAGGGACCGGAAGCGGCCAACGGGGACCGGGAGCGGACAGCGGGGACCGGGAGCGGACAACGGGGACCGGGAGCGGCCAAAGGGGACCGGAAGCGGCCAGCAGGGACCGGAAGCGGCCAACGGGGACCGGAAGCGGCCAACGGGGACCGGGAGCGGCCAGCAGGGACCGGAAGCGGCCAACGGGGACCGGAAGCGGCAGCGAGAAGGGAGAGGGAGGCCCAGGCGGTGCTTCCCCCAGGCCTCCCCTCACTCCCCGCTGGTCTGCGGGGCTGAGCACGGAGAACTCCTCCGGAACTGACTGATTCGTGGTGCGGCCATAGAACCTTCGAGAACCCACCCCCGCCTTCCCGCCTCCCGCCTCCCGCATGCTGTATTCCTGACCGGCTGCGGGGCTCGAAGGGGCGGGACCACGGCAGAGTCTTAACGACGAAGCGGTTACAGAACAAGCCCGGCGCCCCGTGGGGGTGTGAGGACGGAACCGCGATGCCCGGTCAGTCAGGACATCGGCCTGGAGAAAAGTCCATCCACACCGGCCTTAGGGGCGTGTCTGTCCGGAGGAGGTAACGTGGCGAGGACAGAAAGGTCAGTGGCTCATTCTGAAACGCCGGCAGGTGAAACGGGGTCCACAGCCACGCATGTGTCTAAATCAGGTGCCGATACCGAAATACGTGTTTTATTTTTAAAATGTTATGAAGAAATCTGTGCCCGGCCGGTGTGGCTCGGTGGTGAGCGTCGACCTAGGCACCAGGAGGCCATGGCTGACTCCCGGTCAGGGCGCCGGCCGCTGCGGCTCCATCCCCAGGTCGGGCGAGCGGGGGCAGCCGATCCGTGATCCTCTCATCACTGGTGCTTCTCTCCCTCCCTCTCCCTCCCTCTCTGAAACCAATAAAAAATACATTTTCTTAAACTTTAATAAAAAGTTTAAAGTTGCAAAGTACATACACAGCCTTTAAAGGTAAACACGACACCAGCGCCCTCCTCACAGGAGCAGCCTGGGGACCGCTAGCCGCAGGGGCCTGGGGTCGCAAGCCCTCCCCGCAAAGGGCCAGTTTGCAACTTCGCAGACACCAGCCCTGTCCTGTCGGCTCCCCCGCCCGCCTGCCGAGACGTAAGTGACCCCAGGACGGGGTTCCAATCAGACTGTTTACAAAAAACAGGCCCCAGGCCGGAGCTGGCCACACCCCGCCCGCCACCCCCTGCTTCCCACCCCTGAGCCCCGGGAGGGCTCCGGCCGTAAACACTCTGCCGCAGCCTGACCCCCACAGCCTGACCCCCGCGGCCTGACCCCCCCCCCGTCCCCCCCCCCCGCAGCCTGACCCCCGCAGCCTGACCCCCGCGGCCTGACCCCCCGCGGCCTGACCCCCCCCCGCGCTGACCCCGCGCTGACCCCCGCAGCCTGACCCGCACCCCCCCCCCCCCCGCGCCTGACCCCCGCGCCTGACCCCCCCGCGCCTGACCCCCCCGCCTGACCCCCCCGCCCCCCCCCCGCAGCCTGACCCCCCCGCCCCGACCCCCCGCAGCCTGACCCCCCGCGGCCTGACCCCCCGCAGCCCTGACCCCCCGGCCTGACCCCCCCGCCCCCCCCCCCCCCCCCCCCCCCCCCCCCCCCCCCCCCCCCCCCCCCCCCCCCCCCCCCCCCCCCCCCCCCCCCCCCCCCCCCCCCCCCCCCCCCCGCGGCCCTGACCCTCCGGCTGCAGGAAAACCCTTTAATGACCCAAGGAACAGCCTCGCTGTCTGCGTTCCAGGCACCTGTCGGCCAGGGCTCCGGCCGCGCCTGCCCCCTCGTGGTCACAGGGAGGAACAGCGCCAGGGTCCCGGCCGCACAGCTAAGGCCCAGGGCTCAGGGGTCACACACATCCTGCAGGTCTGACTGGGCCGCGGCCCGACAATGACCACAATGATGTCACAGGTCAAGGCCGTCAACAGTAAAAAGCGCCTGATTTTCGGAAGCCTCGGCCCCCGGAAGCCTCCCCGAGCGCCCGGGTGCTGCCTACACTCAGATTTTGAAACTGAAGACTTTTCTCTTTAACCCAAGTTTTTAAAAGAAAATAAATTCAAAACCCCAGCCTACGAAATGGAGCCCAACTCCAGAACGGGGTGGTCGGGACCCTCTCACCCGAGAGCCCCTGGAAGAAGACAGGCCACACGCAGACACACCTGAGGGACAGGTGATGGGACAGGGTCCCGTACAGGCCCCTCTGGGCGCCCGGGGATCCAGAGCAGGGGGCGCACCCTGGGGGCCCCAGGAAGGCCTCCTGGGCAGGGAGCATTCACGCAGCTCCCCCTGGAGGGAAGGTGTCCCCCTGGAGGGAAGGTGTCCCCAGGAGGGAGGGCAGCAGGTGGGGCGGGCAGGGCTCACCCTCCGGGACTCTGAGGCAAACACCCCAAGAGACAAGAGGACCAGCCCTGACCGGTTTGGCTCAGTGGATAGAGCGTCAGCCTGCGGACTGAAGGGTCCCAGGTTCGATTCCGGTCAAGGGCATGTACCTGGGTTGCGGGCACATCCCCAGTGGGGGGTGTGCAGGAGGCAGCTGATCGATGTTTCTCTCTCATCGATGTTTCTAACTCTCAGTCCCTCTCCCTTCCTCTCTGTAAAAAATCTATAAAATATATTTTTTTTAAAATGTAAAAAAAAAAAAAAAAAAAAGAGGACCAACAAGGGTCGGAGCCCCGTCTACTTGGGCATCAAGCGTCCTCTGTCGCTCAGGAGCGGGCGTGGGCTGCGGGGCTGGGGTGGGACGTGGACGGTGGGGACGTGGACGGCGGGCGTAGGGCTCACAGCCCCAGCCCCTCCTATGGCTCCTGGCACTTCCGTGTCCCTATCTCGGTCCACAGCCCCGAGGCGGTGGCCTCTGTCCACTCGTCTTTCTCCAAAACGACCGGTGAGAGCAGCAGGGGGGATGCCCTCCACGTGGGGCAGGCAGGAGTGTGGCTAAACAGTCCTCCCCAGAACCAGAGCGCCTGCCCGCAGCAGCGCCACAGGAAGCACAGGCTCCGCCGGCTCCTCCCCACACCCCATCCCTGCAGCACCCCGTCCCTGCGGCACCCCGCCCCTGAGGAACCCCGTCCCTGAGCCACAGAGCAGCGGGTCCCCGTCGCAGGCACCCCAGCTCCGCACGCGGCCACACGCTGCAGGTCGCAGCCTTACCTGGGCTGCCGGGGAGGAAGGCGAGGGGGCTCTGGCCGGGTTCGGTGGGGCCGTCGGCACGGTGGGGCGGGCTCCCCAGCAGCAGGACGCCCCCCTCCAGCTCGGGGCGCGTCCGCACCAGGAGGCCCAGGCTGGGCTGCGAGAGGAAGTCCCTGAGGGCCGCGGGGCTCAGGGTGGCGGCCACGCGATTGTTGATTTCGAGAATCTCATCTCCCACCTTCAGGCCTGCAACGTGATGGAAAAGTTGAGTTTCACACAGAGGCAGTGGCACAGCCAGGGAGGGGGTGGGGGAGGCTGCACCCCAAGTCCTGCCGCACAGACGGTGCCCCGAAGGGGAGCAGGTGCAGGGCCCCAGGCCCGGAGGCTCCAGGCGTGGGGTCGCCTGCCCTGCCCGGCGCGGCCCTGGCCTGAACGCCATCTGGAGAAATCTACTCCCCGAGTCCGTGGGCCCCAAGAGCCTGCCGACGTCTCCCCACAAACGCTGCCTCGAGGGGGACAGAGACGCGCCCTCCAGTCACTGTGTGGCCGCCTGGGCCACACCCGGGGGCGCGAGGACCGTCCCCGCGTCTGTGGGCCGCACGCAGGGCGCTGCTCCGTGTGGCAGGGAGGCCGGCCTACTGCAGGCACATCTGGGGACGAGGGCTCACCGAGTCGCTATGATCATTTTTTGCTGTTTTGTGTGTTTTTTTGTAACCACATCAGGGCCTCGTGGAAAGTCCCTGAAGAGGCTGCTGCCTTTGAAAGCAGGTGGGAAAGCTGCCCACGTCCGGGGCCCAAAGGAGCCGCCGGGCCTCGGAGAACAGGAAGCGTGACGGGCCGGGGCAGGTCAGTCAGTCAGTGAAAGAACATTCCAGAAGTACGAGAGGGCGGGAGCCCGGAGGACCGGTCAGGGGAAGGAAATCTGGTGAGAAGGCTCCCTGCAGGGAAAGAGGCGGGGAGGCGGCCCCCAGGAGGGCGCAGGCGGGCTCGGCGAGAGGGGCTCTGCTCCCCAAGGGGCCGGGCTGCAGGCGGACCCTGCTTCTCTGCTTCTACAGAGGCTGCTCCACAGGTGGCGGCCACAGCGCCTGCTCAGACGGCCGTGCAGCCCGGGGCGGCCCTGTCGGCTCTGACCAGCGTGGATGGAGTACCGAGGGTCCTCCCTCCTGAAGTTCTGCTGCAGGAGGACCCAGGCCGGCCGGCGTGGCTCAGTGGTTGAGCATCAACCCATGACCCAGGAGGTCACAGTTCGAATGCCGGTCAGGGCACAGGCCCAGGTTATAGGATCGATCCCCAGTGAGGGGCGTGCAGGAGGCAGCCAATCGATGACTCTCTCTCATCACTGGTGTTTCCATCTCTCTCTCCCTCTGCCTTCCTCTCTGAAATCAGTAATATATATATATATATATATATATATTTTAAATCTGAGATTATGACATTCCTGACACACCTGAGTGTGTGGAATATCATCCATATTCCCTGGGTTTTCAATGACACGTATTCACACACTCGTTACAGAGAATTTGGGCAGATCTTTCTCACTCACCAACTAGAGGAAACCCAGAGGCAATTTAGGAGAGACAGACAGGGAGACAGGGAGACAGGCAGACAGGCAGACAGGCAGGCAGACAGGCAGACAGGAGACAGGCAGACAGGGAGACAGGCAGACAGGAGACAGGCAGACAGGGAGACAGGCAGACAGGGAGACAGGCAGACAGGGAGACAGGCAGACAGGCAGACAGGAGATAGGCAGACAGGGAGACAGGAGATAGGCAGACAGGGAGACAGGAGACAGGCAGACAGGGAGACAGGGAGACAGGCAGACAGGGAGACAGGCAGACAGGAGACAGGCAGACAGGGAGACAGGCAGACAGGCAGACAGGGAGACAGGAGACAGGCAGACAGGAGATAGGCAGACAGGGAGACAGGAGACAGGCAGACAGGGAGACAGGCAGACAGGCAGACAGGAGACAGGCAGACAGGGAGACAGGCAGACAGGGAGACAGGCAGACAGGCAGACAGGAGACAGGCAGACAGGGAGACAGGCAGACAGGGAGACAGGCAGACAGGGAGACGGCAGACAGGGAGACAGGCGGACAGGCAGACAGGGAGACAGGCAGACAGGGAGACAGGCAGACAGGAAGACAGGCAGACAGGAGACAGGCAGACAGGAAGACAGGCAGACAGGGAGACAGGGAGACAGGCAGGCAGAACACAGAGACCCACCTTTCTTGGCTGCCAGCCCCGTGTCCCTCACGCTGCTCACGTAGAGCCTTCGGACGCCGTCCTCCTCCACGGAGGAGAGGGAGAAGCCTGGGACAGAGACAGCGGGGTCACCTGGGCGCTGAGCGCACGCGGGCTGGTCTGTCGGGGCTTCTGTGTGCGGATCGGAGCCTCGGCGTTTCCCGCGCACCGTTCACGAAGCAGGAAAGTGCGTGTTCAGGTAACAGACGTCACTACCCACCACTAACCTCCCGGCCTCGCTCTGCACGCGGCTGCCAACTCCACCGGGGGCCAGGGTGTCGGTCCCGCCTGGCGCGGCCACCCCCACCATCCCCATCCTCAGCCTCCTCCTCAGCACAGTCCTCGCTCCCCTCGGCTGGGTCTCACCCTCAGCGCATCTCTTCCCCGGAGGTCACAGGTGTGCGCGACCCCACGTGCTGCCCGTGGACACTGCTCTCATCATTAAAACTCTGCAAAGAGCGTCCAGCAGCCACTCCCTCCAAATCCAACCTCACACGAACCCGGCTGGTCTCACACTGCACGTGTCAGGTGAGCCTGCCCGTGGCCGGGGTCCTGAGCTCAGAGCCACGAGTGGCCAGTCCTGGGCGTGGCTGACCCTTCAGGACAAAGGGCAGAACACGCCCCAAACAGCTCCCAGTCCTGGCCGCCTCCAGGCTCATGTACGTCCTCCCAGGACACGCGCTCTCCCTCGGGAAGAACACTGGGGCAGAACCAAAGGGGGCTGCGTGGAACTCAGGCCACCGTGACGTGGACACAGCTCGGCCCCGGGGGGGACAACCCTTCAGGCAGCGACCTGGCTGAGGGCCGGGCAGAGCACAGCGGCTCACACAACAGGCAAGTGACAAAACAGAACTCAGGCGGGCCGGGCCGGAGCGTCCCCGAGAGGGCGGGCCGAGTCATAACCAGCATGTTCTTTGTTTTGTTCGCAGGTCCTGGAAACAGCGCCCACGCAGGCCACAGGACCCACGGCCCGCCCACGCGGGCATCGGGTGCCTCAGATGGAGAACGGGGCCACGCCCTGCGGATGTTCCAACGACCTCATGTTTAAAAAACACGTTTTTATGGATTTGAGAGAGAAAGGGAGAGGGAGAGGGAGAGAGGGAGAGAGGGAGAGAGGGAGAGAGAGGAGAGAGAGAGAGAGAGAGAGAGAGAGAGAGAGAGAGAGAAACATCGATCGGCTGCCTCCTGCACACCCCCTACTGGGGTTCCAGCCTGCAACCCGGGCATGTGCCCTTGACCGGAATCGAGCCATGACCTCTGGGTACACAGGACGCCTTTCAACCAACTGACGGCACCAGCCAGGGCGCAAAGATGTCATTGCATCCTCTTATCCTGAACTCCATTCTTACAGCAACTTCTAGCTTCCAGGTTATTTCTGTGTGTGTGTGGGGGGGGGGGGGGGGTTGGGATGGGGGGGGTGTCAAGAAGCCCCCCTCAAATAAAACTAATTTTATCCGCGAGTCAAACTGACCCAGGTGTCCCTGCCTGCCCCTCAGAGGAGAGCACGTCTCATCTGCTAGACCCTGTGCGGACATCCTGGATGAATCACCCCCATGGCCGCACCCACACCCTGTGGGTGGGCTCTCGCCGTGCAGCGGCGAGTGTGAGGGTCGCCTCGGGGACCCCTCTGGCCTGTCCTGAGGGGGAGGGGGTTCTGCATGCTTTGGGGCGAGGAAGACAAACTCCCCTCAGCATCGGGGTGCATCCTAACAGAGCTATCCACTCCCAACCCAGCCAGTCCCTGTAGCCACAGCACGCCCGGGGTTACAGCTGTGAGATGTTTGTTCTTGTCGTTGTCAATCCTCCCCCACCCGAGGGCATTTTCCATTGATTATTAGGGAGAGTGGAAGGGAGAGGGAGAGGCAGAGAGAAACATCGACATGAGAGAGACACACCGACTGGCTGCCTCCTGCACGCGCCCCGACCAGGCCCAGGCCAGGGAGGAGCCTGCACCCGAGGTACGTGCCCTTGACCGGAATCGAACCCGGAACCCTGGGTCCACAGGCCGATGCTCCATCCACTGAGCCACACCGGCCGGGGCAGAGATTCCTCTTTTCCCCTGTGGCTGCCTTGCCGAGCCCAGAACCCGGACGGGCTGTGGCCTGACCCGCCCCCAGGCATTTTACCCACGTTCACCGGGGAACGGCTCCCACGAGGGAGTCACCGAAGACCGCGGGTTCGCACGCACCGTAGCTGTCCCCGGCCGCGTCCGACTTCTCCACCTGCAGGCTCCGCGTGGCCTTGGGGCAGATCTCGATCTCCTGGTACAGCTGGAACGACAGGGCGCCGTCAGGCCGTTAGCGATGGCGGTGTGGGGCTGCCTCACTTTGTGAATCTTTCTCCTCGCCACACTCCGGGCGCGCTGAGCCCCTCCCGCGCCCAGGCTCGCATGCCCGCCCTGAGCTGCGTACCCATCGGAAACCGCGCACAGGGAGCAGTGACCCCTCGGGAGCCGCTGGGCGGGAGCGGGCGTGGCGGGGCGCATGCCACGGGGACGGAGCTGTGGCTCCAATGCCGAGCGCCGGCACTTCCCCACGTGATCGCCCAAGTCCCTCAGTAGGAACGAGTGAGCTCAACAAACATCTAACAACGTGCAAGACCAGGCAGAGGCACCGGTCCTGCCGTGGGGCCCGGAGACGGGAGGTCCCAGTGCGCCCGGTCCCTTCCGTGCACGGGCAAACCTGCCCCGAAGTTCATGGCAGAACAGACAGGTGGACAAATTACAGCACGAAACAGACGACGATTATACAGGGTGTCCCCCAAAGTGCACACCCCGCACAGCTGCGAAGGCGGTGCTTACTGAAATACACGGCACTCAAACTGACCACCGCTGTCACGGTGCGGTCACGTGCTTGGGGGGACTCCCTGTCTAGGTGGGGACACCCTCTTTCAGCCCCTGGATGACACCACCGAGACCCAGGAAACTCAGTGTGGACTTGAACCAGTCTCCAGGGAGGAGAGGAGAGGCGTGTGCAGCTCACACGTCAGAGGTTTCACTGCAATTAACCGGTCGGCTCGTTCTCCTGTGTCTGACAATCATCGCTCGGACAGTCACTTCCAAGTTCTGCCCTCGCCCTTGGTCTTCACTCACTCCCAGGTACCTTGGGACCCCTTTAACAGCGGAGAGAGCACCCCAGCAGGACAGGGCCCCTTTAACAGCAGAGAGAGCACCCCTGCAGGACGGTGCCCCTTTAACAGCGGAGAGAGCACCCCTGCAGGACAGGCCCCCTTTTCACAGCTGAGAGAGCACCCCTGCAGAACAGGGCCCTTTAACAGGGGACAGAGCACCCCTGCAGGAAGGGCCCCTTTAACAGCAGAGAGAGCACCCCTGCAGAACAGGGCCCTTTAACAGGGGACAGAGCACCCCTGCAGGACGGTGCCCCTTTAACAGCGGAGAGAGCACCCCTGCAGGACAGGGCCCCTTTAACAGCAGAGAGAGCACCCCTGCAGGACGGGGCCCCTTTAACAGCGGAGAGAGAACCCCTGCAGGACGGGGCCCCTTAACAGCGGAGAGAGAGCACCCCTGCAGGATGGGGTCCTTAACAGCGGAGGGAGCACCCCTGCAGGACGGGGCCCCTTTAACAGCGGAGGGAGCACCCCTGCAGGACAGGGCCCTTTAACAGCGGAGAGAGCACCCCTGCAGGACAGGGCCCTTTAACAGCGGAGAGAGAGCACCCCTGCAGGACGGGCCCCTTTAACAGCGGAGAGAGCACCCCTGCAGGACGGGCCCCTTTAACAGCGGAGAGAGCACCCCTGCAGGACGGGCCCCTTTAACAGCGAGAGAGCACCCCTGCAGGACGGGCCCTTTAACAGCGGAGAGAGCACCCCTGCAGGACGGGCCCCTTTAACAGCGGAGAGAGCACCCCTGCAGGACGGGCCCCTTTAACAGCGGAGAGAGCACCCCTGCAGGACGGGGCCCCTTTAACAGCGGAGAGAGCACCCCTGCAGGACAGGGCCCCTTTAACAGCGGCGGGAGCACCCCTGCAGGACGGGCCCCTTTAACAGCGGAGAGAGCACCCCTGCAGGACGGGCCCCTTTAACAGCGGAGGGAGCACCCCTGCAGGACGGGCCCCTTTAACAGCGGAGAGAGCACCCCTGCAGGACGGGCCCCTTTAACAGCGGAGGGAGCAGCCCTGCAGGACGGGCCCCTTTAACAGCAGAGAGAGCACCCCTGCAGGATAGGGCCCCTTTAACAGCAGAGAGAGCACCCCTGCAGGACAGGGCCCCTTTAACAGCGGAGAGAGCACCCCTGCAGGACGGGGCCCCTTTAACAGCAGAGAGAGCACCCCTGCAGGATAGGGCCCCTTTAACAGCGGAGAGAGCACCCCTGCAGGATAGGGCACCTTTAACAGCAGAGAGAGCACCCCTGCAGGATAGGGCCCCTTTAACAGCGGAGAGAGCCCCCCTGCAGGATAGGGCCCCTTTAACAGCGGAGAGAGCCCCCCTGCAGGACGGGGCCCCTTTAACAGCGGAGAGAGCACCCCTGCAGGACGGGGCCACTTTAACAGCGGAGAGAGCACCCCTGCAGGACGGGGCCCTTTTAACAGCGGAGAGAGCACCCCTGCAGGACGTGCCCCTTTAACAGCGGAGAGAGCACCCCTGCAGGACGGGTCCCCTTTAATAGCAGAGGGAGCACCCCTGCAGGACGGGGCCCTTTAATAGCAGAGGGAGCACCCCTGCAGGACGGGTCCCCTTTAATAGCAGAGGGAGCACCCCTGCAGGACGGGGCCCTTTAATAGCGGAGGGAGCACCCCTGCAGGACGGGGCCCTTTAACAGCGGAGGGAGCACCCCTGCAGGACGGGGCCCCTTTACCAGTGGAGAGAGCACCCCTGCAGGACGGGGCCCTTTAATAGCGGAGGGAGCACCCCTGCAGGACGGGGCTCCTTTACCAGTGGAGAGAGCACCCCTGCAGGACGGGGCCCCTTTACCAGTGGAGAGAGCACCCCTGCAGGTGCGCAGGCCCACGGCCATGTCCACAATCCATGACAAAAGCTCCGAACAAATCCATGTGCCAGAGGCTCAGAGACGCGGCCAGTGGGGGATGAATGTTGGAAAAAACAACAATAAAAGTAACAGCGTTTTTAGGTGCCGTCCAGCTGTGTAGGGCCCTGAGCAGCAGCCTTGGGGGCCGGCTCGGACAGCACGGTCAAGCGTTGGGAAAGGACTGGATTCCAGCGAGGAGGGGGGACGCCCGTTCCTCTCTGCCCTCTTTTTGGGGCACCTGACAGGCGGCGAGTGGAGAGCTGGGGGGAGGGGGCGAGGAAGATGGGGAGATGAGGAACTGAACGCACAGCCGCTCGCTGGACACCCTAATTCAATGCAACTTCCCCCAAATGCAGTGTGAAGGGCACACCTCGATGGGGTTTTATTGGATACTTCCAACATTTACGTATACAGATAAGTTCTGAAATTCGAAAAGAATCTGTTGATACTGATCTGTAGCTCAAAAACACGGTCACCAAAACTATAAATACCAAGTATACGAAGTTTACGGTGCGTTTCGTCACACCACTGAGCGCCCACAACAGGCTGGGCCTTCTCCTGATTCTGGGCCTCGAGCCCGCTCTGCCCCTAGGGGGCAGCGTGTCGCCGTCGTTCCCATCACGGTTTTCCCTCGGCCCAGCGGGCATGTCCTGTCCCTGCCTGGAGGCCTCCTGCTTGACACCTGGTTTGAGAGCCTGTGGGTACGTTTATCTCAGACGATTTCGTTTATAACAGTGGTTCTCCACCTTCTGGCCCTTTAGATACAGGTCCTCATGCTGTGGCCCAACCATAAAATCATTCTCGTTGCTACTTCATAACTGTCAGTTGCTACTGTGATGAATCGTCATGTAAACATCTGATATGCAGGATGGGCTTAGGCGGCCCCCGTGAAAGGGTTGTTCGACCGCCAAAGGGGCCGCGACCCACAGGCTGAGAACCGCTGGGTTAGAGCGACACAGGCCCGAGCCCCACTTCCTTAGACTAAACTCAGCGCAAGAAAGAGCCCTGATAGACACAAGAACCACCCGGCAGGGCTGCTCCGCGGCCGCCCCCACGGGCCAAACGCACTCGGCTGGCGACGGGCGGGCGTTAAGCGGGCGTCCACAGCGCTGGCTGCACAGAACCCCACTCACTGCCGGCCACGCGCATCCCCTTTCCCAGAGGGAGGCCCGGCTCCGGCTCTCGGCTCTGCTCTCCGCGGTGACCCCCACCACGGGGACGCGTCACCAGGCACACGTCCATGCCCACAGCCGTGGCCCCAGGAATGGCTCGCGCAGAGGGGAGCGAAACTCCAGGGCGGGGGGCCCGGCTCCCACATCCTCTCCTGGGACTGACACCGCACCACGTGGCCGCCAGAAGGAACGCGTCAGTTCTGTTACCGTGACAACGTTCCCTGGGCACCTACTGTGTGAACCGTCACTTCCACTCTGATGGGACCCTTGAATAGCGTCCCCTCGTGTTCCTGCCAACGCCACGTCCTTAGAGCCGACAGAGACCCGGGTGTGGGACAGACTCGGACAAAGAAACGCAGACACAGGTGACGGCCGGGATCTGTCTAAACGTCACCACGAGAGGCTGGGACACAGAAGTAAGCGGCAGCTCTTTCCTGCGACAGGACGCGGCCGTGGGTTCCAGCGTGCGGGGAGAGTCACACAGAAATGGAGTCAGAGCCAGCGGGCCTCAGTCGCCAACTGAAAACCACGCCTGGCAGGCTACAGGGAGAGCGGATGGCGTCCCCGCGGCTCTGGGCCGGCTGTGCCAGGGCACGGGCTCCCTGCATAGACAGGGGGCGCTGCACCCGCGGAGAGGCTGGGACCCGCAGGGCCGTCCCAGGAGCCGCACTCCAAAGGAACGAGGGCCATGCAGGTCAGAACCCGCTCCCCCTCCCCAGCCACCACCCGCATGGGCGCCCCTGGGATTTACGCCCCTGCGTGGAGGGCCCGGAAGGCAGCGGCCTACCAGCTCGTACACGTCCTCCTCGGGCTGCGGCACGTAGACCTGCAGTCTGTTCTCCACGAGGAACCTCAGCCGCAGGTAGTGGGCAGCCGGGTCCAGCTGGTGCGTCTGCGCGGACAAAGGAGAAGGAGAGATGTTCGGTGGGAAAAGGGGGCGCGTTTCCCGGGACATGGCGTCCGGTCCCGGGATAAGTGTCCACCGTCCCGGAGGCTTTGCACCTACACCCGAACTTCAGCGCCTTCTCACTGAACACAGGCCGCGCCCCGTGGGCACCTGGCGATGCACTCGGCCGACCTGAGCCAGGTCAGCCTTTAACTCGGGATTTGCAACAAAACCCATCCGACCAGGGGCCATGGGAAGGGGCACCGGCAACGCCTTCAACAGTAAAGACAAGTTTAAAGACCCACCGTCAGAGCAACGAGGCCGCAACGTAATTCCACTCACACACACAGGGAATTATGTGGACGTGATTACACGTGTAATTACACGCTAATTACCATGTCTCTCTTTTATTAGATAGGAATATATATATTCCTATCTATATTCCTATATATATTCATATATATATATAGGAAAAAAAAATATATATATATATATATATATATATATATATATATATATAGGCGGCCGGAGGGGAGCGTGGGGAAAGCCTGACTCGGGACAGGGAGGGAGGCTGCGCCCGGCACGTGGGTTTCACACGTGGGGACGGGACCATGTCGGCAGCTCATCTGCAAGCGAGTCCCAGTGAGGATGACGCTCGGATTTCGGTGAGTTACAGAGTCCCACGCGAGCTCCCAGCGTGTGGCTTCGAAACACGCGGGACGACTCGCCCAGAGGAACAATCGGGAAAAGCCAGGGATTCGGCTCCCAGGCCTCCTCCGGGCCCAGACCGGCCGGCGGGTTTCCTGTGTCTAAAACTCATCTTCGGATGAAGGTTGCAGAAAAAGCAAGAGCGGTGACATGGTTTCATACACAGCCCTCATGTGCGTTCAAGATGGGGGGCTGGCCTGCGTGGCTCATGGTTGAGCGTCGACCTAGGAACCAGGAGGTGACGGTTCGATTCCTGGTCAGGGCACAGGCCCAGGTTGAGGGCTCGATCCCCAGTGTGGGGCTTGCAGGAGGCAGCTGATCCATGATTCTCTCTCATCACTGATGTTTCTCTCCCCCTCCCGCCCTCTCCCTCCCTCCCTCTCTCTCTCTCTCTCCCCCTCTCTCTTCCTCTCTGAAATCAATAAAAATATCTTTTAAAAAAAGAAGGGAAAAGAGAGGACAGTGCTCTTCAGCACACAGTGCATCATGGGCAGGAAATGCTTCAATGGACTCATTTTAAAACATCCTTTTATTTTGGAGACTCATCCCAAGTGCAAGGTAGATAAAGAGAACGAGCCTGGGATTTGCTTCCAGAATAACCCAGAGCTGGGGTGGGAGTAAAGGAAACAGAATTTGATCATTACAGACCCCAGCGACAGGGACCCCAGCGAACCGGACCCCAGCAACGGGGACCCCAGCGACGGAGACCCCAGCGACGGGGACCCCAGCGACGGGGACCCCAGTGACGGGACCCCACTGACCGGACCCCAGCAACGGGGACCCCAGCGACGGGGACCCCAGCATTCATGACATCAGTCTGCTTCTATAGACGTGTGAAATGTAAGGTCTCTTCCCCCCAAAGGTCTGCTGATGACAGTTATTTCCACCTCCGTGAGGTTCATTTTCCACGTGTTTATACTCTTTACTTCTCCTGCCCTCCCCCACAATAGGTTTTTAAGGCCAAACTAAGAACATCCCGATAGTTATTTCCGTAACCGTCACTGAATCACAGGGAAAAACTCTCAGGTGTGGCAGACACCGTGAACCACCACCATGTGCGAACCGGGCACGCGCACGGCCCTGCATGTGGGGAGCCCCGCCCGACCCCGCATTGCCAGCGACGGAGGTGACCCCCGGGGCCTCTGCTCCCCAGGACGCCCCCAGGGCCTCACCTTGCAAACCCCCTCCAGCGTGTCCCGCGCAGAGTCTCCGGGCCGCACGACCGTCAGCGCGGACCGGTTGTCGGGCAGACAGAACCAGGACGGCGTGAAATACTCGTGGACCCACATGTCACAGTCGGGGTTCTGCTGGTGGGTGATGGGCAGGACCATCTCCTTCTCCATCTGCAACAGGGAGAGTCAGCCGGGCGGCCGCCGTGGGGACAGTGACTCCGACCCCAGGGCACAGGGCCTCCTAGTCCCGAGAAGACCCAGTGCAGACGCCGCGCCCAGGGAGGAAGAAGTACAGAGAAAGGAGGGCTGTGGGGGGGGCGGTCCTCAGACCTCACACCCGGCCCAGGACACCCCAGGCGGGCGAGCAGGAAAGAGAGGCTGGGAAATTCAGAAGGAACCTAGGGAGGAAGGAAAGAAAACAGGAGAAGGAGGGAGGCAGGGAGGGAGGGAGGGAGGGAGGCAGGGAGGAAGGGAAGGAGGGAGGGAGGGAGGGAGGCAGGGAGGGAGGGAGGGAGGGAAGGAGGGAAGGAGGGAGGGAGGGAGGGAGGGAGGGAGGGAAGGAGGGAAGGAGGGAGGCAGGGAGGGAGGGAGGGAGGGAAGGAGGCAGGGAGGGAGGCAGGGAGGGAGGCAGGAGGAGGCAGGGAGGGAAGGAGGGAGGGAGGGAGGGAGGGAGGAGGAGGGAGGGAGGAGGCAGGGAGGGAGGGAGGGAGGGAAGGAGGCAGGGAGGGAGGCAGGGAGGGAGGCAGGGAGGGAGGCAGGGAGGGAAGGAGGGAGGCAGGGAGGGAGGGAGGGAGGGAAGGAGGGAGGGAGGGAGGCAGGGAGGGAGGGAGGGAGGGAAGGAGGCAGGGAGGGAGGCAGGGAGGGAGGCAGGGAGGGAGGCAGGAGGGAAGGAGGGAGGGAGGGAGGGAGGGAGGGAAGGAGGGAGGGAGGGAGGCAGGGAGGGAGGGAGGGAGGGAAGGAGGGAAGGAGGGAGGCAGGAGGCAGGGAGGGAGGCAGGGAGGGAGGCAGGGAGGGAGGGAGGGAGGGAAGGAGGGAGGCAGGGAGGGAAGGAGGGAGGGAAGGAGGGAAGGAGGGAGGCAGGGAGGCAGGGAGGGAGGCAGGGAGGGAGGGAGGGAGGCAGGGAGGGAAGGAGGGAGGCAGGGAGGGAAGGAGGGAGGCAGGGAGGGAAGGAGGGAGGCAGGGAGGGAGGCAGGAAGCTAACCCAACCACTGGCTCAGCTCAGCCACTGGTTCTCCCATCAACCACGTCAAGCTCAGAGTGGAGCCCTGGAAGAGCATCCGGCCAGCTCAGGCCCCGGGAGCTCAGGCCCCGGGAGCTCAGGCCCCGGGAGCTCAGGGCGCACAGGCTGCGGGCCGAGGAGCCTGAGGAGGGGAGGCCGGCTGCGTGGGCAGGAGCAGCGTCCTCTCTGCCCCACTAGGGCCTCAGCCCCACCTGGGAGACGGCCGCTCCCCTTGGGGGGGGCGGGGGGGCGGGGCAGGGAGAGGAGGCAGCACCTTGGGGTGAATGCAGGACGCGTGTGGGGCCTCCTGAGGCGGCCACCGTCTACCTTCCCCCTCCGCCCGCCTGAGGCTCAGGACACCCCGCGCTCAGGTTCTCATGCTGACTCTGAGGCTGAGAACGGGGTGCCCGTGAGGCTGCAGCAACCCCAGGGAACCCCAACCAGAGGCTGCGCATCACTGTGGGGGTCTAAGAGCTCGGGGTGTCCATGTACGAAGAGGCTACAAAGGGGCCTGCAAAACAAACCAACGCTCATATTCTCCGCTCAGAGCGTCCGAAAGCCCCCCAAGTCCACGCACGAGCGGGCGCAGCTGTGACTCCCCCGCCGAACGCTCGTCTTGCGAGGCAAGTGCGCTTTTTAGGACGAACCTTCGCTCAGAAGGGTCCTTGGCACTTAGCGGGGCCGCAGAGCCCGCGGGGAGTGGGGGGGTCACTCCTCACCCGACGCCCAGGACACGGTTCGCGAGGCACGAAGCCTCCGCTCGGGGCCCCGTTCCCTCTGGACTCAGGATGGAGCCCCCACAACCCCCCCAAGCCTGAGGGCTGCCTGGCCGCGCTCCACCCTGAACCCCGCCAGCACAGGGCCGCGGCCCTTAGAGAGCTGATGGCGCCGCTTTACCCGGAGGCGGCGCCTGCAGGACAGACGGGCTGTTACCTTGTCGTCGGGGACAGCGTCGTCGAAGGCCTCCTCCAGCGCCTGCTTGACCGCCTCGGGCCCCTCGCCGAACACCTGCAACACGCATGGCGCCCACGTGAGAACCCGGCGGGGCTGGGGGGCGTGGCGGGGAGCGGGGTGGGGCCCTGGAGGGCGGGGCACGAGGGCGGGGCCTTGGATGGGAGGGGCGGGGCCCGGGAAGGCGGGGCGGGGGCCCTGGAGGGCGGGGCACGGAGGGCGGGGCCTGGGATGGGAGGGGACAGGGAGGGCAGGGACCAGAAGGGCGGGGCGCGGAGGGCGGGCGATGGGAGGGCGGGGCATGGGGACGGGGCGGGGCCGTGGGGCGTGGCCGTGGAGGGCGTGGCCCGGGCTAGACCCGCCCCCCGCCCACCTGGTTGATGCTCGGGTGCCCTTGCTTCTTCTTGGAGGCGGTGTCCAGGCCCCAGAGGGAGGAGAAGCGGCTGCGGCGCTTGCTGGTGGAGCGCGACATGGCCTGCGTGCGCCGCCTCACGCCTGTCTCGGCGGTGCGGGCGGCCACCTGCGGGGCGCGGGGCGGGCGGCGGACAGCGGGGCGGCGTCAGGTGCTGGCCATCCCCCAGGGACCCACCATCGCACCCTCTCGCGCCAGCGCTCGTCACCCCAGCCGGCACCCCCACTCCCGACCCCGGAGCCCACGGCCCAGGCACCCGGCCCACCCTGGACCCGAGTGTCCATGGACGGCGGGCGACTCGTCCGTGTCCGACTCACCGGTCCGGACACGGAACAGTCACAGATCACGGGCCGCGTCTCAGCCAGACGCCCGGCCAGGCTGGACCCCGTGCCCCGGGTCACACGGAACACACTCCACGCTTCCCCCGAACCCGAACCCGAACCCCACGGAGCGGCTCCTTCCGAATGGACGCCGCTGCCGGGTCAGCACAGACACCCGAGCAGCGCGCCGGCCCCCGCGAGTCCATCCCTTCCGCTCGGCTTCCTCCCGTTTCCACAAACCACCTCCTCAGACACCTGACCACTGTCCCCAGCTCCACCCCCGCCCGTCAGAGGCCCCGCGGAGCGAGCCCGTGGGCGGTGACCTCGCTCAGGGGAGAAGCGGCAGGTCTGAGCGCCCAGGACTCGGAGGGGCTCCCCGGACCCGCCCCCCTCCCGCGCAGGGAGGTGCCGGGTCAGCGGGAAGGAGGCAGGAGACGGGAGAGCCGGGGGTCCAGGACAGGGTGCCTGGTTCAGGAGGAAGGAAGCTGTGTTTTGTTTAAAAAAAAAAAGGAACTAAACCCCAGAGTGCTGTGTGCAAGGTGCCAGCAGCCCCAACAAGAACGTGGGAGGGAGACTCCGGTTCCCATCTGCCACTGACCACGACGGAGAGTGAGAAGGGGGTCCCCAGGGAGATCTGCGTCCAATACATACTGTGAGTTTGCATGAGAGAGAAAGACATGTATGATCTCTCCACTTACCATTGAGAGAGAGAGAGACCATTTCCATAAGGTTAAAGTAAAAAAATATGTACTTGGGCCGGGCTGGCGTGGCTCAGTGGTTGAGCTTTGACCTATGAACCAGGAGGTCAGGTTTGATCCCCGGTCAGGGCACAGGCAGGGTTCGGGTTCCATCCCCAGTGTGGGGAGTGCAGGAGGCAGCCGATCCATGATTCTCTCTCATCATGGATGTTTCTCTCTCTCCCTTTCCCTTCTCTCTGAAATCAACAAAAATATATTTTTAAAAAAACACACAAAAAGTGTACCTGGGCCCTGGCCAGTCAGGCTCAGTGGATAGAGTGTCAGCCCTTGGACTGAAGGGTCACCGGTTCGATCCGGTCAAGGGCACATCCCGCAGTGCGGGCTCGTGCAGGAGGCACCCAATCGATGTGTCTCTCACATCGACATTCCTCTCTCTGCCTCTCCTTCCCTCCACTCTCCCTAGAAATCAATGGGAAAATGTCCTCGGCTAAGGATTATCACAAAACATGTACATGTGCGTTGGGTTAAAACGTGACCCTGCCTGTGGGCGCAGGCGCTACCAGCAAACACTGCCCACGAAGGCCTCCTAAGACGGTGCCACACATCTCGGCACAACCACCAGCCCGCCGAGGGGCGGGAGCAGAAACCTTCCGGCTGTCAGGGAAGACTTGCCCACCCCCCGCCCCAGGCTCACACGGCGGAAAGCGGGACCCACCTCCACGCGCTGGCCCCGCCCCTCCCACAGCCGTCGGCCACTCACCAGGGCGTGGAAGGACGACACGGAGAAGATGCCCAGGCGCCCCATGGCCACCTTGGTGGGGCGGCTGGCGAAGGCGAGCAGCCGCTTGGGGTTGGGCAGCTCGCCGCCCTGCAGGCTGGCCAGGTAGCAGCGGTAGCGGAACAGGTCCATCTGGAACTGCTCCAGGTTCTGCTCCCAGACGAAGATCTGCGGGGACACGCGGGGACGTGAGGGAGGGGGGCCCGCGCTGCGCTTCATCCCGCACGGGCGTCACAGACCCACGCTGCCAGGCCCCGGAGTCCATCCTAGGGGTGCAGAGGGTGCCCTACGTTCTCAGGCGCCGGCAGGGGGAGGGTCCCTGCGTTCACAGCCCGCGTGGTTTCCGCACAGACGTGGGCCGTGAATTCAGCACGACAAACGGAAACAGGTCACGAGGTCCAGTGTCCCCCGGGCGGGGGCTCGCGTTTGCAGCGTTACAGGGGCCTCGGCACCGGGCTCCAGGCCCAAACCAGGCGGAAGTGAAAACGGGGGTCCAGCCCGGGGATTAGGTGACCTACAAGGGCTGGCTTCTCACAGAGGACAAGGAGAAGAGGAAAGAGGGGAGCTGAAGAGCAGAGCAAACACCCCACGCAGTGTGGGGACAGGTGGGTGTGGAGAGGACCAGGTGGGGCGTGGGAACATGGGATGGGGCCGGTCCAATCCTGGGGGACACAGTTCCCCCTGCAGGTAGACCACAGAAGTTCCTCATGGTTTAGGGCAAAATAAGACCTAGCCCCTAAAGCTGATGTGACATCAAATAAGATCATGTAAGAGGAAGACTGGAGCCCGGCAGCCGTGGCTCAGTGGCTGAGTGTCAACCCACGAACCAGGAGGTCACAGGTTCGATTCCGGTCAGGGCACATGCCCGGGTTGTGGGCTCCATCCCCAGCAGGAGACATGCAGGAGGCAACCAATCAATGTGTCTCACACTGATGTCTCTCTCCCTACCCCCCCTCTACCTTTCTCCCCTCCCCCCACCCCTTCCATTCCATCTAAACACAGGAAAAATATCTTCAAGTGAGGATTAAAAAGAAAAAACTGCCTGCTAGCGTGGCTCAGGGGCTGAGCACTGACCTATGAACCAGGAGGTCATGGCTCAATTCCCGGTCAGGGCGCATGCCCGGGTTGTGGGCTCCATCCCAGTGTGGGGCGTGCAGAAGGTGACTGATCTGATCAATAATTCTCTCGCACCATTGATGTTCCTATATCTCTGTCTCCCTCTCCCTTCCTCTGAAATCAATAAAAATATATTACAAAAGGAAAAACCCACTCTTGAAGGTGGTATCCGGGCCCACCTACATCTAGAATCCTAAGTCTATTGTGGAGTCCAGAGTGGACCCACCGCTGATCCCTGACCCCCGATAACGCCCAGCACACACCCGGACGGCTTCGTCCCTCTCGGCCTCCTTCCCGCTCCGCCAGCTCCTGACAATCGACCATGAGCAACAGCGAGGAGACTGCCCGTCACGGAAAGAACTGAGCAGCCTGGGTCCCGGTGACCACAGCGGACAGAGGAGGGAGCTGAGAAACACTCGAGAGCTCAGGATTCCACCCGAGTCAGACGGGGAGCGACCGCCTGACCCAGGAGGGGACCGCCTGACCCAGGAGGGCGACCCCCTGACCCATGAGGCGACCCCCTGACCCAGGAGGGGACCGCCTGACCCAGGAGGGGACCGCCTGACCCAGGAGGGGACCGCCTGACCCAGGAGGGCGACCGCCTGACCCAGGAGGGCGACCGCCTGACCCAGGAGGGCGACCGCCTGACCCAGGAGGGCGACCGCCTGACCCAGGAGGGGACCGCCTGACCCAGGAGGGGACCGCCTGACCCAGGAGGGGACCGCCTGACCCAGGAGGGCGACCGCCTGACCCAGGAGAGTGTGAGTCTAGAGCAGTGGTTCTCACCCTCGGCTGCACATTAGAATCCCCTGGGAATCTTTTTAAAATCCTGATTTCTGGGCCTTATCCTCCGGAAATTCTGTTTCTTTGTTACTCATGTTGTGGCCCCACCCCATCACAAAGAAACAGAATTTCTGGAGGATGAGGTCCAGAAATCAGGATTTTAAAAAAATTCCCAGGGGATTCTAATGTGCAGCCAAGGTTGAGAACCACTGGTCTAGAGGGAGCATGTAAGTCTAGAGCAGGGGTCCTCAAACTTTTTAAACAGGGGGCCAGTTCACTGTCCCTCAGACCGTTGGAGGGCCGGACTACAGTTTAAAAAAAACTATGAACAAATTCCTACGCACACTGCACATATCTTATTCTGAAGTAAAAAAACAAAACGGGAACAAATACAGTATTTGTATTTGCATGTGGCCCGCGGGCCGCAGTTGGAGGACCCCTGGTCTAGAGCCATCACCTGGTCGAGGATGGTCTTCTTCTTCCTGGAGTCGGTGACGGCGGACAGCTGCATCTCGCCCATTTTCTTCATCTTCTCGTCCATGTCGATCTTCTGCTCCAGCTTCTTGATCTCCGACTTGAGGAGGCGGAGCGTGTCCTCCTTGTGGTGGTGCCTGGCGACGGCGGCCGAGCAGGCCGAGTGGATGGCGGTGATCCAGTTCTCCAGCTCCGTCTGGCTGGTGGTCTGCGGGGGGGGGGGGGGGGGGGGGGCCAGACACCTCTTAGGCCATCGGAATGAGCACTTCCCGATGGGCCGATCCTAAAAGGAGTTCATCCTACATTTTCACACAATGACACGCAGGAGGGGGAGGGGCAGCTGTGTATCTGCAGCCAAGTGTTAATCATCGGAACAGAAAGTCAGGAGCTAGTGTCTAAAGTCAAATAAGAAATGGCCTAAGTATGTGCATGAGAAATGAGGGTCAAAGGAATTAAAAGCAAACACCCAGGTAAACCAGTTGAGCCTCGTTCCTCTGGGGCAGGGAGGCTGGGGGCGGGGGCGGGGGGGCAGTAAGGAAAGAGAGACTCTCACTCGAGGTGTTAAGAGTTCGTTGAATTCTTTAAACTATGTGCTCAGAGTGACTTAATGCAAATGTAAATGCTGTAAAAACAAAGCAAATGCTGTGAGTAACACAGTACCTGGATGGTGCATAACGGCGTACAATTACACACAGACATCTAGCGGACACAGCCGCGGGCTGCACTGCGCTCCTAACGGCGGTGGGACCTCCGGGCGCAGGAGCAGCCGGCGTGTCCTCTGAGGCTGCCAGCGTGTGCTCTCCTGCACTCACTCGCCACCCTCCTCTCAGGCCCCGGGGGACCACACACTCTCCCCTTGGGACTCGCTGCCCGTGTACCTCACGGTGGTTTCCAGGGGGCGCCCCGAGGTCCTCTCGGGCACAGATTCCCGGCTCAGCTCGTGGGCCATGGCGCGAGTGTGTCTGTGTCCCTCACTAACTGCAGGGGACGCGCGACCAGCGTGGCCAACCAGCTGCCCTGGGCGAGGCGGATGCTCCGCGGGGATGAAGGCGTTGACCTGGGCTCCGCGCCCACGTCCCAGAGGTGACCCGTAGCCACAAGGAATCGATGCCAAACCAAAGGTGAATGTTTCCGGGGTTTCTCCCCAGAGGCAGCTGGAGGCGTTAGCTGTCGACTAAGGACACTCAGCCAAGAGAGAACAGAGGCCCCACCTCCACCTGTCACGGCTGCGGATAAAGTGACGTTACAGGGACACACCACCAGGGGGATCCAATTAGGGTCCTAGATGATCTGAACGCGTCCCTTAGACGGGAAGCTGCCACTCCAAGCAGCACAGTGAGCACCGCCGGGGGTGCTGGGAAAGCCACTCAGTTAGGACTAGAAAGGAGCCGCCTGGTCGACCAGGAGCCGAGGCTGAGGGGCTGGCACCCCACAAGCTCCCACTGACTCCGGGGGGCCTGTGGTTTCCAGGAAATTCGGGAACTGACCAGCCTCGCAGAGAAAATGAGAGGCAGGCTGCTCCGAGCAAGGTGGGTGCACGGGGGGCAGGGGGCAGGGGAACAGGAGGAGGAGATGGGAACTCCGTCCTAGGAGAGCGGACTGGACGCCTACATGACGGCCGGAGCACAGGAGCTGTTTGCAATAAGCAGACTTGCTTCAGACCAGAGGTTTCATGGCGCCCAAGAGCGTGTACACCAGGCAGCGCCGACTGCTCAGCCCAGGGCACTGGCCTCCTCTCCCTTCGGTTGTCAAACAGAAAGACAACAACAGCCAACACAGAGCCGTCTGGAGCGAATGAATCAAAAGTACGCCTTTCTTTTTCATCAGATCGGCAGAAAAGTAACAGTTTTTGGTGTGCCTCAGTTTTGATAAGTAGTTGATGAACGAAGATGAAAAAGACTGCGAATCGCTGCTCTAGACTGTGGGGAAGAAGACAGAAGCAGAGGATACGGCAAAAGGTGCCAGAAAGAGCGCCTATGTAATTATATGCGTTTTCCGATGGTCTTCGGCGACCCCTGTGAAAGGGTCGTCCGACCCCCAGGTTGAGAACCGCTGCTCTAGATGAAAAGCCCGTCCCGCGGGAAGGCAGCCCCCCCCCCCCCAGACGCTGTTCTGGACGCGGCGTTAGACACACGGCTGCAGGACTTCTACCTGGTCAGGCTCATTCTCCCCGGCTGCTCACTGTTCCCAGGCACTTAATACAGGAATTAAAACCCAAGAGTAGGCGCAGCTGGCATGGCTCCGAGGCTGAGCGTTGACCTATGAACCAGGAGGCTGCAGCAACCTATAAATTATCCCATAACCAGAATCTGATTCCCGGTCAGGGCACAGGCCCGGTTGTGGCCTCGATCCCCAGTGGGGGGCGTGCAGGAGGCAGTTGATCCATGGTTCTCTCTCATCACTGATGTTTCTCTCTCCCTCTCCCTTCCTCTCTGACATCAATAAAAATATTTAAAATCACACACAATATTAGGATACATTGCCACAAAAGAAGGTCCCGGTAACGGGCAGAGGGAGGGGCAAGGGAGGGCTGAGAGGACGGGGCCGTGTGGGCGTGGCACCCCACCCGGCCTCCGGCTGAGGGGAGCCACCTAAAACGCAGCGCGTGGCCCCCCTGGCGCGGGCACACTCGGCCGTCCCACCCTGCACGCCCCCAGCACACACAGCCCCATTTCTCCCGCAGCCCAGCCCCGAGTCCCGACCACAGCGAACCTGAGCGACAGCGTCCAATCACAGCACAGGCGCTGGACGGAGCCCTGGGGCTGGAACAACCTGTAAACCATCCCACAACCAGGGCTGGTCTCCCGCACTCTCCCTCAGCCCTACAGACACACACACACACACACACACACACACACTCACTCTCACACACACACACTCACTCTCACACACACACACTCACTCTCACACACACACACTCACTCACTCTCACACACACACTCATACACACACACACACACACTATCACACACACAGGCCCCTACACACACACACGCACACACACTCACAAACACCCACACACCCACACACACACACACACTCACTCTCACACACACACACTCACTCACTCTCACACACACACACTCATACACACACACACACACACTATCACACACACAGGCCCCTACACACACACACTCACACATGCACTCACAAACACCCACACTCACGCACACACACTCACAAACACCCACACACCCACACACACACACACACTCACACACACACACTCACACACACAGACTCACACACACAGTCACTCACATACAGACTCACAAACACCCACAATCACACACACTCACAAACACCCACACTCACACACAAACACTCACACACAGACTCACACACACACACTCACACACACACAGACTCACACAGGTCTCCTTCCAGGCACCGTCCCAGGAATAAAGGTTGGAACCAGAAAGTCGGGAACGCCCTGTGGACCCCCAAGGGCAGTGATTCTCTCTGAAAAGGGTCCTTCTGGGCTCTGCCCTCCCCCCCACCCCGTCAGCGGCATAAACACTTCACCCACAAGCAGACACAGAGGTTTGCATGAATAAGGCCCTATGTTGCCACGAAGGAATTCTATTCAATGTGACCCAAAGGGTAGATTCTACCAGCAATTTGTGGCCAGGAGAGTCGTTTCCAAAGGAATTCACACCAGGGGTGTACGGGTGAACAGGAGAGCGTCCCGCCCGGCCGGTGTGGCTCCGCTGGTCGGAGCGGCGTCCTGGGCGCCTGAGGTCATGGGTTCGGCTCCAGATCAGGCACAAACCCAGGCTGTGGGTTCATCCCCGGTCCAGGCGTGTGTGGGAGGCAACCAGTTGATGTTTCTCTCCCTAAAATCAATTTAAAATACATATACAGCGAGAGGGCATCCCCAAAAGATGTATACACACTGTAGCAGCTGACAGCTTGGCTTTGAAAATGAAATGTACTTTAGTAAACACCGCCTTTATGAGGATTCAAACTGTGTGTACATCTTTGGGGACGCCCTGTATGTGTGCTCAGGTGAGGATTCGATCGGAAAGGAGAGCGTCCTGAAAGCGATCCATCACTCCCTCACCCGCAGGGACCCAGAGCGGCCACCTGAGATACGATTCAGAACTATTCCCAGCGAGCGGCCGGCTTCTAAGGACGAGAGAAAGCCGCTGCTGACTGTTACCGCAGATACACGGGACACAGAGGCCGTCAGAGGCTTCGGAGGAAGGGGGGCTTGGCTTAAACCAGGACCCACCACTCGGCGACTGTGTGACCTGGGCCCAATGTTTAGCCGTTGGAAGCCTCGGCGTCACCCATCTACACCGACAGATGAGAATCTGGACACACAATCCAGCTCGCGGGCGGCTGTAAGATCACACGCGATTCACACTGTAAGCACGCTCGAGAGGGCGGCCTACGGCGAGGGCTCAGTCACAGAGCTGCCGACAGGACAGCACTGCTGTCACTGGTGTGAGGGACGTCCGGCCGGGAAAGCAGCAGCAAAGGGTAGCACACGCCCAGGACCAGCGGCTGTCAGGAGAACCGGCCCGAGAGAGTCCAGGCGATGGGCTGCTGGACAAAGACAGTAATCCGACTACTGCAAATATTTTCAAAGAACCAAAGGAGATCGTGTCTGAAGACGTTTGAGAATATCTCACCAAATAGAGAATCAACAGAGAAATTTATTTTATATGTTTTTATTGATCTCAGAGAGGAAGGGAAAGGGAGAGAGAGAGAAACATCCATGATGAGAGAGAATCATGGACCGGCTGCCTCCTGCACACCCCCCCCACTGGGGATCGAGCCTGCAACCTGAGCGTGTGCCCTGACCAGAATCGAACCCGGGACCCTTCAGTCCACAGGCCAACGCTCTATCCACCGAGCCAAGCTGGCTAGGGCTCAACAGAGAAATTTAAACCAAAATCATTTTTAAATATAAATTCTGGAGTTGAAATGTAGATAGATAAAGCAAAAAATTCACCAGAGGAGCTGAAAAGCAGATTTCTGCTGAGAAATAAAGAACCAGGGAATCAGGTCCAGTCCAGGGAGCAGAACAGACCAAGAAAGAGGGCAACGAGCAGAGCCTCCGCCAACTGAACACGAGGGGAGTCCCAGGAGGAAAACATGAACGGGCAGATAAACTATCTGAAGAAATAATGGCTGAGAACGCCACACATGTGGTTTAACACACACACCTACACACCCAAGAAGCTCCACGCCTCCAGATGGAATAAACCGAGAGGCATCAATAGTTACAGTTGCAGGCAGATTATAATCCGACTGTGTAAAGGCAAACGACAAAACTCCCCAACGCAACAGGAGAGAAGGAACTCGTCTAGAAAAGGGATCCTCACAACATTAACAGCCGACGGCTCACCAGAAGCCGCAGCGGCCAGATGGCAGTGGAGTGGGCTCCTCAAAGCTGTGAAATAACACTGTCAATCACGGATTTCATATCCAGTAGAACTAGCCTTCGAGATGCAGGAGAAATGAAGACATTCCCAGATAAACAAAGCGTGCTGGCTCGGCTGAGAAAGCGCATCCCCTCTATTCCGCTGCAGGCTGCACGTCGCAGTGGGCAGAGGGCGGCTCACGCGCGGCCAGACACTTCTATTCCTGGCCCGAGTGGGGGTTACAGACTCACTTGGCGATACTTCGGTGAGCCGTGCGTTTACGTCTCCGTGCCCCTCTTTAGGAGTGTTTTATGTCACACATTTAAAGAAAGGATAACAGATTTTTCTTCTGCCCACAAACAAAATCACTATTTTATATTTATTACTTTAATGTCCCAAATAGAAATCACGCGAGGGACCAAACCCAGACACCTGGTGCAATAACCCACCGCGCTCTCCTAGGCCTGTTCCGGCTTCTCTCTCCTGCGTGGGATACTCTCACGGCCGTGTCCCCCATCCACCCCTACGCTCCCCACTCGTCACTGCCAGCCTTCCCCACAGCACCGGGGCCTCTCCCTGTGTCGGTCCCGTGTAGCATGCAAACTCTTTAAGTACAGGAACTACGTCAGCATCTCCCCGGTGTGCTCACTAGCAGTGAGCGCAGCACACAGGAAGCACAGAGTAACGGCCGGGGCGGGTCCTGATGGCGGAAATGAAGGAAGGAAGGTCCCTGACAAACCCCACAGGAGGTGCTGGGAGTGCACGGAGCCCACGCCAAGGGTTCCCGATCAGAGCAAAGCCAGCCCAGCAGTCACTAGCGGGTTCGCATCTTTAAATACGATTCATAGCCAGGCTCCAGAGCGTCAGGCACAAAGACATGAGAAGGTGGAATAGAGGGGCGATGAGGGAACGGCTCAGTCACTCTGGAATGTCACTTTCACGGAATGAGTATCTCAGAAGACAACATGTTATGACAGAGAAAGCCTGACAGCTCACATCCTGTCTGCAGGACGGGATGCGATCCCTTTTCTAAAGCGCAGCGCGAACCACGCCGCGATCGCAGTGAGACCGTCCCCCGCGCAGGCAGCCGCGTCCCCCGGCTCAGCTCCCCCCCTCGCTCCCCCGGGTCTGCCACCACCTTCGTTTCCATGGGGACCCAGAGGTGACACCCACCTGGCGGGGGAAGGGGGGAGGGACCCGCCCCAGCCCCGACAGGAAGCGCCCACGAACCTGGAAGAGGAAGGCGTCGCCCAGGGAGTTGCTGAGGCAGAAGACGAAGTCCTTCTTGGGGTGCTCGGGCACGGCCTGCACGATGCCGTTCTCCACCCACACGGCGTGCTTGGGGACGCTGCCCGGCTCGACGCCCGACCTGCCGTCGCTCTCGTAGAAGAGGAGTGTGCACCCTGCGGGCAGAGGGGACAGGGCGGGGCGCTGCGCGTGAGACCCAGGGGGTCGGGGAGCCTGTGAAGACGCGGGTGGGCCCCGCGGAGGCCGAGGTCTAAACCGCAGCTCCCCGACCCGCACGGGCCCCTCGCAGCCTCGAGGTCTTCCCCTCCTCGTCTGCTTTAGGCCATTGCACACTCGCATCCTCACGGCACAGCGGGCCTTGGGCGCCTGGGCCCCTGGTGACGGTGAACACGGCACCGTGAGCAGCACGTGGCCCGCGCGCGAGGACGGGCAGCGCGGTCCCACCGGAGACCCTGCCCCACAGTCTCCCGAGATTCACAACCAGGACACAGGGTTGCGGGGTGTCTGGGCCACATCCTCGGGGAGCACATGCGCTGCGCTGGCGTCAGGGTCAGGGGAGAAGGGAGAGGGTGGAGCCTCAGGTCTTCTACCTGCTGTGCGGGCCTGGGGGGGGGGGGGAGCGGGGGGCGCTGTGGGCGTCCGTGGGCAGGGACAGGGGTGTGGCCAAACGTCCACGATGCCCAGGACAGACCCCACCGCAGAGGACTGTGGGGAACACGCCCCGCGCCCCTGCTAGGAGCCCCGCTCCCCGTCCCTTCACTCCCCGTCCCCTCCAGCTCCCCGTCCCCTTCACTCCCCGTCCCCTCCAGCTCCCCGTCCCTTCACTCCCCGTCCCCTCCAGCTCCCCGTCCCTTCACTCCCCGTCCCCTCCAGCTCCCCGTCCCCTCCAGCTCCCCGTCCCTTCACTCCCCGTCCCCTCCAGCTCCCCGTCCCCTTCAGCTCCCCGTCCCCTCCAGCTCCCCGTCCCCTTCACTCCCCGTCCCCTCCAGCTCCCCGTCCCCTTCACTCCCCGTCCCCTTCACTCCCCATCCCCTCACTCCCCGGGACAACCCCCTTGGCGAGCAGCAGACACAGCAGAAACGAGGGAACAGTCTTTGCCACAGGCTGAGCCCAGAGCAGGAAGCTGAGGCTCAGGAATGAGGGGCCACCGGCCTGGGGTGCACACACTGACACCCCCTGGCCTCCCATCCCCCATGTTTACAGCTTTTCCACTGGGTTTACAATCCACCGTGACAGGAGATGGTGAAAACAGGCTTTCACTCCATCACTTCCTGGTTCCAATGTCAAGACTACCGTGAGGCACTTTAAACAATAAAATAAAATAAAATGACCAGCGCAGGGCTGCGTCCTGAGCCCGCACACGCCCGGTGCCTGCGTCTCCGGAGCATCACCTGTGCGCTCCCTGTGGCGGGAGGCGCTCGGGCTAATTCTAAGTGAAATCTCCTTTTAATTAATTCTCTGTCTAAAGTGGAAGAATCTTCGGGGAAATCGCCACCCCACCATCCCAGGTGCTCTGCGTTTTAACTGGGAGGTGACGGGTTGCTAAGCAACGCGGGGCAGCCCTGCTGGGTGGCGGGAGGCCGAGGAGGCCTGCACACACTGGAACCAGGGAGGAGGCAGCGAAGGACTCAGGGGCTCTGCCCGGGGCCTGGGTCCCCACGGCCGCGTCACTCAGAGCTGGGTCACCTTGAGCAGAAGGCTCCTCCTCTCGGGGATGGTGAGCTGCGCCCCGAAGCCGCCCCGGCTTCCTCACCCCTCATTCCTGCCAGGACCAGCACAGGCTAACCCGCCCTCGCCCAGGCCCCCGTGGAAAAGGAAGCACCGCGTATGTCCCCCTGACACGGCTGCTGGGGCTACTGTGAGGGTCAGCGGGGAGCTCGCGTGACCCCAACTTCAGGGCCCATCACGGCCGAATGCCATTCCCCGGGTCCCTGTGTTGAGTCCTTGCCCAGGACTCAGGGTGCGTCTGAACCAGGAGGCAGGGGCTCTAAGAGGGAATTGCGGTGAAGTGAGGGCACGTGGGGGGGGGGGGGGGTCCCCATGCAACGCACCAGCTGCCCCGTGAGGAGGGCGATCTGGACCCAGACGGGCGAGGCCGGCACGCAGAGACGCGGAGACCTGCAGGAGGCGGCGCCTGCAGGACCCGGGGCGAGGCCTCGGGAGAAACCAGCCTGCTGACCTGGACCTTGGACCTCCAGCCCCAGGAGTGTGAGAACACCCCCCACACACACACTCAGGGCGTGGTGTTCTGTTACAGCAACGCTAACACAGGGCCCCCCCAAACTCTGAGATTCAGCAGGGATGGGCATAGCCCGGAAAGGACCACAGGTGGCCGACGGAGGAGAAGGGCAGGGTGGTTCTGATCAGGCTGCTGAAAACTCAGCACCAATTAACAAAACCAACGATGGCCAGCCGGCGTGGCTCAGTGGTTGAGCGTCGACCTATGAACCAGGAGGTCAGGGTTCAATTCCCGGTCAGGGCACAGGCCCGGGTTGTGGGCTCGATCCCCAGTGTGGGGCGTGCAAGAGGCAGCCGATCAGTGATTCTCTCTCATCATGGATGTTCCTATCTCTCTCTCTCTCCCTTCCCCTTTGAAATCAATAACAATGTTTTTTTAATAAAAAAGAACAAAACCAATGATAAGTCGTCTGCTGAAGAGCAGAGAGGCTGCGTGTGCAGGTGTGGGCAGCTGGGGGAGGGGCAGGAGGCGGCAGAGAGGGCCTCCCCTTCATCTCAGCCAGAGCTGATGGCGTGACCCAGGCCCCTTGGGACGTGACCCTGTGGCGCCTCCAAATTAGGGCAAGGGGGTCCCACCGCGAGGGCAGCAGCCGGTCTCCGAAGGGGGAGCCTTCCTCGATTCACCACGAAAACAAACCCCAAACTGTGCGAGTTGCGAGCGGACAGAACGTTCCCCGAGCTTAACACCCTCCGTGCATGTGTGCTGAACGCTAAGTATGAACTTTGCATGTACGACGACAGGGCGTTTCATTTAGCACAGCAGATAGAATTCAAAGTTTCATGTCAACATTTCATGCAGTTTTCCACAGAAATGACTATGGCTGCCAGGATTCTGCTTTTTGTGGCAATGTCGAGCCCCTGAGGCGGACGCTGAGCGTGAGACCAGGACAGGAGTCTGACTCCTCCCGAGACATTCCAGGAAGGGGAGCCACGGGAGGCGGGACCCACACGTCAGATGGCGGGGAAGGTGGCATCCGCCCCACAGCTGCAGCAGCGCCAGACACGCAGCCCGAGGCCCTCCGTGGGACGGCTGTGTGCTCCGGGGCGCCCCCCGCAACTCCCGGGAGTGAGGCCGCCATACCAGCCTCCCTTGCAGCTAGGCCTGACTCATTCCAATGGGAGCAAGACAGATGTGGGCCACTTCCGGGCAGTGCCCTCCCTTCCCCATCTTTCCACTGGAATGTGGACCTGCTGGTGGGCCAGCCTGACCACACAGACGAGATAATGTTCTAGGAATAGCTGAGCAACAAGATAGAAGGAGGCTGGGCCCCTGATGAGTCACAGGATTGCCATACGGGCTTGAGGGGGTCTGACTCTGGGAGGAGGGAGGGACACAGAGTTCTGTGTTGCTTAAGACATTGTCCCTGTGGGTCACTGGGACGTGTGGCAAGACTGATTGTCTAATTACGTGCTCCCTTCCTGTTTTCCCAGCCTCGAAGCAACAGCTGACACAGGAGCACTGGGCCCACCCAGACCCTACACGGCTGTGCCTCCCGGACTGGCTGTTCCCACACCCACCACAGCTGGTGGAACCCGCGTCACCTGGTCTAGTGTGTGCACCACACAGGTGAGCCCAGGTTTCTTGTCCTGGCTTGTCCCCTGCACTTACCGACCCACCTAAGCCGGCCCACCACGTACAACCCGACCCACACTCACTCATGACAGGTCCCAGGGGGCTTGCGAGTGTAAGACACAGAGCTCACGATGTGTTACAACGTCTACACTACGGAGCACGTGCAGACACCTGTACACACGCTCAAACATACATGCAAAACGACGCCATATAAAAGTGTGGTGGTAATGCATGAAAAGGCGGGGACATATACTAGTACGTGTACACGGATCTGTACACGGATCTGTACACGCTCACATAGATGCTCAGTGTGGCCGTAAACGGTGACTTTCACAAGCACGTGGTTGCTTAGGCGGCCTGAGCACTAATATTCTGTTTTCACCTGAAAAATGGCAATTCCAGAAGATTCAAGCTCATGACTCCCTCTCAGACATAGGAGGCACGTCACTAACCAGAATGATAAAAAAAATAACCTGTCAGGCGCATCCCCCGAAACTGTCATGAGACCCAGCGGCCTGCAGGAGGCGCCTGGCTTCTCTGTGTGAAATGAAGACGCGCAGGGTGGGCAGGAGGGTCGGCCCCCTCATCCAGGGACACAGAGTCTAGTGGGCACCAGCCTGCGAGGAGCACAAAAGGGCGCAGGGCCCGGCCTGCGGGCTCATGGTTGAGCGCCGACCTAGGAACCAGGAGGTCACGGTTGGATTCCTGGTCAGGGCACAGGCCCGGGTTTCGGGCTCCATCCCCAGTGGGGGGCGTGCCGGAGGCAGCTGGTCAGTGATTCTCTCTCATTGATGTTTCTTTCTCTGTCTCCCCCCCGCCTCCCTCTCTGAAGTTTATATAGATATATAGATATATAGATATATAGATATATAGATATATAGATATATAGATATATATCAGTAAGCACAACGCAGTGATGTTTAAGCCAGTGGCCGCACCATCCTCTGCGCAGGCGCAGTGGAGCGCACGTGGGCGGGATGGAGCGCACCTGGGCGCACGCCCCCGGGGCGGGGTGGGGGACCCCCGGCTCACCTTTGAGGGACGCCCAGTAGTGCTTCCAGCGCCGGCGCGCGGCGGGCTCCACCTTCCGGCTCTTCTTGTGCACCAGCAGGTTCTTGACGGCCAGCGCGCCCGCCTTGCGCACCGTGCCCCGCGCCGCCGCCCGCAGCGCGTCGTCCGAGCGGCCGGGCGAGCTGGGGGCGCCGCTGGAGCGCTCGTCGCTGTGCGCGGAGCCCGCGTCCTCGGGGCTCTCGCGGCTGGCGCTCAGCTCCAGCTCCCGGCGGAAGTTCTCGTAGACGCCCTGGCGCGCCGCGTCCCCCGCGCTGCTGCTGCCGCTGTCGCTGCCCACGAAGGCGCGGCCGGGCGGCGGCGAGTAGCTGGAGTGCGTGGCGTTGGAGCGCCGGGACAGCAGGTCCGGGTCGGTGGCGGCCCCTTCGATCCCGCTGTCGGCGAACTCGCTGCCCTCGCCCGCGTTGACATCCTGGGGGGCCGAGAGGGAGGAAGGGAAGACGGGCATCAGGCCGAGAGGGCACAGCCCCTCCTGCAGCCGGGGGGGTGGGGGGGTGTCCTCCCAGCCCGGCCTGAACCGAAGCCTCCCCCACCCCACATCCCTCCACCCCTGGGCCCTCCACCCCTTGAACCCCACTCCGCCCCAAGACCCTTCCCACCCCTGGACCCTCCACCCCGGACCCTCCACCCCTTGAACCCCACTCCACCTCTGGACCCTTCCCATCCCTGGACCCTCCACCCAGGACCCTTCCCACCCCTGGGCCCTCCACCCCTGGGCCCTGCAAACCCACTCTGGGCCGAGTGCCTGGGCGCATAATCCAGCCGCCCCAGGACCAGCTGAACCACTTCCAGTGCTCGAGGAACAGAAGAGCAGCGCCCAGGGCGGAGAGCTGTCCCGTGTCTGACTCAGGTCATCAACTAACTGCCCAGCCAGCGATGGAGGCTGCCCCCCACCAGCCGGCTCAGCGTCCTCCCTCAGCACCTCACCCTCCTGCCGCAGCCTCCTGAGCTAGTCGCTGGAGGTCGGGGCTACAACGGATGAAGTGGGAACAGCTGAGAGCGCTTCTTAACGAGAAGGGCCTGACGGAGGCTCCTTCCTGGTGCCGTGGCTAAAAAGACGCCCAGAGCCCCTCACCCAGCAGGGGCCGGGTCCCCGCGCAGGCGACAGTCCCCATGCCCTCCTGGCTTCACTTCGAAAGCAAGTGGCCGCTCAGGGGCGGGCCCTGGGCCCAACAGCCTGTGGGGCCCAGCGCCCGGCAGGCTCTCAGGTTCCCTCGCCCTTTCAGCGCGGGTGCTGGGGCCGGAGCAGGCTCCTCACTGCCCGGGAGGGCGAGGCACGGCTGGGGCAGCCGCCAGGACACTGGGCTATCGAGTCCCAGATCCAGCCCCTTCGGAACTCCCAGAGCAGTGCCCGGCCCGGAGCTGAGCCTCCGGCCACAGGCGGGTCCGCTCTGCACTCGGCATCTGAGCTGCTCTCCTGCTCTCGAGGGCTCCGGGCAGCTCCACCAACAATCACTAACTCCCCAAGGGGCGGCCGGCCACAGCGCCCTCGGCCAGGCCAGCTCCAGGCCGTGGGCTTCTCTCGAAGGCAGGGATGGGAGCGGGAGTGACACAGGAAAGGGCAAAGGAAGATAAGGTTTGGGGGCTGAACCAGGTTTGAGCCTTCGGCCCATAAATAGTTCATTGTGGTTTGAAAGTATAAAAACTACCGGGATATTCTGAACTGCCTTAAAAACAAATGCTTTGGGCTCAAATGAGAGACAACAGGGCAGATGGAACCAAGCCACACACTGATACCCTGCGCGAGGCCCAGGCAGGTGCGGTGCCCACACCTGTGCCACCTCCGTCAGCCCCTCCGCAGGCACCTCGGGCTCATCCTCACCGTGAACAGACCCGAGGGGAGCAGCAAGAAGACGGGCACCGCCACCAGCACACAGGGCAGAGACACGGAACACACGTGCCGCACGTCCACCACACGGGGAAGAGGGTCAGACGCCCTGAGCCACAGAGTGGAACGGTGGGGGGGGCGGGCGTGGGGGGAGGTGCCGGTCTCAGCTCTCAGATGGGGGTCTGATGTACACACGGTGACTGTAGTAATACACTGCATTTATACTGGAAATCTAAGGGAGTAGATCCCAAGAAATGGGACAGCCCGGCCGTCGAGGCTCGGTGGTTGAGCGTCCACCTATGAACCAGGAGGTTACGGTTCGATTCCCAGTCAAGGGCACAGGCCCAGGTTGCAGGCTCCATCCCCAGTGTGGGGCGTGCAGGAGGCAGCCCATCAATGGTTCTCTCTCATCACTGATGTTTCTCTCTCTCTCTCTCTCTCTCTCTCTCTCTCTCTCTCTCTCTCTCCCTCCCTCCCTCCCTCCCTCCCTCCCTCCCTCCCTCCCTCTCTGAAATCAATAGAAATGTACTTTTTAAAAATGGTACTTGTATGTGGTGATGGGTATGTCAACTAACGTGATTGTAGTAATCATTTCACAGTTTACATGTATTAACTCATCACCCTGTACATCCTCAAAACACAGAACAGTCTGCAAAGGGTGGAGAAAGCGACTTGGCCGTGGGAAAACCTGGCAGACACAGCCTCAGCCGGAGCTCAGGTTAACTAGGCGGCACCGGAGCCCTCCCTGCGACCTACACCTGCTCTAGGGAAGAAAAGCAATACAGCGAGGCGAAGACAGCAACAGGAAGTAGGTAAGAAAGCGACTGAGGACCGACTCCATTTCCAACGGACTCGCAGGGACCGAGGGGGACAAGGACAGTGCGGGTGCAGCTCAGACGCAGACGGTGCCTGCCGGTCCCACCTTTCCCGTGTCCTGCGTGCTGACCGCCAGGAAGCAGAGGCCGGGAAGCACCCAGATGCAGGGGGACAGACCCCCCACAAACAGGAGCGCAGTCCTCTAACCGCAGTCCTCCTCCTGCCCTCCCACCCCCGACGCAGGACAGTAAGTGTGACCATCGCTGATTCTCGGGGTGACCTTGACGAGTGGGAAATGTGACCGCGTTTCCCCAGCGTCGGGCACATTTCCAAGCCGCTCAGTTCTCGGAGAGAAGGAAGGGGTCGGCTCTGAACCCTGAAACGCAGACAAGATGCTTCTCGGACGGGAGAGCAAGGCGGTGCCCAGGAGCCAGCCTTCGGGACAGAGGAGGGGGGCTCCAGCCCCGCGGGTTCCCAGAGCTCCGGACAGAAGGAAGCGGGGAAGCCACCCCCCCTTAAGGGGTGAGAAACCACCCCCGGGCTGGCGGCAGGTGGGAGCGTGGAACCCAGGCTCCTGCTCCCCCACCTTCTCCACATCCTAAGGTGGCCATCGCGCGGCAGGGCGTCCCACCTGTCTGTCTGAATAGTCAACTTCCCGTCCCCCCCTTTGCCGCAGCGCCCCTCCTCGGGGTCCCCACAAAGGCTGCGTGACTGTTCGTCTCACACCTGCCGTGGCGGGAGGGGAAGGAGATGGAAGGAGGAGAGGGAAACAGGCAGAGACCAGACAGGCAACCTGCCAAGGGCAGGGCTCTTAGGGGCGTATCCTCCCGCAGCCGCTCACCCCTTCACTGAACGCCCTGAGGTCCCCGGGAACCTGCGAGTAAAGGCCTCGAGGGACACTCACCTCCGGGTCAGACCCGGACATCTGACCATCCCCCCGGCGCGTGACCTCGCAGTGACCCGCCGCGTGTGACTGTGGGACGGTCGCTGCGCTGAGCACAGAGGCGGTGAGAGGCCCACTGGCCCCGCTGAGCGAGGTGCCTGGGACTCGCCCCCACCCCGGGCCGATCTGACTCCACCTCGTCCCCACGTGGCCGGGCAGGCCCACGGGACACATCTTCCCACTAATATGTCGCCCAGCCTGTTGGGAAGGAAGTGAGGCTGCCTGGACCCAGCCCTGTTGCTCATGAGCTTGGGGCGCCCCGAATTCCCAGAGGCCTGCGGGGCCCTCGCGGGCAATGGGGATGGCCAGGCGGGCTCTGCTCGGCACCGGGAGGGCAGCAAGCGCCCGAGTGCACATCCCGCGTCTCAGCCTCAGGGTGGGAAGAACCACCCGCAGGGCCACCGACCCGACAGCTCAGCGCCCCGAGGAAGACGGGTTCCTGAGTCTCAGGTCCCCGAGATGCTCTGATGTGGAGACACCCGCCCATCCCCGCAGAGGCCGGGCGCACACCCTCCGCCCCAGCTCCCACAGCTCAGCCCAGGGGCCCGCATCGCCGCCGCATTCCTGGCGCCATCTTCCCAGGGGCCCCTCCTCCACCCGCCTGGGTCTCAGACCCACTGACTCCCCCCACTCAGGGCCCCGAGACCCTCCCTGCTCCTCCCAGCAGCGGGACTGCAGACGCCCACCCCCAGGCAAGAGGCCCAGGAGCCTCGCGGGCCCGTGGCAAGCACAGGGCACGTTCCCTCTGTCTAGGTAGACGCCGTCGGTCCTGGACGTAGTTAGACATCTGTCGGTCCTGGCATATTGGCCCAAGTACTGAGTCTTCATCCAGAGCCAGAGATCAAGGAAATGGAGAGGCCCGACCCAAACGGAGAAATGAGCCCCCACAGGGCACGTGAGCCGGTCCCAGATTTCCTGCAAAGGCGCCGGGTCACCCCGCGTGTCAGAAACACTCGTTGGAGAGGCTTCCGGTTACCAACAGGGTCACAGGGCACGGAGGCCCTTGGTCCCGCTCCCCCGGGCACCTCCTCCCAGCCAGGCCTGCAGCCGTTCACCAGATCCCGTCTGACTGGCACCTTCTGTGGGACCCACGAGTGCCAGCTGCAGCCCGGGCACCCAGCAGCTGCAGCCGGGCACCCAGCAGCTGCCCCTGTGGCTGGGCAGTGAGCACCGGGACGAGTGGACGGGGCGGCCATTCGAAGGCGCTCCCCTGCCTTGGAGCCCCGAGGGGCGCCCGGCACGACCAGGGCTGAAGGCACGCGTCAGGCTCACCCGCTTCAGGGGGGCTTACAGAGACAGCCCCCTGAACAGCGCAGGTGGGAACTGGGGTTCACTTACATGCAGACTTTTTCCCAGTAAATACGGAAATGGATTTTCTCTTCCTTACAATTTTCTTTCTTTTTTTATTATCCTCATCCGAGGATATTTTTTTGCCCCGCTAATTTTCAGACAGAGTGGAAATAAGGGAGAAGTAGGGGAGAGAGAAACATCAATTGGTTGCCTCCCACACATGCCTCCAAGTGGGGCTGGGTATCAAACCTGCAGCCGAGGTACATGCCCTTGACCGGAATCGAACCCATGACCCTTTGGTCTAAGGGCTGACGCTCTAACCATGGAGCCAAACCAGCACATGGCCCTTGGTTCCCAGAGTTCTCTCCTTGGCGTGCCCAGTGCGCTCTCCCTTGGTCCTCTCAGCACAGTGAGCATCCATTCTAGGCAAGCTACTCTGAGCCAGTCTGTGCCTCAGTTTCCTCCTCTGCATAATGGGTATAAAACCAGCACCTACTTTAAAACACTTTGTAAGATGCCGTGAAACTGAGTTAACCCAACAAGGTTCCCAGAACCGTGCCGTGCACACGCACCGGCTCAGATGTCACCTGTAATCACTGCGATTCCACCCCGAGAACAGTGCCCACGGGAGGCGCTGCCCCGCCTGCTCCCACGGCTGCACTAACCTGAAGAAACGCTCGTTCCTGGGAACTTGGAGAAAAACAGGCCGACGGAGGCTGGTGAGAGCTACGGAGTCTCTCCGGTTATTGTCAGTCACGGACCAGCTCAGCAGACTCAGGCACGAGGATGTGCCCAGTGCCAAGCAGTGGGCACTGGGCACTGAGACCACAAGGCCACTCCAGTCGGCCGCCCACCAGGGAAGGCCGTGGCCCTCTCTCTGCCCAACTGCCTGGTGCCCTTTGCACTTTGACTTTGGAGTCTGTAAGTTCCACCTCTGGGCTCCTTCCATCGGCCCTGCCCAGTGGCCTCACACCGTGAGCATGTCCGAGCCCTGGCTCTGCCTCCTTTCTGCCGCCAACACCACTCCCTCTTCTCCACAGTCCCCGCGGGAGGGACTCAAAGTTCTCGTGACGACCCTGGGAACCGAGGGCCACGCGCAGCCAGGGACCAGCCAGGCGTCTGCGGCGCCCGGGGCCACCTGCGCCGTGTCCACGGAAACCAGCACCAGGAAACGCCTCAGTGCCAGGCTAAGCGGTCGCTCCCTGCAGATCACACCGACCGACTCAGGACACAACTGCACGCACACGCGCACACACACGTGCACACACACATGCACACACGCACACGCACATGCACATACAGAATCAAATTCTCAGCACTCACTGTGGGGCGGACACCAGGTGTCACTTTCGACAGCCTGAATGCGAACGCCAGTCCTCCTTTCAGCAACACGGGACCAGGGACACGGTCCAGTAAAGGCGGTTGTTGGATAAAAAAAATTATTTCAGATAAAAACTAGTCTCGCAGGCAGGGGCCGCGCTCCAGGGCCAGCGGTCTGCTGGCCATCAGACTGGCGGGGCCATCAGACTCCGCGTCACCCGGCGGCTGGGCCTCGGTGTCTGTGACTCAGGCGCCGAGGAGGTCCCGGGGTCAGGAACTTTAACAGAAAAGACAAAGAAGGAATTCTCCGAGGAAGCGTCCACCCCGGCGCCTCCCGGAACCCACGGCTTGGAACCCACGGCTCGGAACGCGGCGGCTCAAGAGCTCGCGCCGGGAGAGCGCGCCCAGCTCGGCCGGGGGCTGGGAGGCGGCCGCGGTGAGCAGACGCTGGGTTTGTTTCCAGTCGTTCGAGATCCTCACTCAACGAAAAACACTCCCGCTCGGTTCCAGGCTCCAGGAAGGCCTCCTCGCTCAGCCTCCGCCTGGTCCCAGTGGCCCTCTCCCCTGGAGGGCCCCGAGGTGGGGCCACCTGCCCAGGGTCGGAGGGGGCCAGGTGCCAACGGCCTCAGGACTCCGTACGCTGCACTTTCATTCCTGGAGCTGCTCAGGGAGACCCGAGACCAGCCAGGTGCCCTCCCGCCCTCCCTATATTCAGTTTCAGAGGGTGACACGCCAGAGAACGGAAATGTCCTCCGACAACCACCCACGAGGGCTCTCGGGGGTGCGGCCTCTGTCCTGCTCGGGGCTGCCGGGACCGAAGGCTCATACCCCATCAGCAGGATGTGGGGGACGCAGGGGTCCCGCTGTGCCCAGAGCTGGGGACACAGAAAGGGAGCTGGGACACAGCGGCACCCGCTCAGCTCTCCCGGTGAGTGTGCTGACTGGCACTGCCCAGGTACAGGGAAGCTCCTTGCCCAGTCGGCACCTTGTGCCCTCCCTGAACCCACCTCTGACCCAGCCCTGCAGCACCCACCTGGCCACGTCCTCAGCGCAGAGCCTGCAGGGCCTCTCAGGGGCCTCGACCGTCCCTGGCTCACCTGGCTCACCGGTCACACTGGTGGGCAGGACCCGCAGTCTATGCCGGGACCCCCACCACCACCCCCCTCCCCATTAGGCTGAGACCTCCTTCCAGAGAGAACTTCACCTCCAAACGCCCGTCTGACCCGCCTGGACCCAGGTCAGAGTGCACCCGCTGCCCTCCGGCTGACCTCGCCGCAGCCGCTGGTCACCCTGGGGCCTGGCCCGCCTTCCCGGGCGGATGGGCCGTGTGGATTGCTGACCGGAAGCCGCACCAGCAAACCTCCAGCCCGCCCTCCACACAGGCCAGGGTCGGGGACTCCGCCCGGACCAGAGAGGCTCCGGGTTAGCACTCAGGTCTGCATCACAACAGGCCTCCCCTGCCGGCAAGAGGCTGGGTCTCTCATACTGTTTTCGCACCACCCTGCTCTCGGGCCCAGACCCCAGGCAGGCAACTGAGCATCCCCTCCCCCTTTTCAGAGAAGGCGCGGTCCCCGCAGGCCAACAGCTGGCTGGCTGCCCTCAGAACGGGCACCCCCGTGCCATCCTTCCGTCCCCCCTGCAGGACTGCCCTGGCCGTGCCGCCAGGCGCAGGAAATTGAAATGGCTCCTGGTCAGGCGGGGAGTTGCCAGCTTCCAAGAGGCGGACAGATGACCGGCCGCCCCGAGTCCAGGGCACGTCCTCTGAGCTTCCTCCCTTCCCCCCGGCCACCCGCAGTGCCCAGGAGAGAGCCTGAGTCCGCCGCCCGCCTGTCCCTGTCCCCCGACGGGGCCACCTTAGAGCGCAAGCGCAGAACCAGCAGGCGCTGTTGCAAATCTGAGCCGAAGAGGCGGTTCCCCACGTGAACGCGGGCGGCAGGGAGGGGCGGGGCTTGGGGAGGGGCGGGGCTAGAGGAGGGAGGGGGCGGGGTGGGAGGGCGGGGCTAGAGGAGGGGGCGGGGCTGGGAGGAGAGGGGGAAATCTGCATCCCCAAATGCCTTGTAGCTGAGAATTTAAAATTCCAGAATAAAACTAGACACCTGAGATTTTGAAAATTAAACACAAAAAGCTCTGCTGTTGGACAAGACCTCGCAGTCTGTGCCGATGTCCGCCCCACCCCTCACCCTTTTTACCCTCTCCCCCCCTCCGCCCCCCCCGCCCCCCCCCCCCTCCTTGAGTGCAGAGCAGCGGAGGGCAAAACAGGAGGCGAATGCCCTGCAGCACCACCAGACACACAGTGACTCCTGCAGAGTCCTGCGCCTCCCCAAAGCCCTGGACCCCTGCCCCTCACCTGCACCCCTCACCTGCGCGCCCTCACTTGCGTACCCCTCACCAGCGCACCCGCACCGGCGCCCCCCACCTGCGCACCCTCACCGGCGCACCCCTCACCTGCACGGGCCTCACCTGCGCCCCCCCTCACCTGCGTCCCCCTCACCTGCGCCCCCCTCACCGACGCCCTCCTCACCTGCTCCCCTCACCTGCGCCCCCCTCACCTGCACGGGCCTCACCTGCGCGCCCCTCACCTGCGCCCCCCCTCACCTGCGTCCCCCTCACCTGCGCACCCACCTCACCTGCGTCCCCCTCACCTGCGCCCCCCTCACCGACGCCCTCCTCACCTGCTCCCCTCACCTGCGCCCCCCTCACCTGCGCGGTCCTGGCCCTGCGGCCCTGCAGGCTGCCGCTGAGGCTGAGCTGCGCGTTGGTGGCCCCTTCGGACAGGCAGTGCGAGCGCCGGCAGGGCAGCGTGTTGTAGGCGCTGCAGGCGCTGTAGGTGTAGGGCGCCTCCTCCGCGAGGGGTGCCTGGCGGTGGGAGCGGCGGGGCGTCTCCGACGCCAGGTCCCGGCAGTAGCCCGTGCACCGCCCGCCGGGCCCCCCGTGGGCCGTCACCCCGCGGCTGTTCGGGGCGCACAGGTCGCCCAGGGAGTTGGCGCGCGGGCCGGCACTGAGCGGTCGGGGCCCCGCCCGGGCGTCCGAGCCCCGCGCCTCCTCGCAGTCCCGCTCCTCGGCGGAGCCCAGCATCTCCTCGTGGCTGCTCAGGTGCTCCTGGCTCAGGTCGGACAGCGAGAACTCCAGACTGTCCTCCCGCCAGATGTCCGCCGACTTGGAGCGCTTCTTCTTGAAGCCGGCCGCGTCGGCGAAGGTGGGCGCGGGGCAGGCACAGGGGCGCGGGCGCCGGCCCCCCTCCACCGGGCAGGGCGCCACCTCCGCCGGGTACGGCGGGCTCTCCTCCGAGCCGGGCATGCTCTGCACCGAGGCGGCCGCGAGCACGATGCTGCTGTCCACGCTGGGGGCCACGGAGGAGTCGGTGTAGGACACGGGTCTCAGGCCCATCTCCACGCGGTCTGCCCACATGGGGTCCCCGAAGCCCTCCAGAGCGCCCTCGGCAGCGAAGGGCTCCAGGCCGTTCTCGGCCAGCGCCTGCGGGAGGCTGGGGGTGCTGCTGGACCGCGCGCTCGCCTCCACCCGCCGCGGCGGCGCCTTCCCCGAGGCCGCGTGGCGGGAGCGCCGCGCCTTGTGCGACAGGCGCAGGGAGCGCGACGTGTGCTTGCGCCCCAGGCTCGCGCGCTTCTCCCCGTAGAACGCGTGCTCCACGCTCTGGCTCTCGGCGTTGCCCATGGCTTCACGGCCTGCAGCGGAGAGAGAGGGGGGACAGCGAGTCACCGGTGGGCAGGGGTGAGTGAACAGAGAGCCGGGCGCGGGGAGGGCACGGCTGCCAGGGAAGGGTGCCGCCCCGTGCGCACCTGGCGGGAACCTGGATCCTGCCGGGGGGTAGGTGAGACCACCGGCTACTGAGACGGCCGGGCGAGCGGGCAGCAGCATAATGGCGACCACGAGAGGGTGGCGAGGGTCAGTGCACAGAGGGCAGCTGCCCACCCAGCGGCCCGCGTGGCTCTCACAGGCGGTCAGCCTGGCTCCCTCCCGTGGTCACACATTCAGGTGCTTAAGCGCTGCTCCTGCTCAGGCTGGAGTCGCCCCGGGGCGGCTCTGCGTGAAATGGCCACTTCAGACCCCGAGGGGCATCTGACCGCCCCCCCCCCCTCCTCTCCCGGGAGGTCACCTGCTCCATTCAGGTCCCACCTGCACTTCGACATCAATCCAGAGAGAAAACACGGATGGAAGTCCCGCGGCCTCTCCCTCACACATCAGTCGCCGGGAGGGGCTGTGCCTGTAACTCCACAGCATCTGCAGCCCCGGGCGCAGCGGGAGGGACCAGACACCCTGCTCTCGCTGAGCAGAGCCCAGTGGGCTTCTGGGAGCAAATCCAACCTGAACGTCCACCTGGTACTGAGCCTCCCGCACACGGAAGGTGAGGCGGCCTCTGGGGCCACCCCATTCATTCCCGTCCCTCCCGACCATCCCAGCGACTCTCGCCGACCTGGGGCCATGGCCACCGTGGGAAAGAGAAACGTCTGCTAGGCTCAGCCGTCGCGCCTCCTGGCCTGGTCTCCCTGCTCCACCAGGAGGCAGCCGTGGGCCCTGAGATTGGACACACGTGGGGACGGCCGGAGAGGAGAGGAGAGACTTGGGGCCGGGCCGGGCCCCGCTGGTCCCCTCAACCCCCTGAGTGGCCATCTGTGCCGACAGACACCGAGCCGGGCACAGGCAGGGTCACGGTCCCCCTCAAAGACAGGCCCCTGCCGGGCAGGCTCCCAGCAGAGCAGCCGCACCAGAGGGCGGGACGCACTCACGGTGGCCGTGAGGACCCTGAGACTCTGGCACAGAACCGCCCCACGCTGACCCGGAATCGCTCCGTGACGCCGGCTCCGCCTGAACGCCGCCCGGACCCTCACAGGCAAACCTCTACGAAACGGGATCTGTGGCCACAGGCGGAAGAAGGCCTCGGCGAGTGCCCCCGGGGCTCGGGGAGCTTGGAGGGGACGGCCGGCAGTCTGCGCTCCTCCCCCGGGACCTTCCCAGGGCTCACGTCCAGGGCGCACCCCAGGCGCTCAGCAAGAACCTGCCAGCACCGAGGCCCTCGCCCTCCCGGCCCCGGCACCCCGGCTGGAGCCTCCAAGACACAAGAAAAAGATGCCGCCGCGGCTCCGCAGAGGGAGGGTGGGAAGGCGAACTGGCGAGCGTGAGGCTGGACGAGGCTGGTTCCTGAGCAGATCACGGCCGCACGGCTGGTAGTCGCACAGACAAGCATTTCGGTGACACTGAAGGCCAGGACCGACTTCCTGGAATCCCTGACTTTCTAAAGAATTCGTTCAACACCTGGACACGTCTACAATCCACGTGTTTTCCAATAAATAAGAACAAAAAGCTCCGCGCAGCTGGGAGCCAGCAGTGCCACCGGGAGCCCTGCCCGGATTTCAGTGTGAAAGGGGGAAGAATTATGGCCACAGCGGCCGAGCCGCCCCTCCACGCCCGGGCCCTCCTCCGCCGTAATCAGGACCCTGCAAACAGCCCGACCGGCCCCTCCGCAGCAGCACATTTCTGCTCAGGCTCGTCGCTGCCAACGAAACCTCACCACGTTAAACGCCTCAGAGAGGGTCCCGGGAGGCGGCGCGGCCTTGCAGCCTGCGGGCTCCCTGCGGGCCCTGACGCTGCTCTAACAGGACTTTCCGGAGCCAGAGACCCGCCAAGGTAGGAAGGACAGCTTCAGCCTCCGACCTGGAGCTCAGAGGGGGACAGGCAGCTCCCACATCCTGCACCGGAATCCTTAGGGACGGCCTCGGAGAGGCAGCGGGAAGCCGGACGCCAGGAAAGTTCCATCCCTGAGAGGTCGGGGAGCCCTGCAGCCCCCTGGGTCAGTGGGACTGAGATCCCTAAGTGCAATCTGCTCACCCACCGCACACACATCTCCCCCTCGGGGGCCAGCCCTGCCCCAGGCGACCCAGGCGGTGTGGACTGGAAATTCCCACCCTTTTCGGGAGCAAACGCGGAACGCGCAGCTACGTCCAGCTCCCTAGCGTCTCCCTGCTCGCTCCTACTTAACCCTTATTTATTTTTATTTCAAAAACAGAAATCTTAGCCCAACCAGCAGGGCTCAGTGGTTGAGTTTCGACCTGTGAACCAGGAAGTCACGGTGTAATTCCCCGTCAGGGCACAGGCTCGATCCCCAGTGGGGCGTGCAGGAGGCAGCCGATCCATGATTCTCTCTCATCATTGATGTTTCTCTCTCTCTGCCTCTCAGAAATCAATAAAAATATATTAAAAAAAACAAACAAAACAAAAAGTCTGTGACACGTTCCGACGAACCAAGGAAAACCTGTGTTGTTGTGCAGCCCCTCGTCGCCCGTCCCAAGTCGGGGGGCGGGGCTGAGCCAGGCAGGGGGACATTCAGGTTTGGGTTTAACCTTCGTGCGCTTCCAGCTGGGCTCGGGCTTCACTCACCCTTTGGAAAGATCACCACCTTCTACTCGACTGGTGTAGACTTACTGCGGCCTGGTTTCTCTGTTACAACAAAGTTACTGCGACCCCCCCCAAAAAAAAATCTAACCAGCTCTCAAGGGGAAAGGCAATCAATAGATGCCAACCCCACGGTGGCCCAGAGGTTGGAATTATCCAACAAAGGCTTTTAAAGCAGCTGTTTTATTATAACCATGTTCCCCGAGGAACGGTAAACACTCTGGACATAAATGAAAAGCCTAGAGGCTTGCCATTCCTCTGCACGACCATTATGAGCATCGATTATGCGACACGGGCAGAGAGACAGGACGCACAAGGTGACGTGCAAGCTGCGCCCTTGGCCGCCCGCTGCGCCCCGTTCTCGGGATGCGCGAGCACGCGGCCTGGTTCATAGAAAGCCGCCGCGGCCAAGGCCTCGGAACAGCGAGAACAAGGAGAAACTACGACTGTTCTGAGGGAAGAGGGCGGAAAGCAGCTCAAGGGAAACGAGCCCGGGCTGTGGGATGGTTTCCTGTGGGATGGTTTCCGCGTCTCCCTCACTCGGCGGGCCCCGCAGGCACGCAGCACTGCCCCACCGGGAACTCGGAGCCTCGCGCCAGCAAAGCCCAGCCCGCGGGCAGATGCGCAGAGACAGCTGTGCTGTCAGGTGGAACCTCTGCTCAGGAAGCAAACCCTTACCCATCAGGGGCAGACCAAGGCCCTGGCTTTGAGCAGGTTAACATTTTCTGTAAGAACGTTCATAGTGTGGACAAAAGGGGCCACATGCTGACCTGACAAGCTCAGGAGAGGCCTGCATGGCAGTCTTGCAGACTCAGAGACCTAAAGTAACCACAAAGGATGGTCTGAAATTAAACCTTAACTAAAAGCAGTTATGGTGGGCAGTTACGTCCTAAGCCGATATCTTCACTGATAAGGTCAACCTTTACTGTAACTGAGCCGATCTGTCTTTTTGCATCTATAACATACCCTTGAAATGTCTGGGTCACTTCTGACTTCCCTGTATCTGGAGCCCCTGGGGCACGGCCAGGTGTGCTGAGCCCAGGACAGATGCAGCAGATTCTTTCATTTGTCATGTTAATTGTTCCTGTACCCACCTAAGTATGTGTCCATCATTTTACTTTTTATCCTATCACGGAGGTTTCCCTGCTTCGCTTCATCCCACCGCCTTAAATCTGTCACCAATGAGTTTCATGTATAAATACGGATGTAACCCTGCCATTCTCTGGAGCACTATCTCAATTCGTTGAGGTTCTGCTTCCCGGCATATGTCGACAGTTTGGCTCAAATAAACTCACAAAAATTCTTTACAGGTTTCAATGGTTTTTTTACGTTAACAATAGTATTTCATAGTACCCACACACGCATGCATGCGCGCACACACGCACATGATCCTCGTGCATAAAAATTTTAAAAGTATTCTGGATAAAGTGATTGAGACTAATTTCCACAATTATACTTTTTTTTGGTATTTTCTGAAGTTTCTACACTAACCCTATCATTCACTTTACGGAAAAATACACAAATGCAACATGTTCACATGGGTTTGGGGTCACCAGGGAGAGTGAGGAAGTCCCCGACCCGACCTCCACCGGACGGTCTGGGAAGGTCCCGGGATAAAGGCAACGCCACCTCGCTGGCTTCCACCCCCTCCACGTTCCAGGGGCACTTGCTTGGCCTCCACGTCGTGCCTGGCGTGGCCACGTGCGCACTGACGCACCTGTCTTCCTCTGCATACACCCCTTCCCATTTCATTATAGCCCGCCCCCGGGCAGGAACCATGCCCGACCGCACTGTGCCGATCGTCTGAATAAACTAGGTCCGCACAGCTATGCTCAGGGGGACGCTCATTGCTCAGGTGGACTTACAACAAGGGCAACTCAAAAATACAAAATGTTCAAGCCCGGCCGGCGTGGCTCAGGGGCTGAGCATCAACCCAGGAACCAGGAGTCACGGTTCAATTCCCGGTCAGGGCACAGGCCCGGGTTGTGGGTTGGATCCCCAATGGGGGACGGGCAGGAGGCAGCCGATCCATCTCACTGATATTTCTATCTCTCCCTCTCCCTTCCTCTCACTCTAAAAATCAATAAAAACATATTTAGAAAATATGAATATGATATAAAACACTCAAGCCCATCGGTGGGCCCACGATGACCCCTTCACGTCCTCTCCCGTCAGAAGTGGGCTGGGGAGCAAGCTTCCCGGTGGCTGCCCAGGGCGCCGTGAAAGCCAAGCACGAGGCCGGACGATGTCTGTGAATTATAATTATTAATAATAAAGCGCTTCGCACCCCTGAGGTATTTAAAAACGCATTAAAATAAACCTAATGAGTTCCCTCCTCTGACTTGCGAACAGACCTCGCAGACGGCAGGAGAGAGAATGCAATGTATTCATTTCAGAGCTAAATCCGCAGCGAACATCACAAGACAACAGATTGCAGGTGTAAAATTAGCTTCCAGTGGGAGGCCTTGGTTGGAGCCTGTTTTCCCGCTGGAGGCTGAGCCCGGGGGGGGGGGGGGGGGGCGCGCTAAGACTAAGGACCCCGACCCTGAGGGCTCTCTCCCCCCTCACACCCACGGAGAGCGAGCGCCCGCCGAGGGGCGAAGGGAGGGTTCTGCGGTGAACGAACAGGAGACGTCTCTGATCGGAAAGATGGCTGCTCTGGACGAGTGGCTGCTTCAAAGATCACCCAAGCCAGCAGCGCTGCTTGGAGGTGAGGTTCCGAAGCCAGTCGCCCTCTCGGACGCGATCCCCCAGGACGACGGGGAAGCCGGGGATGACCCTAAAGACCCGGGGCGAGTCCCGGGGCACGACTCGTCCCGACCTGCTTTTCGGTTTTCTTCTTCCGAGTTTCAATGCTCACGCAGTTCCCTGGTTAAATGGGTGCAGCCTTAACCCAAAGAAACGACTCCAAATCCTTTACCCACGAGCCACGCCCAACACGGCGGTGCCCACCACCTCAACGCGTGTCCGGCCCCGCGCTCCCACGCGTCCCGGGCATCCACCGGTGCCCAGGCTCACCTGCCCCGGCGACAGCGGCTCCCGGCCCCGTGTGCCCCGAGAGCTCTGGGGCATTTAGGTCCTGGCACTGGCCGTGGCGTCGGCTCGAACGGCGACCGGCCGGGGGCGTCTTCAGCACCGGCCCCTCGGGACGGCCATGGCGGTCTCATCGGCGTCTCCCAGGTCCCGCCAACACCTGGAGAGGACAGGAAAGGAGAGAGAGGGTCACAGCGCAGCCAGCGGCGGTTCATCGCCCGCCAGCGCCCGTCTCGGCTGAAACCCACCCCCTGATCCACGACACAACCACAAGCACAGGAACGAAGGGCACGCACCATCAGATAAGCACACACACACACACACACACACACACACACACACACGCATGTCACACGGACAGTGATAAGCAGCCCTACAGCAGAGTTACTGTGTCACTTCCACCTCTTCCTGTGGGTTAGCAGGGTGGGGAGCGTCCGGCCCCCGGGCCACACAGGGCCTGAGAAAGCTGTGGCCTAGCCCTGCCCAGGCCTTAGGGGGAGTTCGTGGACCCTGGGACACACAGAGCGGCTCGTGTCTAAGTGGGTGACGTTGTGTGGCCCGCGGGTGCTGTTAGAAACATCACAGGGCCCTGGGCCAGAAAAGGTCCCCACCCCGGACTAAGGGATCGGATGAACGGATGTCCGATGGACTGATGCCCGCGTCCCCTCCTAACCGGCACACGGTCTCGACAGACAGACAAGTGACACGGAGGAGGGGTCCGGGCTATTCTGGAGCAGAGCTGTGTTTGCAGCTGATGCTGACGGAAACACCCAGAGGCCGTGAGCAGAGGCACGTGACGGGCAGACTCCCCGGGGACATGTCCTCACACCGCCCGACGCCAACGCAGACGAAACCCAGGGGCAGGTGCCCCACGAAGAACTCGGGCGAAACAGCCAGACTGTCCCTTAACCCAGAAAATGCACGGCCAGGGCAGCACCACCCACGGCAGTTTTAATGGTTCTTTTTTTAAAAACTGTATTTGTTGTTATTGATCTCAGAGAGGGAGAAAGAGAGAGAGAGAGAGAGAGAGAGAGAGAGAGAGAGAGAGAGAGAGAAACATCAATGATGAGAGGGAATCACTGATCAGCCGCCTCCTGCACGCCGCACCCTGGGGATCGAACCCACAACCCGGGCCTGTGCTCTGACCGGGAATCCAGCCCTGACCTCCTGGTTCCTAGGTGGACACTCAGCCACGGAGCCCCGCAGCCGGGCCAGTGGTCCTTTCCTTACAGCCGCCCTCGCAGGACAGACTGCAAACACTGGGAGACAGAGATGCGGGGTCCCGGGGGGCTGCGCCCACCGCCTGCCACCAGCCAGGCCTCTGGGGGCCCGCGGCACAGGGGCGGGGGGAGCGGCCTGCTCTGAGGAGGCGGCGCCGAGGCAGGAAGCACACACACGCGCCCGCGGGGAACAGGACAGCGAGCGCGGTCACGTCCTTCCCCGTCTCGGAAACGTGCTGTTTAACGGTGACTGGTGACTCACGCGTGCAGGGCGGAGCGTGACTTCTCAGCACACCCATGATTACCCCGAAATACGTGCCTTCCCACGACCCCCCACTGTGCCCCGCCCGCACGCTGCTCTCTGCAGAGTCTCCCAATTCCGAACCGGCTCGGGGCTGCCCAGGAGCCGGCGGAAGCTAACCGGCCGTCGGTACCGGCACCGATGCCTGTGGTGCCGGCGGCCAGCGAACCGCATGGCGGCTCTCGCCAGCACACGGCGCGGCCTGCCTTCCCCCTGCACAGCGGAGGCCAGTGCTGCACTTTAATCCTCACCCCAGGACATGGCCATCGGTGAGAGAGAGAGAGAGAGAGAGAGGGACATCGATCTGTTGCCTCCCGCACCCGCCCCGACCAGGGATGTCACCTGCCCGGAGTCGAACCCGCAACCTTTCACTGTGGAGGACGATGCTCCAACCAGCGGAGCCAGGAGGCGGGGATGCGCTTTTACACTAAGAACCGACACGCTTCCACCTGCGGATGAGGCGCTCCCCACGTCTCCCTCTCGCGCGGAGACCGCTCCCCAGGAGGCCCGGGGGCCTGTCTGTGCCACAGGGGGGCTGAGCTGCATCTATCTGGTGGGATCTTTTCTGATTTTGGTGGGAACGCTTCACCCGGGACCTGGCTGTGGCGCTGACCCCGGTGCCCTGTTTTGTCGGCCGGCCGGCTGCTCTGTGCTGGCGGTGACTCCTGCTGGGGGCTGTGTCCTGGCCACAGTCCCCTCACCACGGGCACCACGGTCCCCTCACCACGGGCACCACGGTCCCCACACCACGGGCACCACGGTCCCCACACCACGGGCACCACGGCCCCCTCGCCACAGGCACCACGGCCCCCTCACCACAGGCACCACGGTCCCCACACCATGGGCACCACGGCCCCCACGGGCACCACTGCCCCCACACCACGGGCACCACGGCCCCCTCACCACGGGCACCACGGCCCCCTCACCACGGGCACCACGGTCCCCTCACCACGGGCATCACGGTCCCTACACTACGAGCACCACAGTCCCCTCACCACGGGCAACACAGTCCCCTCACCACGGGCATCAGAGGGTCCCCACACCACGGGGCATCGGATGAGAGCCTGGGGCAGGACTCACTCAGCCGGCGCCACAGTCTTGGCAAATGCTCAGGTGAGTGTGTGGCCAGAGGTGGCTGCTGTTTCCTGGAAATTTCATGTTTGTATACCACGCGAAGCGCGCAGGGGAAGGGCCACGGTCCTGGGGCTCCTTAAAAAGGAACACCAGCCCGGCCGGCGTGGCTCAGGGGCTGAGCGTCCACCTAGGAGCCAGGAGGTCACGGTAGATTCCCGGTCAGGGCACAGGCCTGGCTGCAGGCTCGATCCCCAGTGGGGGGTGTGCAGGAGGCAGCTGGTCCATGATTCTCTCTCATCATGGATGTTTCTCTCTTTCTCTCCTTCACCCTTCAATTCTGAAATCAATAAAAATATATTTTTAAAAATCAGAAAAAACGGGCCCAGCTCACTGGGCTGTGACTGAGCTGTGAGTGGGAGGAAGGCGTCCCCATTGAACCTGCTGGGACCAGCTGGCACTGGTGGGGTTGCTGGAAGACGGGGTCTGCCCACGTGGCTGGGCTCGCGCACACGGCCACGCAAACACGGCCACACAAACACGGCCACGTGCTGAACTCCCAGCCAGGCCGCCGGCTTGCACCTTGTTGAGATGACCCCTGACCCCGGTGAGACGGGTGCTGCCTGACTCAGACCCAACCCCACGTCCGCCTCTGTTGGGGGCACAGAACCAGTCCCACAGGCCAGTGTGTGGCTGCAGGGGGAGGGACCCCAAACCAACTCCAGGCTGCAGGTCCCAGGAACACCGGCCGCGGTGCTCCCAGTGCTCGCTCCTCTGCAGGACGTGCTCGCTCTCGTGGGACTCTGCCCCGGGCACAGCGGGGCCCCTCCCCAGAGCCCAGCCAGACCTTCCGTTCTCACCTCTCACCGCGCAGGGCCTCCTGCCCTCTCAGTCCTGCGCGTCCAGGAAGCCCGGGACTGAGAGAGGAGGACGCTGCTCTGGCTCACATCACCCCGTCCCCACGGAGGCTCCATCTCTCACTCACCGACTCGCTCTTGGGCAAGTGAACTTCCCATCGAGACTCCGCCGCGAGGGAGGGCAGAGCTCGCGCCTTCACCCGGCCGGCAAAGGGGCTGTGGGCCAGGTCAGAGACCCGGACACCGCGGACGCCCGGGACGGTGGATGGGACACGGCCATCCTCACTCAGCGCCTCGCAGGCTCGGCAGTTAGTGAGGTAAAGAGGCTCCTCACCTGAGCCCGGGCAGGCGACGGGGCCAAGCCCGCACCGAGGCAGAGCCCTGAGATTTCTTTCAGGCGCAGCCAACACCCAAAGGGCTTCGTGTTAGCGTCATCTCCCTCCAAAGATGAGGATGGGGTGGACGGACAGATGGATGGATGGACAGACAGCTGGATGGATGGACGGATGGATGGATGGATAGATGGATGGATGAATGAATAGATGATAGATAGATAAATAGATAGACAGACGGATGGACGGATGGATGGATGGATAGATGGATGGATGAATGAATAGATGATAGATAGATAAATAGACAGACAGGCGGATGGACGGATGGATGGATGGATAGATGGATGGATGGATGAATAGATGATAGATAGATAAATAGACAGACGGATGGACGGATGGATGGATGGATAGATGGATGGATGAATGAATAGATGAATAGATGATAGATAGATAAATAGACAGACAGGCGGATGGACGGATGGATGGATGGATAGATGGATGGATGGATGAATAGATGATAGATAGATAAATAGACAGACAGACGGATGGACGGATGGATGGATGGATAGATGGATGGATGGATGAATAGATGATAGATAGATAAATAGACAGACAGACGGATGGACGGATGGATGGATGGATGGATGGATGGATAGATGGATGGATGAATGAATAGATGATAGATAGATAAATAGACAGACAGGCGGATGGACGGATGGATGGATGGATAGATGGATGGATGGATGAATAGATGATAGATAGATAAATAGACAGACGGATGGACGGATGGATGGATGGATGGATGGATAGATGGATGGATGAATGAATAGATGAATAGATGATAGATAGATAAATAGACAGACAGACGGATGGACGGGGGCACTGGGTTTGTACATGGCTCAGAAATTAAGGTGAAAATTCCTCAGTCGTCGTCTTTGCTTTTCTTTAACCCTCACTTTATCCAACAGGAGTCCGGGGAGCGACTTGGAAAGACCCGTCCTCGGAACTGGAATGAGGAGACCCTCCCGGGAAAGGCGCCCACAGGTGAGGAGGTGAGGAGAGGAAGAGGGAGGGAATGACGCTCACCCTCAGGCGCAGCAGCCGGCAGTTCCCCAGGAAGCCCCGTGCGGAGGCCGGAGCGGGACAGACCGCGTGGCCGCTGCAACCTCAGGTCCTGCCGACGCGATGCTGCTGGGAGGAGCCCTCCCGGGAACCGAGGGTGGGGGTCGGGGAGGGTCGGGGGGCCCGGGGCGGCCTCTGGCTCACGGCCCAGCACAGCTACTTGGCCTGCTGCCCAGCGGCCACGCCCAATCTGACACAGCATCTGACACAGGGCAGGTCATCCGTAGGGAGCTTGGCTGCCAGATAAAGACTGAGGCTGCGGCCAGGACTCCAGCACAGAGAGCAGGGCCTCCCCTCCCCCCGCCCCCCCACCCCCGGTGAGGACCCCCCTGTCCTCCCAGCTGAGGGCCTGGACCACGGGCTCAGGGCATGACTGGATCTCACTGAAGACCATCCCTCAGATGGATGAGCTATAACGGAGGCTCCAAACTCCTCCTCCACGAGGCGTGAGGCGTGGAGGACAGGGTGCGGCAGCCCCGATTTCAGCGCAGATAACGCCCCCCCTCCAGCCACCAGGCCCTGGGCGTCCCCACATCCTACCCCACGGCCCCGCCCACAGCCATGGCCTTCCCCGTCTTCGCCCAAATGCAGCGGGACTGGGAGGAGGCGGCCAGAGGACCCACTTCAGCCCCAAGTCCTTCCTACTGAGCCATCACCTCCTCCCAGCGCAGGGACTCTGCCGGCACCGGTCCGACAGGTTCCGCGGGAGGGAAGTAACGCATAGCCGGGCGCACGGAGACCCAGACCCACGGCGGACGGGTCCCAGGCCAGACACTCAGCTGCTCCCCCGATCTCTGCGTTCAGGGCCTCATAACTGCCTTTGGTCGCCGGCAGCAGCCCAGGCGTACGACCCGGCCACACCCTCCCCACGAAGGGCGCGTGGCCACGCCAGGCCCAGGGCTGTCGCATTAAACGCCCCCAGCCCAGCCGGGCCCTCCCAGGACCAACGGAGCCCTGCTCGCTGAGTGGCTTCAGCGGCTTTTCTCGAGTGACCTCGGGGTCCCCCGATTTCCCAACACGCTCAGCAGCATGAACCCCGAGCACCTGAGAGCCCCCACCTTCCAACAGTGACCACGACAGGCCAGCTCCGCGCGGCTCCTGAATTCTCCAGGTCGGGCCCCAGTCCCGTCAGACAAGCAGGCCCAGGTCACGGGGGGAGAGAGGGGACATGGTCCCCCGCAAGAGGGAGGAGCCGAGGCAGGTGACCCTCACGCGAGCTCCGTCCCTCCCCAGTTCCCCGCAGGGGCTCCCGAGACCGTGTCCCCTGAGGGTCAGCAAGGAGCCGGGCGAGCACAGGCGGGGATGGACCATGCCTCCTGGGAGACGGCAGCCACACACCCTCAAACTGCCCGCTGAGCCCTTGGCACCCGGGCCTCCGCTTAGAAGAGGGTTCAACTTGGTCACTTACTCCAGCCACAGGGTCCCCAAAGGGAGCCGAGCTCTCCCGGTGGAGACCCCGCCCGTCCCAGGCCCCGTCCCCGTCCCCGTCCCCGTCCCAGGCCCAGGCCCCGTCCCCGTCCCCGTCCCTGTCCCCGTCCCTGTCCCCGTCCCCGTCCCAGGCCCCGTCCCCGTCCCCGTCCCCGTCCCCGTCCCTGTCCCAGTCCCCGTCCCAGGCCCAGGCCCCGTCCCCGTCCCCGTCCCTGTCCCCGTCCCCGTCCCAGGCCCCGTCCCAGTCCCCGTCCCCGTCCCCGGCCCCGTCCCAGGCCCCGTCCCCGTCCCAGGCCCCGTCCCCGTCCCCGTCCCCGTCCCCGTCCCCGTCCCAGGCCCCGTCCCCGTCCCCGTCCCCGTCCCTGTCCCCGTCCCCGTCCCAGGCCCCGTCCCCGTCCCAGGCCCCGTCCCCGTCCCCGTCCCAGTCCCCGTCCCCGTCCCAGGCCCCGTCCCCGTCCCAGGCCCCGTCCCAGTCCCCGTCCCCGTCCCCGTCCCAGTCCCCGTCCCCGTCCCAGGCCCCGTCCCCGTCCCAGGCCCCGTCCCCGTCCCAGTCCCCGTCCCAGGCCCCGTCCCAGGCCCCGTCCCAGTCCCCATCCCAGGCCCCGTCCCAGTCCCCATCCCAGGCCCTGTCCCAGGCCTCGGCCCCGGCTCCAGCTCCGGCCCCGGCCCCGTCCCAGGCTCCATCCCAGGCCCCATCCCAGGCTCCGTCCCAGGCCCCGTCCCAGGCCCGGGCAAAGGGGGAGGCGGGCAGGGCGCTCAGCTGTCTCCACGGAGGGAGCTTGGCTGTGCCTCGCGGCCTCCCCCCACCTCGGGCTCCACCTGGAACCCTGTGCTGAAGGCCCGGCCTGTGCAGCCCAGAGGAGGGCGACCATGAGGGACCCTCAGACTCACAGCCGCTGCTGCCAGGACCCTCCCCGCGGCCGAGACCGGGCGGGAACCACGGCCTCCGTCTCCGCCGCCGCCGCCATCTACACCCACCACCGCCTGCCGCTCACCTGCGGTCCCACCGCAGAGCCGGGGGGGACCCCTCCGCCACGCACAGGCCGGAGCCCCGGGCCCCGGCTCCTCACCAGGCGGCAGGAGACACGGGACGGGCGGCGGGTTCCCAGGCCCGAGCTGCGTCCCACACGGAGCGGGAGCAGGTGCAGGAGCAGGTGCAGCCTGGGCGAGGCCGGAGCCCCAGGAGCCGGTGTGGCAGCCACACCCGTCACAGGAGGCGGGACTGCCCACGACCTGCCGCTGAGGAGATGCCACCAGCGTGGGGAGAGGCCACGGGGCCGGCGCCGGGACCCGCTCTGTGGGGCCGCGACTCGGAGCCTGAAGGTCCATCCCAGCGTCGCGGCCCCGGGACCCGCCGGTTGCTCCCTGGCGGCCCCGGCTCCTGCTCCTGCCACCGGCGCCTGTGCGGGCGGGCGGGAGGCGCGTGTGAGATGGTGGAGGCCAGAGAACATCGCTCTCACGTGGTGTGTCCCTCCCTTTCCCTCCCTCTCTGAAATCAACAAAAATACAGTAAAAAGAAAGAAAGAAAAAAAGAAAGAAGAAAGAAAGAAAAGAAAATAAAAGAAAGAAAAGAAAGAAAAGAAAAGAAAAGAAAGAAAAGAAAGAAAAGAAAAGAAAAGAAAAGAAAAAAGGCCGGGCGCGATCTCTCTGGCTGGATAACGACTGACGTCCATCTGCCCGGAACAGCCCGTCGGGAGACGGAGCCCGGCCGCCGAGGAGGAACCGTCTGCAGCGCCCTCCCCGGTCAGCGGTCAGCGGTCAGCGGTCAGCGGAGGACCAGCGGCCTCTTTCGACAGCACGCCGCCCAAGCCCCGGACGCCTCTGGAGCAGGCACCCGCCGAGTTCCGGGCAGAGGCCCTGACACAGGCCATCGCGGCAAACCTGTCCCTCCTGCGGCAGCTACGCGCTCAGGGGGCTTGGCGCTCGCTGCCTGGTCGCCTCCGGGAGACCACACACGCAGCCCGCGGGCGCCACGCCCGCTCCAGAGCTCACAGCGCCTCCTGTCCGCGCTGGTGCCCCCGGGTCTGCTCACAGCGCCTCCTGTCCGCGCTGGTGCCCCCGGGTCTGCTCACAGGGCCTCCTGTCCGCGCTGGTGCCCCCGGGTCTGCTCACAGGGCCTCCTGTCCGCGCTGGTGCCCCCGGGTCTGCTCACAGGGCCTCCTGTCCGCGCTGGTGCCCCCGGGGCTGCTCACAGCATCTCCTGTCCGCGCTGGTGTCCCCGGGGCTGCTCACAGGGCCTCCTGTCCGCACTGGTGCCCCCGGGTCTGCTCACAGGGCCTCCTGTCCGCGCTGGTGCCCCCGGGGCTGCTCACAGCGCCCTCCTGTCCGCGCTGGTGCCCCCGGGGCTGCTCACAGGGCCTCCTGCCCACGCTGGTGTGCCCCCGGGGCTGCTCACAGGGCCTCCTGTCCGCGCTGGTGCCCCCGGGGCTGCTCACAGGGCCTCCTGCCCACGCTGGTGTGCCCCCGGGGCTGCTCACAGGGCCTCCTGTCCGCGCTCGTGCCCCCGGGTCTGCTCACAGCGCCTCCTGTCCGCGCTGGTGCCCCCGGGTCTGCTCACAGCGCCCTCCTGTCCGCGCTGGTGCCCCCGGGGCTGCTCACAGGGCCTCCTGTCCGCGCTGGTGCCCCCGGGTCTGCTCACAGCGCCTCCTGTCCGCGCTCGTGCCCCCGGGTCTGCTCACAGCGCCCTCCTGTCCGCGCTGGTGCCCCCGGGGCTGCTCACAGGGCCTCCTGTCCACGCTGGTGCCCCCGGGTCTGCTCACAGCGCCTCCTGTCCGCGCTCGTGCCCCCAGGTCTGCTCACAGCGCCCTCCTGTCCGCGCTGGTGCCCCCGGGGCTGCTCACAGCGCCCTCCTGCCCGCGCTGGTGCCCCCGGGGCTGCTCACAGCGCCCTCCTGCCCACGCTGGTGCCCCCGGGGCTGCTCACAGCGCCCTCCTGTCCGCGCTGGTTCCCCCGGGGCTGCTCACAGCGTCCTCCTGCCTGCGCTGGTGCCCCCGGGTCTGCTCACAGCGCCCTCCTGCCCGCGCTGGTGCCCCCGGGTCTGCTCACAGCGCCCTCCTACCCGCGCTGGCGTGCCCCCGGGTCTACGGGCACTACATTCAGCAAATCGCTCATCACTTGGCCAACACACACGTCACACACACGCACTAGTGTGCACACAGCCATGCACACTTCACATTCTGTGAGGGTTGGCAATGTGCCTCGCTTATCTGAACCGAACAGGAATACACAGTGCAAACACAGATCGAAAGCAGTGGGCGTCTGAAGGGCCCCGCCCTCGCCCTCAGCAGTCGGATTGCGCACCGAGCGACACAGAGGCCGCTGTCCGGCACAGAGCCCGCTGGAACTGAGGGCAGTAAGGAAAGGCACCGGCTCTCACAGGAGCTCCTCCCCCCACGCAGCCACTGGACAAAGCCCTGCGGCACCTGCCCGCCTCCTCCCTGACCTGCACCTTCCACCCCGTCCCCCAGGAGACCGCTATGGGGCAAGGGGGGGAGGGCGGGGGGGGGGGCCTGCAGGTGCCAGAGAATTGCCAGCAGCAGAAAAAGGGCATCGACATGGGAGGGGAGGGGAGGGGAGGGGAGGGGAGGGGAGGGGAGGGGAGGGGAGGGGAGGGGAGGGAAAATTGGGGGCATCTGTAATCCTGGCAAAAAGAAAATAAAAGAAAACTACCCCCAAGTTTGGGGCTGTCTGTGTTGTGAGCTGTTTGCTGACGGATTCCTCAGATTCCCCGCTTGGCGGACGTCTCAACTGTCCCACCTCAGCCTGGCCAGGCAGCCACCACACAGCAGCTCAAAGCCTCCACGTTCTCAGGAAAGCAAGGCGGCACCCCCAGTTCAGGGGACCCCACCGCTCAGGGATATATTTGTATTGATGTCAGAGAGGAAGGGAGAGGGCGAGAGAGACATCAATGATGAGAGAGAATCACTGATCGGCTGCCTCCTGCAGGCCCCCCACTGGGGATCGAGC